TAGATGAAGACATTCACTTCCGAGCAGTTATATTTGTTGTACAATCGCATCTTTTCCTTTTCGTTCATTCTGTCCCACGAAAGAAGGAACGAGAATTGCTGCAGCCTTGAATCGTCCAACAACACCTTCAAAAGCAGCCATACATCCTCTAGAGACGCCAACACTTGCATCTCTGACTTGCTATCAATCGACAACGGTTCCTCCGCCGTTACTACCGATATCCGCTTCTCTTCCGTGTAATTCTTCGAGGGATCCAGCGATTCCTCCAGCGCTTGCTGCTGAACCATCAGTGAAACACGGTCATCCTCGCTCCCAGAATAGAACAACACGGTGTCCAAGAAACGGCCTTCATCCACTGCAACCACTTCAACCTCGCATCCATTCTCCTTGTAATCGCTCAGATCGATTTCTGCTTTTCCATCTACCATTTGGATGTTCGGCAGCAAACGAGAAAACAAACGGATCGTCTCACGACTATCGCGCTGTTTCATATCTTTCGGAGCAACATCCAACTCATCTCGTGTCTTGGAAACGCAGGCTCCTGGACGTTCTTCATGCTTTTCTGCAAAGTTCGTTCCAGCCGATGCCTCCTTCGCTTTCGTCGTCGTTTCATCCACTTTGATCGGATTCATCAGCAATCCAGGAGGAGGCAGCATATTGCCAGGCAACGTTCGATTCGCTCGCTTTCGTCCCTGGATGTAGTCGTACTCTTCTGGAAGTTCACGATCATTCACGATAAGAGAAGAAACGGGATCTAGCTTAATTCGCGCATAGGAAGGATTGCTCAGATCTCGGATGTGATTACCAAGCATCAAACTCTCGTAGAACGACTTGAGCAACACATGAACGTGTGCAGATGGTGTGATTCCATAAAGCTGGATCGTAAGATGCTGATCGTTCGGCGTGCAAATCATTGAAATGGGGGCATTGCTCAGTTGTCGAGCCCAGGAACCAAAGAACGCATAATGTTCAGTAATGTTCATCTTGGAAGCATGATAAACGCTGATTCGAATCGTGTACAAGGTTCCATTCCTATCTCGAACATACAACACATATTTTCCAGGCTTCAGATTGTGAATCAAAACATAGCCATCGACCCTTGCCAAACAAGATTGCAAGGATTCAATTTCGTCCTCGCTCGACTCGCAAATCAACATATAGTCATTCAAATCATCGCTGATGAGAGGAATCAGAGCTTGAATCTCTTCGTTCTCAGCCACTTCCCAGTTCTTTTTCACGTTGAAGCTTTCGAAATGAAGCGGGAACACAGTGCCATTCACATCGATTCGGGTGATATTGCGGAGAAGACCCAGCGAAACCTCTCCCTTCTCGTCTGTTTCGAGCGAGAATCGGAAGGTCGATGTGCTGTAGAGGTGGTTCAGCTTCACACTCACAGGCAGACTGGGATATGGTTCGCCTGCAGGACCGGATGCATACACAAAGAACTCCACTCCCTGCGAGGTTCTCTTTCTGAACAGAGAGTACGAAGGCTTGACTTCCTCGATGTTCAGATTGCGCTTCGGATTGTAGTCGGTAGAATACAAATCCAACGAAGCCGACAACTGCTTCTTCACTCCATTATTCGTCACAACGGATGCAGTAATACTCGCCTTTACACTTTGAATCGGCTTTGAAATGCGCAGGGGAACCACTACCTCTGCATCATCTTTCAATACTGGCTTCACAGTCACTTCCGATGCAATGTCATCCATATCCTTCGTGGAGAGAATGATCGAAACGTCCTGTAGGAGCGAGTTCGGGAAGGGAGTTTCGTTCAGCATTGCGGATACGCGCAGAAGCACCTGGCAATTCTCATTTCCTCGCACGAGCGCCTCGTTATCGACATCGCCCTTCAGTTCGAGCGCAAAACTCTCCGCAGGGATGGAGAGATCGCACTTCTCCGTGTACACCCAGTCCGCTTCGATCTCTTCGCATACCAACGCCTTGAACGTCTGTCTGCTGCTCCCAGGAGGAAGATAGGGGATCGCAATCTCGTGATGGTCGTTCAATTCGTACTTCCGACCATCCAGAAGAACATAGACGTTCGATTCTTTGCGCTCTCCCTGCTCGTCCAGAACCGTCAGCATCAATCCCGACAGCGATTCGCGCACCAAAACGTTCAGTTGACCCATATTCACCAAGAAACGACTGCTCTGTCCCTTCGCAAAGAAGTCCACAGCGTAGCAGCCGCGATGATTGATCGTCGGGAATATAAACGTCTCGATATGTCGCTGAATCGCAGGCAAATGATAGTGCATGATGCCCGATGTGATCGGTCTGAGACCATCCAAATCGATCGTTGTGGAAATCGGAGAACTGTTCTTTTCGTAGTAAACGCGCGTGTTGAGCTCGAACAGCTTCCATTCCAGCACATCCACGTTCTTCAGCTCCAGGGAAACGGACACTTCGTCTCCCACTCTGTAACATTCCTTGTTGCCTTCCAAAATTCTCAACCGAACTTGATCCCTCAAATCTGCGATCTGTTGATCTGTGTATTCCTGACATTGGATCGATTGGCCACTCAGCAAGCATGCCTTCTCGTAAGACCTCGTTACCGAACGACTGTCGAAGTACCGATAGAACGGTTTGGGCGATTCCTGAGGAAACAAATGCTCCAAATAATCGCGATCCAGCGGGTACATCGATAAATCGTAGCTTTTCGTTTCCTTATCCCATGTTTCCGTTGCCGATCTTGCCTCCAAATAATCCAAATACAATTCTTTGTCGTATTCTCTATGACTGCGCAACAACTCCAGCAATTGTTCGAACTCGTTCGCTATCCCACTGATCTTGTTCTTCTTATAGAATTCGATTCTTCGCATACACACTCGTTTGGCTCGCTCAAAATCGGCCTCATCGCTCTTCTCGCTGCGTTCTGGGTTTCCAAAACGACCAATGTATGTATTTAGGAAGTCAGAACGTGTGTAAAGATCGAAAGAATACTTCGATTTCACCTGGCTGCGCAGCTCTTCCATTGCATCAAAGGTCAAGAGATTCAGGAAAAGGGAGGCAGTTGGAATCTGCTTCTGCTCCAACGTTCCCAGGTACTGCATTATCAGTGGAACAACGTTCAATCCCTTTCGATCCAAATGTTCAAGAATCGTCTTTGGAGAGAATTTAGCATTTGCTGAGGATAAATCCTGCTCAAAGAAATAGGAAGTGTAATGAGACAGAGAATCGTCGAGAACCACTTTGAGAATATCGGATTCCTCTAATCTTGTCGGATACGTCTTTTGTGATTTAGTTTTGCGCCTATACGAGTACTCATCAGGATCAAAGTCCAGATTCAGAATTCTTTCCAGATAACTACTTAACTCAGGAGTAACGTCTTCATGAACGCCTTGTAACAATAGTTCGTAACGCGCTTTCAACATGTCTCGTAATTCTCTCAAATCATAAGATAGACGTCGCTCCTCAAGAATGTCTAAGAGTTCTTTTTGCTTTTCCAAGGATTCAGGCTCGTACACTTGATAGTAAAGAATCTACGTCTGAGAAGAAAGGAAATACAATACTGTGTAACATATCTCCTCATTACCAGAATAGCGCCGCTTGATTACACTCAGTTTATCCTTTTCATTATCATTACGCTCAATTGATTACCTCGCTAAGTACATATTCCTCCTCGTTACTATAGAAATCCATTGACTCAAGAACTGGTATCAAATTAAAACAATTTATGTAGATTTTTGAAGTATTCTTCTGACCAATCAGATTGTGTATAGAGAAATGAAACTGTTCAAATTGTGATGGACAATTCTCTGCTTATTTTTGGGTGTTAATGGGTGTCAAATCATCATTTTTGTTGCTACTTTGATTCTGAGTATAACATTTCAGTTTGTGGCTACTGTTATTCGAAGGGTTTGGTGAGAACTTTGAATTGAAGTGTCAAATTATGAGGAATAAGGCGGGTAAAGATATATGATCATATTACTGTCGTGCATTGCAGATGGTCTATTTGATTGTCAAGCTAGGATCTTTTTAAGAATGTGTTTTGAATATATTACTTCTATCTAGTTCATGAATCTTTGCTGTACAAGGATTCGTGTGCTTTTCAATACTGTACACATAGGTTTGTTGATTAATTGTGTTGTAAACCAATACTTTGTCGACACCAGGCAATAGTCAGATGGTTGTATTTCTTTCCCTTGATATTGGCATTTCAGTGATAGTAATCTAAAAAACGCAATGATAGTTTGATTCATTGTGAATACCTGAATTGAACGATTGCATACCATAACTCTCTCTACAAAGGATTTACCAATTTATTGGATCGAATTTGGCTAAAAACAGTTTTGGGGTATGTCACCAACTATTCATTTCGACCACCATTCCAATAACTTCAATACACAATCTTTACTTTATTTAGTTCACACCTATAATAATAATTATAATTATAAGCAATACAAAACAGCTCCATTTCATTTTCACTCCTATTTCGACACCATCGTTACTCTTGAATAAGTAGCATTAGCATCTATCCAATTCATTCGTATTGTATTGTTGGATAATAAGTCAACCAAAGGAAGAAAAGGAAAATAAGGAAGTTATTGTGACACTGATAAACTCTCCAACCCAGCTACATCTCTGCTTAGCATTCCCTAAAAAATAATGCCCCAGCATATTACTTCAGGATATGACTGTTCATTTCTTTCAGAAAAGTCTAGTATAGAACTCTCTAGCATATATCTCATGAGAACTCCACTTTCTATAGAATATCCTATATCATTAGAGTCATATCATCAAACTCGAAACCAGCTGCTTTTTGTTACTCGCTAATTAATAAAAACACATCTTCTAGGTTCTACAAATAATATATATTACCATTTTCTAAAATGCTTCTTGTTACCCCAAATCAAGGTTTAGCATTCCCTGGTCTTATTTTTCAATTAAATTTTGATTCTAAACACATAATCGCACATAAAAATGATTTGCAAACCATATTATTACTTATGGAACGAATACAAAACACAATAATAGTTTCTTTCATACTTTTTTTGAATGGATCGTGTATTTCTATTATTTGGCCAATATGTAGCAACCATCATTTCAACCTATTCCTCAGTTATCGTTTTCCTCTTTAGGCCGTTTAGAAACGGTTTTGGTATTGTTTTCTACTTATTTGTAGACTCCCTTACCGTCTGATTTTGAGAATACTCAGAATGTTCAGAAGAATTTCTGTGTTGAGGATTAGGTGTATGTTCAATCTGTTTATTCGTCAATGTCTTCTGCAAATCAAGTAATCTTGATTTTTTAATTTATTATTGTTTCTAGATTCCATCAGCACACTCTCCAAATAACGAACCAGTACAGCAGGATATTCAAGAGATGGATCAAATGGATGAAACAGACAAGAATCCCACCAATCCGGAAGAGGGTGTCTCTATCTCAGTAGATGCTTCTCATAACACAAACGAAAGACGTATTCTATGTGAGTATCTGATAAGTAGAATCTGCTGATGAAGAGCAATCCTGTTCTATGGGCTCAGTTACTACAGAAGACGTACGAGCAGCACTTGCTCAACTATTTAGCAGTAAAAGCTGTTGCTGGCCGAAGAGAGCAATAAAAGAAATGGATATAACGATTGTAAGGCACTCATCATAAATCACAATCAGAATAAAATGTGGAGTTGCTATGTCTGCTCTTGGGATATCTTCTCTGAGGAGCGCTCAGCCGGTGACTATTACCGAGCAGACATAAATAGAATGGTATCTCAGCTGAATTCTTTGTAATGACTGATAGATGGATACTGAGGAATATGGTCCGATTCCAAAGCTTTGGGAATATCCGATCTCTCCCCCAACTCGATTTAAGGGTGGAAGGAAAACGATACGCTGGCCACATACAGATCATAAAGAGACATGTCCTGAGTGTCGTGGCCATTGTAGAGTGACGTGTACAAGTTGCAGTGGTAGTGGAACAGTTACCCGTTCACAATATGACCCAGAAACTGGAAAACACACGTATGAAGGCTATTGTATTGTTTTAAAAGTGTAGAACCACAACTGAAACGTGTAGTCGGTGTTCTGGTACAGGAAGAATGGAATGTCCTGAGTGTCAGGGAAAAGGATATGTGATAGGATTCGTTATGGTATAATCTAAGCAAGCATGCTTCTACTCTAGGCCACTGTGAACTATTATAACAGCAATATATCTCTTGTCTTATATGGAGGCGATATTCCGCCTGATCCTATTTGTGATGCAGAGTCATCGCTATGTTTCGAGTATTCGTCTGGTGCATGATTCATCATAGAAAAGAAGGACCGGATTTACAGGCACCGAGAGATTTTGAAAACAGCGATATCCAGGAAACGTGTTTTGACTTGGAGAATCGCGCAGCAAAGGTTCCGATTGGGAGACAACATGATCAATAGAGAAGAGCAGAAATCGAAGAAAAGCGGAGAATAAACAATCAACGTCTCATGGTGAGCGAGCTACCGATTATTGAGGCTTATGGGACATGGAAAGGAAAGAGCTGTGTGTTCTGGGTCTATGGAAACGATTTGAGAGTTTATGCTCCATATTATGAGGAGATGTTTTCTTCTTGTTGTACTATTATGTTTTCTGTTTGTTTCTAAGAATCATAAGGTAGATGGTTAGTTGATGGGAGGACGATCCATTCCGAATTCATTTGTGATTGAATGATGATAAGTAGAATAATAGGAATAGCGTTGTTGAATTGTTCCAAAATACTGATTGGAAGGAAATCGGAGACTGAAATCACGGTGGATGGCTTGTTGTCTCCTTACTGACTCTGGTAGAAAGTAGAATCAAAGTAGGGATGAGTGCAGGATTATTATCATCTATTCTGGGTAAAGTGTATGAAACGGGTCGATCAAATAATAAACCACTTATCAATATAGATGTGAAAGCACAGGTTGGGAATAGATGGTGTTTTCAATTACCATCAACTCCAGAATCATCACATCTATATGTGTGTCCAGTATCTATTTGTGCAAAATAGTAATAATATTATCATTTCAGTTCAAACTTCTATACTACTCTACGATCCATTCTAAAACTGAATGATCATCATTCAGTTGCATCCATTAAATCATTGAAACTTGAACATTGCACAAATTAGAGTGATTTAATATGATAACAACATGAGTGCTTACAACCAGTAAGAAGTAATTTTACTCACCAAAAACGAAGCAAAATTATCCAAATTTACTGAACCTATTCACCTACTTCCAAATTCGTGTAGTTACCAAGTAATCTTCATCTAAGCAACATAGACATACTTGCTACACTACGGAACTCATTTTAACACTGATAAACAATAGATATGCTTGCTACTTTCAATTATCTTTGATATTCCCTTTCAATCTTCCTATTCCATCCGTCTCGCAGTTAGAAATGAAGTAGATCAAATATACGTGTTTGCAAAAACAATTCTATGAAAAGACTATGAAGATTCATCTCTCAGAATTCCATAAATAGTCAAATATTTACGTTGTCAGTATATTTTGTAGAATGAAAATGGACAAAGGTGTATTACGACTACATCAGCCATCTGAATATAAATATCGTGTTTCTGGTCATAACAAGATGATCAAGCTGCCCAATGGAAAAGTAGGTTCTCTCTTTTTTGCTGAATATATAGATTGCGAAGCAAGCAACCGAAAAGGAGCGGTCATGTTATGAACAAATTATGAGATCGAATTCGGATCTTGCTCGTTTTAGTGCTTCCTATTTTGGCCTCCAACCTATAGAAGTTTCGTTTGTTCTATACTATAATATTGCAGATTATATCTCCCTCAAATGAGCCCTTGTGTAGACCTGAGGGTTTACGGTATTCCCTGCACTTGGACGATGATATTTCAGAAAGTTCTGAGTTTCTTCAGCAGTAATTGTCTGGCATGCACTTCATTCCATAGTGAGCCCATTTTGAACGGCTATTTAGTTTTGGAAGATTTGAATAAATCTTATGTGCATCCCTGTATTTTAGACGTGAAAATCGGCACGCGTACCTATTGTACTTTTCTTTCTCTCTTCACTCATCTGAAGGGGACGGAGCGCCTCCACAGAAAATCGAGCGGCACAACCGCATGTGTCAGTCCACCACTTCCGGCTCTCTCGGGATGCGTGTGTGTGGCATGCGCGTAATCACTCTGAATCTTCTTCACGATAGGTTTACCGTCCGCAAAGCCACGACTGGCTAATCGAAGATAAAGAATGGGGCAAATCGCTGGTAGCCAAATCGATGTTATTGGCGATCGCCTTGTTCTTCTTTGATGGCAATTCCTTTCGTCTGGATGTTCTGGAGATCGTTCTGGAGAAGCTTCTGAATCTCCGCGATATCGTGCGACGCGTAAATTAGCGCAGAAGGAATGAGAAATAGTCGAATTGGAGGTTCTGGTCGTCGTCGTTTTTGTTTACGTACGAGGGCGAAGGGGAAACGCGAGCGGACGTTCATCTGATCGATTTTGGGAATTGTAACTTCTCGGATTGCTATGATACGCCGGATGAAGTGGGGATGGAGTTGGAGAATGAGGGATAGGGATGTATTTTGGCGCTTAGCAATATGATTGCGTATATTCGACTTATACGGAATGGAGCTGTGGGGCTGTCAGAGATAAGGCGGTTTGAGGCCAGTTTGTGATTTTTTGTATTCTAGTTTTTGGCTGTTTGTTCAAATAATAAGCTCTATGGACATCGAATACGCCGTTAACAACATCGGTAGGTTTGCTTGATTGATTGTGGGTCTAAATGAGTCTAACTCTGCAGATCTTTCCGAAGATGAGTCTGTCGGGGTTTTACTCTCGTGTCCAGATAGCAATGGTGTTAGAGTGAATATCATGCCAATATGTATTGTTAGGTCATGGATAACACCTGTTTAAACATGGAATTGGAAACAATGGATATCGTCGATACGGTCGCCAGCAGCGATGTACATTGCTGTTCGATGTGATTCAAAATAGGATTTTGCCGATAAGCAAGAAAACCCTAAAAGTAAGCTGTGATCATTCTAATCGATACTAGTGGCAATCCAAGGAAAGCTATGTCTATCAGAAATAAAATTGTATTGTGTCGAGGCATTTTCACTCGAACCCAATCTGGGATCAAGGAAGAGAAAATTAGCATAGCGTAAAAGATCATACATTTATGATGAATGACAGCGGGCCTATGAACGAAACGTATCCATCTCTACCTTTTGAAAACTCCATCCACAACCCTTTTTTGATCATATCAGCTCCTTTCGTGCTTTCAAATCTCCAAGGGTAGTTAGAAAGGAAGCAGCAAAAGACTGAAAGAGCTACTATTTCCTTCTTCCATACCCATTACCACATGCCCCGTTTATTTCTTTGTTTAACAAACAAATTGTACTATTCCAAGACCTGAAAAAGAGATTAGGCCTCGTTCTTGGAACGACGAAGTCTCTGAATCGAGGATCTCACAGTAAGAGCAGTGGGGGTAGAAATGGACCAAGCACCTCCAGCAACGACCTTCTTGCACTTCTTGCACTCCCAGATACCGACGCAAGTTCTCTTGACGGTGTTCTTTCCGCAGAAAGCGCAGGTGTAACTATTTGTCACTATCCCTACACACACACCTACGTTCCGTGCTGGCTGATTTCAATCTTCTTAACAATCTTACGAAGAGAGGAACCATATCTTGTTCCGTACTTTCCGCAAATACCGACCTTCTTAGTTCTCTTACCCTACGATTTCGTAAGCTTCCATGCTCGATTGACATAACTCACCACAACAGCCATTCGAATCATAACCAACCAATCCATTCACTTTACAAACTCATCCGATAGCTTACCATTATTAATTTAGACTCTTGAAATAGTTTTCTAGGCAAATCAAGAAAGCAAAGCGACCAAAGGGCTGGCTATGCACTTATACAGTAAATAAATAATCGGAAATCGTACCCCCTCAATATTATATTTCCTCATCAATTTGTGAATAAAACAAAGAGAAAAACCCAAAATCGCTCACTTTTTAACGTCAATTTGCTTGGAGGGAATCTTAAACTGTTTTATCAGAACATTCTTAACTTGGGGTGCTACCTTGCCCTGGACTTGAATGAAATTTCCTGTAGGTCCGCTCTTCTCGCAGCAACTAGCATTCAAAGTGGAAAATAGGATTACCTTGATGCACATGCTTTCGCCAGTGCTGTTATCAATTCTTTCGTGTTTACCATAAAGTCGGAAGTGTTATACACCAATGTCAGTTCCCGATGGGCCCCCTTCATCTTCTGAGTGACGATCTCGATCTTCTGGCACTTTCCCTTCTTCACAACGACTTTATCATTCACAGAAACGCAATGGTACGGAAGTAATCTCTCTGTAAACAATTTCACCAACTCCGCTCTTGACAATTCCATTGGAAATCCATTTTCCGGCACTTTCTTATCTCTGTAAATTGCGTCCACCAGTAATTCATCCAGTCTCTGTCGATCACCCATCTCCCCAACATCTACCACGTTCTGCGGATTCTCAGCGCATACCAAGTCTCGTTCCTTTATGTAATCCTGCAAAACTCTCCGAGCATCGGATAGCGAGTACAACCCCGCAGGATCGCATCCCATCGCCATAAACAGCCCCTTTAAAAACCCGCTCACTCGATAAAGCGCGCTCTGCGAGACTTCGGGACCGTCTCCGTCATCGTCGTCGTCTTTTCTCGCCATTCCGGGAGTTTCCCGTTTGTTCTTGGCGATATAAGCGCGATACTGCAGCAGAGCCTCATGCTGCTGGTTCAGCGAGAGAATTGTCTAGAATAAAACCGCCGTCCAATCCGAACCAACTGCTTCGCGATGGTTTTCAGCGTGATCAGCTTCATCTCGCTCAAGCACGCCATCAGTGCGGGCAATTTCTTAAACGAGGTCTTCTCCCATCGCAGTCCCTTCGCGTCGGCCACATCGCCGCAATCTACGCCTCAACATCTTTCTCCGTTTCCACAATACGGACTCGCTGCAAACCGATTGATATACTCCGCCTTCCGCAGATACTTGCTGTTGAACGTCGACACCTGCATGGGAAGCTCCTCCTCCCTCACGTCGCTCAGACACTACATCGTGGGATCCCACAAATTCTACGCGGAGACACAAGCTTTTGAATTCTTCGTCCATCGTCGATTCGCTCACGCTGAAGGGCGTTTCACTATCAGGCGGAACGGAATTCCCCGCGGGGATCGCACTCGCAGAGGCGGGAGCCGAATCAAGTTCCGCGGGACTCTCAGCATGTTCGGTGGGCTCTGAGGATTCCATGGGTTCCGCAGGTTCCGCGGGTTCTTCGGCTGAAGAAGCGGATTCCGCGGGTTCCGCGGGGAGAATGGGGAGAATGGCAAGGGGAGAAAAACCGGGAGGCGAAGACTAGAATGAAAAATACCGCCAAAAATGGACTCGATTGGCAGCAAACTCTTCGTAGAGACTGTCGTAGACTGTGTGAATAATCTCGATCACACGGCCTTTCTACAATGCACGGCAGAAAGAAATGAAACTCCCGAAGAAACGGCTTCTTGGAAATTGTTGACACTGATATATCCAACAGCAAAAGGAAGTGGGTTATTTTCGACGGCGATGCATACGACCGTGTTGAGGAGAAGAGAGGGAAGTCCTTCCTCCTGATTGGTGAGATACGCCGACTGCGAATACAGGAACGATAATGCCTGGAGCCATGAGAGCGGCTCCGTCCATAATTCGCTTGCTGACATAGGAGTTGGTGTAGATCGTGGGAACAATGGTGGGAGCCTTCCACAGAGCAAATACTAGGTCAAAAAGACGAACGTTTATGTACTAGTCGGGTAATAGCGTCCTTCCTTTGTCAATATGATGAGAGGCTCTCCGGTCTTATCTTTGTATACACAAACTCCCGTCTTAAAACGAAGGAGCTCAATCTTCTAGAAATAATCGATTCGGTCAGCGATTCATACATCAGAACTGCAAAAGACCGCTTTGTCTGCCTCAGCCGTGTAGTTTTTGAAGCAATACTGAAGTTGATTTCTCAACTCATTTGCATCCTTCTTTTTGATGAAAGACTTTGTCTGAAGCAAGACATCCGTTTGTTTTCTGAACATACTGAAAGTCTTTGTGAAAATCGAATTTAGGAATTCTAATAATCAGGCAGAATAATGGTTCTATTTCGATTTGACGATAACAAATAGGCAGAACCCGAGAAAAGGGAGGTGGAAGTCAAAGAAGAGCCTTCCACTACTATTGTCAATCCATTTCGAGAGGATGACGCTAACATCGTGATTCGTCATTTGTAACTGCATGTAGACAGTCTAATAAATAGATACGGAGAAGTGGTTTGGTTGAAAATTTTTGATTATCCTTTTTGGCCAGCAATTGTGCTGCATCCTCAGTGGTTGTCTCCATCTTTATCTTCTATGTTGAAACTAAATAAGAAAAAAACACAAAACCGGCTTATTGCCCAATTCTTCGATGACAGGGATTCATCGTATTTGAGTCGTATTAATTTAATTTTTTAGTCAAGTTGTTGGGGTTAAGGATATTTGCTACCCATTCGAAGACTATTACAACGATTACAAAGCCAATAAAGGCATCGACGCTTCCTTTATATTACGAGCGAAGCGAGTATTTGTTTGTTGTAGTGTTCTCTCACCCCCAGGATAGCGAGCTTTCTCGACTTGAACGTTGTCGTATCCGCTACCGTTTTCTCCCCCACTGAATATCACGTGTAGCTACCATGGTTGATGACGATCTTCTTCGCTCAGACTATTGCATCGTTTGCAACAAGCCCATCGATGATTTGGATCGTGCCGATATTCGCATCAAATGCGGCGACCCGGGCGTTCCGCAGACCGAAACGCACTTCCAGCAGAAGTCCTACTTCCGATGCACCAATCCACAATGTCTATCAGGTTCCACGTTTCCACGATTCTCCGATCTAGTGTACCACAAGCAATGTGTTCCGCACTGCGTTTGGAACGGTCTCTGCGGGGTCTGCAAGCCCGGAATCCCCGCGAAACGCAGCCGAGCCGGCTCTCTGTCTTCGTCTCCCGCCTCCGAACGCGACGGGAAGCCGCTTGGCCGCGGGGAAAGCGGTCGCGATGGCGAGCCGGAGGAACGGCGCGGACTGAAGCGCGGCGCGAGCCGGTTACTGCGATCTTCGTCGCAGATGTCAGGTCAATCGGGTCAATCGGGTCAATCGGGTCAATCGGGTCAATCGGGTCAATTGGGTCAATTGGGTCGATCGCCGGGCGAAGACGACGCGAAGATCTCCCCAAAGAAACGGAAAACGGGTTCCGGGAAGTCGAAAGGGGGGAATTCCCGCGGTTCGGAAGTAACGTTCGATCGAATCAGCGAAGAAGAAGCGATGCTGCACGTGAAACGCCTTCTAAAAGAACTCTACGAGACGGGAATCGCGGAGGAAGTCCCTGTTTTAACGAGCGTGAAGAACGGTCTGAAGAACGGAATCGCGGTAGAAATAATTGCGAGGCTTGATCGCAGTGGTTCTCGACGTTCTCGGAGCCGTATCGCTGCGTGGTGTGCAAGATCGTCGCGTTGCTGGAGCGACACAAGTGATGGCAGGGCGGGCGTTTCATGTAGTGTGGAGACGGTGCGGGAATTCGCGGGGAATCTGCGAAGTCTGCTGGAGAGGAAGCTGCAGCGGCATTTCGCGGAGACGTCGTTTGAGGAGTTGGCGAGGCGCGAGCTGGAGGGTGGGTGGAGGGAAGAGAGTGGAGAGTAGATGCGAAGTTCGATGCGAAATCCGCGGAAAAACGGAAGAAACGGCTGGGGGAGTTGCGAGGCGTGCTGCAGAGTCCGGAAGATGTGATTCTGTGCAGGATTATTGAGGAGAGGGTGTTTGGGAAATATGGAGGAACGGGAGAGGAGTATGAGAAAATCGTGAAGCAGATTGTGGAGAAGATGAAGGATGAGAAGACGCGAAGGAGCGTGGAGATGGGCGAGTTGCTGATTTGCGAGCTGGAAAAGTCGTGTGTGGCCTCTTTGTAATTTGTTTAGTGGAATTGTTTGAGAAATGAAAGATGCGAAAATTCTTTGTAAAGTTCCTCATTGTTCTTTCTCTCAGTTTTTTTGTTTTTAGTTCTCATGGCTCCTGAAGCAACTACGATTAAGTCCATTTATGTACGAGGTATTGTTGGACGTTTGATCGTAGGCACGACAGATCTATGATAGTCGTGGTAATCCTACTGTTGAAGTATTTTTTACTCTGGGGTACTCACTGAAAGGTCGATTTAAAGACCGAACTCGGTCTGTTCCGTGCTGCGGTTCCAAGTGGAGCTTCCACGGGCATTTACGAGGCTCTTGAGCTGCGTGACGGAATTAAATCCGAGCACCATGGCAAGGGTGTGATGAAGGCAGTTCATAATGTGAACAGCATCATTGCTCCTGCTTTGATCGGAAAAGATCCTCTCAACCAAGTGCTACCTTTTGTTTCTCGTCATTGATAGGAAGAAATCGACAAGTTTATGGTCGAGCAACTCGATGGCACGAAAACCGAATGGGGGTATATTTCTAGGTTGTACACTGATCGTGCAGATTCTTGAAATCCAAATTAGGAGCCAACAGTATTCTTGCTGTGTCCATGGCTGTCTGCCGTGCCGGAGCTGCTGCATCGCACATGCCTCTGTACGACTACATTGCTACGCTTGCCGACTACCCGATCAAGCCACATCATCTCCCCATCCCTTCATTCAACATCATTAACGGTGGAGCGCACAGCGGCAACGCTCTGGCCTTCCAGGAATTCATGATTCTCCCGGTCGGCGCCTCGAACTTCCGCGAAGCCATGCGCATGGCCTCGGAAGTCTACCAGTCGCTGAAGAAAATCATCGCTCAGCGCTACGGAACGGACTCCGTGAACGTAGGCGACGAGGGCGGCTTCGCCCCGAACATCACGAACTGCGAGAGCGGCCACGCGTGCCATCCAGCGATGCACAGCGTGTACACGGCGCTGGATTTGATCCTGGACGCCGTGCGAGCGAGCGGATACGAAGGAAAAGTGAAGATCGCGCTGGATGTGGCGGCGTCGGAGTTCTACGACCGCGAATCGAAGCGCTACAACCTGCTGAAGAAGGTGAAGGGAAGCGGCGAGGAAGGAAAAGTGGACGCGGCGACGCTGCTGGGCTTTTACGAGAAACTGGTGGAGGAATATCCGATAGAAGTGATCGAAGACGGGTTCGACGAGGACGATTTCGAAGGGTGGCGAGCGATGCGGGAGAAGCTGGGGTCGCGTAGCGATGGGGCGAGGCGCTGAGGGATAGGGATCACGATCGTGGGAGATGATTTGACGGTGACGAACATTCTTCGGATTGAGAACGCGATCGAGAAGGGGTGCTGCAATGCGCTGCTGCTGAAGGTGAATCAGATCGGATCGGTGACGGAGGCGATCCAGGCCGTGAGGAAATGTCGCGAGGCGGGGCAGTGGAGTGTGATGGCGTCGCATCGCAGCGGAGAGACGGAGGATTGCTTCTTGTCGCATCTGAGCGTGGGGTTGCACACGGAGCGGATTAAGAGCGGAGCGCCGTGCCGAAGCGAGCGACTGTGCAAATATAACGAGTTGATGCGGATCGAAGAAGAGTTGCTGGTGGAGAAGGAAGAAGTGTTCTTTGGAGAGAAGAAAGTGGAGTCGTATTTAGAATAAAGAAGCATTCTCTTTGTCTGTTTGTTTGTAAACTTGCTTCCTTAGCTTGTTTATATGTGTGCTTCCTGAGCTTGTTTGCTTTGCTCGCTTTGTTTGCTTTGCTTGCTTAATAAAATGAAACAGATCACCAAGACATAACAGCTACACGTGTGATGTTTCGACGCGTAATATGATCCATCGCAAGTCCTTGCTGATGAAGCGATCCAAGTTTGATGGGATGCAAGTGAACACATGTCTTCACATTCTTCCAGAAATTATGGTTACACGTAATGATCGCGTTGTGGCTGAGACACCAATTGATCGTCGGCGCCGCTTGCTCTAAAAAGACACGATGCTTGTAGAAGATCGAGGACAACTTCACAAACAACGCGATATCATCCTTCGACACATAGAAATAATCCTGCAAGCTTCGTCGCGTGTTCTCCGGATCCGACAGACGGCACACTCGCTCCAGCGCGGGAATCGCGACCACTTCTTCCACTGCATTGCGCAGGGCTTGCGGATAAGGAACCCCGAACATGTTTTTCATCGAGTTCCACGACCAGGGAGCTCGGGGATTGTAGGTGCGCGTTGGCTCGTGATGGCTCTCTGAGAGGTTGTACATGTTCAGATAGAGCGGATCCAGAAAGGCATCGTCGTTCATTAGGAAATACCCCGCATACTTGTACGATTGGAGGTCGTGGAACAGCTGATAAGCCACCGTCAGTGTGTAGTAGCTGTATTCTCCGCCGACGCGAAGTCCGTGAGCGCATACAGTGAAAGCAGGTTGCGGATCCGGAGCGAGATACACGACGTCGAAGTCGGAGTTGAAGAGCTCGGCGAATTTGCGGAAATAGTTGTTTCGGAAGAAGGGAAGCGCGGCTAGGATGTTCCAGTGGTGGTTGATTACGATGAGATAGATTTCTTTTGTGTTGTGTGTGTGGTATTTGTACACATAGTTGGGACGGGGATCGCCTTTCGCGCATTCCTTCTCTCCGAAATGCAGCGTGCAATTGTATTCAAAGGGAACATACAGATCCTCCTCGGTTAACAAGCTCTTCGCATACCGCAACGCCTGAGCCCAGCCTTTTGTAGTATTGCGTTCAACATTGACAGTTGCTTCAACTTTCATAGGAGTTTTGAAACCAGAGGGTTTAATGTCAGGCACGACTGGATGATTTTCCGCTTGTGAACTTGGCACTACGGTTGGATCGCTTCTAGATTCCCTTAGCTGAGTCTTTGGTGACTCCGTGGGACTACGTGAAGGAAAAGGAGTTTGCGACGAAAAAGCAGATGGAGCATCGTCAGAATTCAATTCTGCTATCACTAAAACACATTGAATGAACAATACGTTTCCTTTGCACAGTATTGACACGAGAGAGTTTTATAGGAGAAATATCATATGAAATTGTGTTAAATTGATGACTACAATCAATTTCAAAACGAAAAACATACGAAATTGTGTTGGGGCGATCTGATGTAAAAAGACAGGAGGTAGCTATGAAGAGGGCAAGTGCTACAATTATGACAACATTAAGCGTTAGGTTGACCATGATAACTACCACCAATATACAAATTAATTTGATAAAACAAACAAAGCACTTCATTGAGACCAATTCCACGTCAAATACCAGAGTAGCGCCTACACAATAACAGCCAGACACAAACCATACCTCCAGGAATCACGCCACCAGCGCCTCTCATGCCATATCCCATATTGGCAGGAATGATAAGACGTCTCTTTTCACTACAAAATGACTGAGTATTCACATAAATACCCTGGGCACATGCCGAGAAGACCCTCTTCCCATCCACGAATAACACGTCCTGCTCCAAGTTTCAGGGAGAACGGAGTATTTCTGTCAAAGGAAGAATCGAATTTCTTGCCATTCTTGTAAAGGTATCCCTTATAAATTACATTCAAAGATGGAAGGCTACAGTGTAGTGTACATTCACGATATTTCCCTTCACTGCCTTTTGCGTGCAGTCTCCAGGAGTGTACTAATTGTAAACGAAGTGGACCGAGGATTACAATGTTCTGAATGACCAACTCCGCATCAACAGGCAAATCGGCTTTGGGCTGTTCTAAAGTTCCCATGGAATATTCCTGGGATACCGCCAGCGCAAATAAGAATACAGCAAGAACGAGTGTATACTTCATCAAAGGAATAGTGGTAGATTCACAGGAAGCAGTGAACGACGCCAGAACGCACCACAATATCAAGCCCGTATTGGTATTGATAATGAACACATGTATAAAAACAAACAACACACAAGAAATACACGATTACCAGCGCAAAGTCCTCTAAACACCATTAGTTCATTCTATTGCAAACAAGCCTAGTTTCTCAGATCTCAAAGACGTCATCATGGGCATCTGACATACGCTCAAAAAGTCATCATAGAAACAGACATTCGATAAAACCTCATTTACTTACCCTTTTCAAGGACGCGAGTGAAAACCTCCCAAAGACTGTATAAAAATATGAAAAAGGAATGGAAACAAGTAATAGGACTTGTTCAATTTGATGACCCCTTATATTAGTAATACACTCATATTGAAAAGCGAATATACGGACATTTCAATCTATCTGAAAATTCCTCCTGTTTTTACAGCTGCAAAAATAGCAGATATTTCTCTGTTGATATTTCTATGCCTGAAGGAGATACTGCCGAACTTATAGCATCCATACTAGTTACTTTGGGTGGAACACTTGCGTCCGCCTATTTAGCGAAAAAGTTGATCGACGCGATGGACATGAGTAAAAAGGTACGCCTAATGAGACTTGTACACCTCAGGATGTGGACAACGCAAAGAAGTCGTATTCCGAGTGGTTACGCAAGCGAGAGGAGAAAACGGGACGAACAGTCGATATTTCGAATAATGTCGCACTGGTTTTGATGTTGAACGTGTAGTACGAAGCGATTGTAATGCAGGATGTTATTGATCCTGACCATATTTCGACTACGTTTGATGATATTGCTGGAATCGACCAAATCAAACAAGAGCTCCAAGACATGATCATTTTACCGCTCAAAGAGCCCCAACTTTTTGTTTCTCACTCCCTTTTTTCTCTTCCCAAAGGAGTGTTGCTGTATGGTCCTCCTGGCACTGGAAAGACGATGTTAGCTAAGGCGCTTGCCAAAGAGTCCGGTGTTCCTTTCATCAATCTTCAATTGTCCGATTCTGTGAGCGTTCTTATGGATAGATCCACTCTAATGAACATGTATTTCGGAGAGAGTCAGAAACTGATCCGTGCTCTCTTTTCAATGTGTCGAAAGTTGTCTCCCTGTATTCTCTTCATCGACGAAGTCGATATTTTCCTCAGTGCGCGTGGCCGAGGGAACGACGAGGTTTTTCTTGTGATCGTCTCCTTCATTGTAGGCCAATGCTCAAATGAAATCGGAGTTCCTGCAGCTCTGGGACGGAATGCTCTCCGAGAACACGAACAATCAGTACGGAATTGTCGTTGTGGGTGCCACGTACGTTCTGGTCGCTTTTCGTTTTATGCAGAAATCGGCCATGGGATATCGATAAGGCTTTCCTTCGAAGACTGCCATGCACCTTCCTGGTGGATCTCCCTGTAGCATCGAGCGTGGAGTGTGAAATAGAGTAAACAGCAGCGAGAATCGATTTTGCGGCTGATTCTGAAGAACGAAGTCGTGGATGAGGAGTGCATTAAGGAACTCGCTGCGATTACCGATTCCTATAGCGGAAGTGATTTGAATGAGCTGTGTAAGACCGCCTGCATCTATCCGATTCGCGAGATGATCGATGAAAGTCGCAGGAATGGAATGCGTCTCTGCGATATTCGAATGGACGCTCCAGTGCGCAGAATGAATGTAGATAATGCGGATGAAAGGTTCAAAATAGATCAAGGACTTCAAACGGGCGATGACGCGAGTGCAGGCGACGGGAAAGGCTGCGTATAGCTACAGTGAAAGTAGTTCGCAGACTGCGTTCATTGACGCACTGCTGAACCATGGTGTGAACAAGTCACGAAGGAGTTCGGAGGATCTCGAAGATCTGGATAGTGACCTGTAGTGAATGTGTTTTTAAAGCGGATCATACTATTTCTTTTTGTTTGAAACACAAGAATAAAGGAGAATGGAATTAGCGGTATCCCGCGGTTCTGATGCGAAACTGTCGGGTTCTTCTGAAAATGGTTCTCTGTTTCTACGAATTATGATTACTTAGTCGCAGATTCTGCAGCCTTAAGGAATTATGAGTCAAAGCAGCAAGTAAGGAGATGTCGAATTTGAAGAGATTAATTTTGTAGAGCAAAGAAAACCTTCGATTTGGAGGAATTGCTAGGTCTTAACGTTCGTTCGGATCGAATTGTACTCGGTTCTGTTGAAGATGATAAATCAAGAGAAGTAGAAGATACCACTTCCTTCAACTGGTCGAAATTCTCATTGTTTGAAATTAGGAGGAGGATCTCACTCTCGTAGGCACGGAGAGACCGAAACATCATTGCTTTCGGAGGATCAGGTGAAGGCGATCGAGAAATTGAGTTCCACTGAAGCGACAACCGATGCGAAGAGCATTGTTGTTGCAGTGGATGCTCTGATCCTCATCCTAAAGGGAGAGACAAATAAGAACACGATTCGTCAGACCTTGTTGCTTCTTGAAAAGATCTTCAACTATGACAACAAGTACAGCGCTAGTATCCTTTCCGTGTCAAATCTGTCGGCCCTGTGCACAATTCTGAACGAGAAAATGCACGAGCTGGGCAGTATGCAGACGCCCGTGTCTTCCGTTCCAAGCGACCGAACCGAATCCACTCGTCGCTTGATTGTCCTTCTCTCCGGCTTCCTCTGCTCTGTCTCTCTCTCTGAGGAGCCTGTGGAGCCTGTGGAGTCCGCGGAATCTGCGGAGGCTTCGAATCCCCAAGCCACGCTGCGGTCGACGTTCCTTTCGTTCGTTCTGTCCTCCTTCTCGGCGGTTTCCCAGAAATCCATGGACGAAATGGACAGTCTGCTTGTGATTTCCGGCCTCGCCGTAGGCAGTGCGTCGCGTGTTTGCCTCTAGATGTATCTGCGCTACAAGCCGAACCGAGTGGTCGCGGTGCAGTCGAATCTGCTGTCGATGTAAGTCCGGACGATCGCTTGAATGGCAGTTTGAGCACTCTGTTCGATCTCTGTGTCACCAACGCCGTGCAGTTCGTCTACGAGCTGCTGCTGTGCATCTGGATGATCTCCTTCCTGCCCGACACGCTCCCGCTCTTCGGCAAGAAGCATCTGAACGTGGTGGAGCGTCTCGCGGAGAGTCTGAACACGTACAACAGCGAGAAGATCATCCGCGTGATCGTGAGCATCGTGCAGAATCTCATCAAGCTCCCTGAACTCGTCGAGGATCTCATCGCCTGCGGTGCGATCCGAAAGCTGAACCTGCTCAACCAGCGCATGTTCAAGGACCACGATATCAGCGAGACCTTGAAGGTCGTGCTGGACGTGCTGAACGCGAACTACGACATGCTGACCTCCTTCGATCTCTACGTGAAGGAGCTGGAGACCGGGCTTCTGCACGCCGGTCCGCGCCACACCGACGATTTCTGGAAGGAGAACGTGCGCGCGTTCGAGCTGGAGGACTTCAAACTGATCAAAAAGCTGATTGAGTGTCTGGGGAGCAAGGACGTGGACACGGTGTGCATCGCCTGTCACGATCTGAGCGCCTTCGCGTGCTATTATCCCAATGGACGAAAGTGAGCGATGGGGGAGAGGGTGAGAGGTAGGATCGTCGCGCAGTTCCATGGGAAGGAGAAGGTGATGGCGCTTCTGGCGAGCGAGAACAGCAAGATAATGGAGGCCTCGCTGTCGGCCTGCTCGCGCCTGATGATTAACAAGTGGGAGGATCTGGAGAAGAGTGGAGCCAGGTAGGGGAGACAAGAGGGGGGTGAGTGGTAGCTCGATGTAGGCAGGGAGTAAGGAAGGGTAGTTTGTAAGACGATGGAAGAGGGAACAGTGAATTACGACGAGTGTTTGTTAGATACATTTTGAGTTGGTGTTCGTATTGTGGGATGGAAGAGACTACTGCGCTTCTGCCCATGCCTGAGGAGATTGAGATCGAAGGGATCTCCTTTCACAAGTTTCAGGGAAATGAGGAGGTTTCGGAAATTAAAGAGCTAAATGATTCGATACTGAGCGAGTCTTATTCGTCGTTCACATACCATTTCTTTCTGAGGAGTGTTACCAGTATTACCTGGACTGTTCGTGTTTTTCCTGTTTTTGATGCTGTAGGCGAGAAACCAAGATGGAAAAATGGTGGGCGTATGCGTCTGTATGCTTGATATGTCTGTAAAACGTCCCCTTGGATATATTGGAATGCTGTCAGTGATTCCTGAATACAGAGGCAAAGGAATTGGTATTTCTGTGACTTTTGTCTGACTTCCAGCGAGAGCTTTAACAATTCGCTCCATTAACGAGATGATCCGTTTGAAATTTAGTGAATGCTATCTCGAAACAGAGGTGGATAATATCGGCGCATTGAATTTGTACGAGAGCCTTGGGTTCCGACGCACAGAGTATCTTCCTCGCTACTATCAGAACGGAAACTCGGCGTACCGCCTTATTTTACAACTAGAAAATGTGTATTTCCCTACAGTGAGTAGTTATTGGTAAAGTTGTCATTGTGTGTTTGTTTGACCGATTTTTGAATCGCTTTTTTAAAAAAGCAACTTCCAGGTCAAGATGAGTACTCATAGTCAGACTCCACCCTTGCAACCGGGTGATATGTCGGGCAATCACAATTCTGGAAACCAAAATGGTCAGCAGATGAGTATTGGTTTCTAATGCAATATTTAATTATAGATGGGAGTTTTTCCATCATATCTACTGATCGCGCTTCTGAGGGCTATCCGGATAGTTCTTTTTTCGGTGGAGGAACCCATTCATCGAAAGTTCCAAAAATTGATGGAGCCGAACCGCTTAATCTAGGTGATGACAAACTGGACGTAGGAGAAAGGAGCCATTTGAATATATAGGGGAGACGCAGCATGGAAAACTTATCTCCATTGCGGCTATCGATGGGCAGTCAATTCTTTCTGAGCTCGGGCTTAATGATGGGAACTAACCGTCCTTCTGCGGTATTTGAGTCTGCAGAGAACATGTATACGGATCCCTATGCGGCCAACGACTCTCGCAATTCCTTTTCCAATCGTTTAGTTTCGAGTCAGCTTCCTTCAATTCGGCAAACAGCCAGCAGTGTAAGTTTATTTCCTCCCTTCGGAGTCGGAGAATCCTCGCTTACTACAGATTGGGGACAATCCAACACCAATATGCCTGTATCATTCAATGAATCGGGTCAGCCCGATCTTGTCGATAAACCCGATCGCGAAAGCAGCCGCGATCCCTCCTTTTTCAACCAGTTTTTCAACGAAATGCCTCCTGTTCGCGAAGACCTCGATTTTGGGAATGGCAGAATTAGCGAGCTTTCCGTGATGGAACACGATTGTAGAACACAGGAGCTGTGTGTGAGTGTAGTCAGCGGGTTGAACTATGCTGTCCATCCGCAGGGGGGTTTCCCCTCCATTTTATCGCAGAAACTCCCGACGTCGTCTGCGTCGGTGGGCGTATCGAGTTCCGCGGGGATAGCGACAGGTCCGTTTCTTGCGCCCACGCTGGACGACTCGAGCTACAAAGAAAGTGGAACCGTGGAACCGGAGAAAAGCGCGGTTCCACAGCGACCGGAAGACAAAAAGCGCGAGAAAATGGAGCGAAACCGCGAATCGGCGCGCAAAAGTCGGAAGCGTCGAAAGCAATATCAGCAGCTTCTGGACAGCAAGGTGAGCGAAATCATTCAGGAGCTGGACACGGAGAAGCGAAACCGATTGGATCGGATCGCGGCGAGTTTCCGGGAGCAAGTGTACGCGTGTTATTACCATCAAAACGCGAGCGTTCGCTTTGGCAGCGGCGTGAATTGTAGGAAGACCAGGCGACGCGCCGCTTGCTTGCGCTGCTGAATCCGAAAAGCGTGGAGCTGCAGGAGCACAGCCTGTTCGTCTGGAACGAGCTGAAATCGCTGTGCTGTCCGTTCTACAGCCGCTTCACGCTGTGGCTGATTTCGCGCGTAGGAAGCGGAGGGGAGGCTTCATCGCAGGATCCCGTGTTTTTTCGACGGTACACCGAATGCATTCAGACGGTTTCGGGCAGCCGGAAGGTCGTCAACAACGAGCCGAAGCATCCCTCCGATTTCAGGTACGCGATGGCGGGAAGGTTCAGTGCAGCGGCGCCTTCTCGTTCTGGCCGAAGTTCATCTCGTACTTCAAGCTGGGGCCCGAGCAGGAGGCCAAAATCCGGCAGATCTGCACGCTGAACTACCAGAAACTGAGCGGGATGGTGATGCGATCGAGCCCGTTGATGACTCCCGCGGCAAGCCTCACTTCCGCTTCGCAGTCCGCGTTCGAGGAGTCGTTGACGCCTAGTTTGCTCGCAGAGCTGCAGAGCCTCACCGAAACGACGACGGAGGAAGCCAGCGGGCTGTTCTCCATGATGACCTCCTTTCTCTCGTCCCAGCAGATTTTCGCGCTGGCGGAGTTTTTACTGAACGATTCGGACCGCTGCCTCGCGGAGTTGGAGCAAGTGCCCGCGCGATTCGCTGCGCAGAGCGAGGCAGAAACGACGCCAGGCGACGAAGCGGAGGCCAGACGCGCGAGACGTACCGAAACCGGGGAAACCGGGGAAACCGGGGAAACTTTGGGGACTGGGGAAACTGGGGGAACTGGGGGAACGGAGGTACGGCACGGGGAGTTGCCAGCATTGACCAAAACGAGCTGCTCGGCGGAGAAGCTGCTGTCGGTGCTTCATTCGATTTGTTGTGTTTGATGGAACAAACAGCGCAATCCCGCTTTTCCTTGCCGCGCGCCAGCTTGTCGAAGGCGATTCCGAAGAACACGAGGCAGACGCCGACCCACTAGAGAGCTCAGGAAGCACCAGCTCCAATCTACCTGTCCCCAGGTGATTTCGTTGCCCATAAATACCACGGAGAGCAGAATGCTGAAGAACTTGCGCGTCGTGGTGATCGTCGACAGCACCAGCGGCGCGAAATGCCGCACCGTGAAGAGGATGAACATCTGCCCCACCGAGCTGCACACGCCGTACACCAGGCAGTACTACGATTCAACGAGCGAAGCGCGGCGCTACCAGCAAGCAGACGCGGTTTTCGAGGAGGAAACGCAGCCCGGGAAGAAGCTCCTGGCTGAACAGAGAGGCCACCAGCGCGATCATCATGCCGTAGACGTTGAGCATGACTTGCAGGCGGAAGCTGGAGGGTTTGAAGCGAGGAACGACGACGTCCTGCTGCATGCCGCAGACGCCGTCCATGCAGAGAGAAAGTACAAGGAGGAGCAGACCGAGGTTGCTGTTCGAGGACGTGCTCACCTTCTTTTTGTTGCTCAGAAGCTGGAACACTAGGAAAGCAGGGGAAAGAAGAGAGAGTACAGATGATGCCCACCGTCATGATGAGGACACTGATATACTTCCGGATGGAATATTTACGGGCTATGGAAAATATGGACCGTAGAACTACTTCCAAAGAGCGTGCCCGCGAGCATCACAGGGATCATTTTACACGACTTCGCTAGGACTTGTGTCGGATAAGTAACATGCTGCAAATTGAGCTCGTTATTTCAGAAAATACCTTTAAGGCATTATTCGAAAATATCATTGCCAAAGTGTAGCAGACACCGTAGATCCAGTAATCCGAAAGTACATCCCTTCTGAAGTGAATGTGCTACACGATCGAAAAAGATAACACAGGAAAACCTCCACATCTTTCACGGGTTTGTTGTATGTGTCCTTTCCAAACATACTAAACGAGAGTAGTACAACGCCAGATTTCTCATCAACATCGCGAATAATACATTCCTCACTATGCTCTTTTTTTCATGAATAAATCCTACTCTTTGTCTTTTACTCTATATATTGCCATTCTTCCCACAAGATCCTTCTTCGGAATCTGTAGACTGAACTTCTTGTTTTCTTTCCCTGTAATACTCAATACTATAATCATAAAAATCATCCGAATCATACTTAGCGATGCTATGGTGTAGTTGATGATTGTCTGTATCAAAAGAAGCACAGAAGTGTATTCAAATCGGGCTCCACTCGGACTGACATATCGATATCTACGTAAAAGCCAGTGTACAGACAAACATCTTTTCCTGGACAAGCCCAAAGCATAAATATATGGAGTAGATGCCGAGAATAGCAAAAACAAGCTTTTTGTAATATTGTAAATCCATTTCAAATAACAAATAGGAAAAAGTGCAAAAATCATGCCTATTTTATCATTTTTGTGAGTTTCCGCGATTATTTGTATGTTTTAATATCGAACCATAAGGAACATATTGTCAATTCTGAGTTAAATGTCTGGAAAACCTGGAGAATTTTCGTTAACGTATGCTCTGGATAAGAGTATGAATAACGCCAACGGTGAAAAGCCTGAGGAAGACCGATATCCGCCAGAAAGTGGGCATCGTTTCGACAGAGGCTGGAAAAATGGAGGTGACTATGATGAACCGCGTTACCGTGGCCCTAGCAATCGTTTTGGATACGGTTCTCAACGTATGGGTGGTTCGCATTATAACAATCGTGGTGGCTACAATGATAGAGGCCGAAATGGAGGTAATTATCGTCATCAAAGTAATTTGCGTTTTTCATTGTTCCCTCTTAGACACTATGTCGGAAGCGGACAGCAGCGCTGATTGGAGAGTAAAGAAACCGGCCAATCCTGTGAACTCTGCCTCCGAAGAAGTGAATAGAGAAAACAGCCCCCAGAATATGGGCTATAGACATGGCGGTTCAAATTACGGTCATGGATCTGGTAGTAAGTATCGTTATCGTCCACATGCGTATGACGATGATATGGGATTTAACCGGGACCGTGACCACTACAGAGACGATGAGTCCCCACGCGATTATTACTCCAGACCGGGCGGTCGTTCAAAGTATATTCCTCGTGCTCGCAAGCAGGACAGTCCATCCAAACCTGATTCAGACAAAGAAAGCCGCGATCCCGTAAATCTGAATCCTCCGTACTCCCTTTCTCTCCTTTTTGCTCATCCCTAGTGACTATCGTCCTGGCCAGAACCAGTTCTCGATTCTGAATTTCGACTCTTCTGACGAGAACGACTCCGTAGGCGTGTTCGGGTTTTTCTCACGCAGAATTTGACTCTGGAGCAGCTGAAAGAGCGCGCTGCCAAGAAGAACCAGGAGCGCATCGAGCAGACGCAGAAGGATCTCCAGGCGCGCGACCACGCGCTGCAGGAGCGACGCACCAAAGCGCCCGAACCGAGCGGCAGCAGCAGCGGCAATCAGTCCGCAGAGCGCGCGCCGAAAGCGACCTTCACGGTGGCGTGGAGCGTGGATTTGCGTAGGAATGGGCGCGGAAATCGATCCTAGCGGCGAGCTACAGCGACGTTCCGGCCGCGACGCTCCCCGAGAACCGCGTGGCGCAGCTGGCGGAGGCGCTGAACCAGCAGCTGAGCGCGCCGAAGAGCAAGGACCTGGAGAACATGCTGGAGAAGGCGAAGAAGCAGGACGTAGGCGGAGGCAGGGCGATGAAACGCAGGTGTTCCCGCTGGTGGTGCAGATCTTGAAGCTGGTGCTGAAGCGGAAGGAAGTGAGCAGCAAGATGGCCATGACGCTGGGTCTGTTCTTCAAGCAGATCGGCGATTTGGTGTCCAGCGAGATGATCGAGCAGGCCTTGCAGCGATGCTATCTGGACGCCGATTCGCTGGAGAGCTCCAAGATGGAGGCCGTCGCCGCGAACTTCGATGAGATCGTGAAGGCTCTGGACATGCACCAGCTGATCAAGCACGTGCCTTCGCGCGAATCCGCCGACGCCAAGGTCGAGAAACCGGAGAAACCGGAGAAACTGGAGAAGTCGGAGAAGCCGGAGGTGAAGGAAGCGGCGAAGGAGGAAGCGGCGAAGCCGATAAAGGACGAGGCGAAGTTCCTGGAGATTCTGCAGACGCAAGCGATGGGCGAGGAGCTGAGCGAGATGGTGGATCAGGCGGGTCTGGAGAAGGACACGCGTAGACGCGGAGAAGAGGCGTGAAGCGTAGGACTGATGGGAGTGCTGCTGAAGTTCATCCTGGGCGAGAACGATCCGATGCAGCTGGTGCTGGTGGAGAAGCGCGAGGACGGGAAGATGGAGGTCAATTTCTACCACTTCCTGCCGTTCGTGGCGGACAACTACGGCTTGCTGATTCGCAATTTCTGGGACGGACTGCAGATGGATCAGCACGTGGAGCTGCTGAACGAGATGGTGCGATTCTGGGATTCGGTGGGCCAGCCGCGCGGATTGCTGGAGGCGCTGTTCTACTCTGCGTTTGAGAACGATCTCGTGTATCCGGATGCTCTGGAGGAGTGGAAGGATCAGGAGTCGAGTGCTCGTAGGGAATGGGGCAGGAGAGTGAGGCGTAGTGAAGAAGCAGGCGGATATCCGGCTGAGCGATACAGTTTTCCAGATCCAGGAGTTCCTGAATAGCTTGGAGTACGAATGGCGTGTTTGTTTCTAAAAAGAATCGAGTGCGTGATGTAGATTGGCTCGACATGAGAACGAAAAGGAATAGGATGGATTGATTTTTTATTCGATTGATTGATCATTCGATTGATTTTTTATTCGATTGATTGATCGTTCAAATGATTGACTGACACAAACATACGGAGTGTTCCACTCGTTTATTCACACACAAAATGACTCAGCAACTTCCAGTTCGCGCACATAAACTCTTCCAATTCCTCTGCAGTGGATGTGACTTGATCTCCCTATCAGTCATCGCTTCTTCCTCACAAAAACCTTCAGTCGATCCACGATCACCGTGCAGACCACGCCCGCTTTCACACCCGCGCGTCGAGCAAACGCCAGGAACAGCAGCGCCTCCATCTCGATGTTGCACACGCCCGCAGCGTGGAGCTTCTGCAGAAAGGAGAACTTGTCCGCCTCCTCGTACCTTCACATCACACTGAAAGCACTTCCCTACTCACAGAAGAAACCGTCTGTGCGACCTTGATCCTCGTAGAATCCATCAGCAGACAGAGTAACGCCGGACACCACGGGGATTCCGTTCTCTTCGGCGAGCAATTGGAGGTGACGAACCACTTCGGGATCAGCGATCGCAGGGTATTGGTAGTGCTTTGTGGTACAAAAAGATGCAAAGAAGTACTTTGCCAAGCGCGGACTGTGTGTAAAAGTGATTGAGATCAGCGTCACAGCATTCTGTTGATACAACCACACTTCCAGGAGCTACGCCAATGCCCCCACATGTACCACAGCGAATGAAAGTACATTTGTCAAGGCAACCAGCGTAGTGAAGAAGCTTGTACACTTCATTGAGAGCTATACTCAACGAGGGCATGCCCATCCCATGACTCACACACAGGATCTTTCCCACCTTGTACCTACCGATAAAATTATACCAAAAGTTGGCACATCGAGTAACGTTCGGTCTTTCCAATTTCCTTTCCACCAAACGGCAACTCTAACGAATTATGAAAGAAATTCGCAAGATCTTTTGTTCGGTCTGCACTTCCTTGCATTATCACAAACTAAATCGAATCTTGTTCCGAACGGATTACTCTGCAGTCTCCAAACTCACTTTTCAGATCCATCGAGGTATCTAATCCAAAATGGTACAAAACGTTCTTGTGAAGGAATTCGTCTGCTTAAATCGGATTAGGATATGTCTGTTTCAAGAGCTTTCAAATGGGGATTCATAATCACAAAAAGAATGAGATGAAAGAAATAGTTCCAACAAACAGTCCACATGCTCTGTTTCGCCAACTTTGCGTTCAGCACAGAGACCACACCCTTCCACTCCTCCGCAAGCTCCTGACTACAACTCTCTCCCGCATCCCCCTCCGATCCGTTCGCTATCTTTTCTCCGCGACTCAGCAGCGCAATAATCAGCCCAGCGTACTTCTCCGACTGCAGCAGCACCGGAATAATCGCCTCCGTGAATCAAGGCCTCTTCCCCACATCATAAAAACAAGGATATGTTTTCTGCTGAATAAACGAGTTCAGAACCGCGGTGAGAAAGCTCAGATCGGCCTGCTCGCTCTCCAGATAGCTTTGGATGGTCCGCAGCACGCGGTCGGTGACTTCGCGCTGCGCCTCATCGCCGGTCCAAATCAGTAGATAGGGGATGAGGATGGACAGCAGACACTTCCAAACCTCCTTCGTAAAGAACGGAGCCGCGGCGAGCAGAAGCTTCTTCCCCTTCTGGTAGCTCAGCACGCGCAGCAGACCCTTCGGCTTCACGGAGAGCTGCCCGGTGCTCGAGCGGTCGATCGAGAACGCTTTCAGAAGGTGGTGGTGGGCCTCTTCGATGTCCTGAGGGTGGGTGGAGAGAGGAGGTCAAACGTGTTTTAGAAACGCCTGGGCAAAGCTGTTGGTCGAGTTGTCGAGACGCAGATGGCATCGCTCGATTTTGAGAATGTCCGAGTAGCCGGACTAGATGAAAATGGAAATACACGTGGAGAGTACTTCGATTTGACTCAACAGGCGAATGTGAAGCTCTTTGGAAGACTCATCTTCGTCTAGACTCAAGATCTCGAATTCTAGCTGCTTTGCTTGCTTTCGAAAATCTCGGTACTCCGTGACTCCCAATGTTTTTGAATCGAACGAGTTCAGGAACGCGATTCTACGCAACTCATTTCGAGATGCGATCGCCTCCTTTGTCCGATAGTCAAAGAACGGATTTCCAGTATTTTGCTTGAAAGAAGCGTCGTTCTGCTCCATGGTCTTGTAAAAATAGTACAATTCAATGAATGGGTCTGTGGTATACTTTATACTTGATAGATTTGAAATGAGAGTTCCAATTTCGGTAGGAAGCATGTATTTCGATCCTAGCTCGGTTACTACAATGGAATCGTTTAGAAGCAGTCCTACATGCAGCCACGTTCACTTTTTCTTTGTTCAAGCTCATCAGCTGATCGACTTCCTCAATAGATTTGACTTTGTCTGTGCTCTGTGCAGCCTCGCCCGTTTCCGAGCTTTTTTCAGCAGGCTCACTCATGTTTAGCGAGATATTTCAACTTTCGAAAATAGCAAATAATCGGCATTTTTTCGTTCCAGCAAGAACCGAAGGAAAACCGCGTGAAAGTTAGGCCCAAATTATTAGGGTGCATAAAGTAGAAGTATATCCCAAAGTGATTAACGTTCCCAGTCCGTAAATTTCATAGATTGTTTGTCTATTGTTCGTTTGTCGTCGATACGAATAAAATGGAAAATCTGAAGACTTACTGGACTTCTGTTGAGGAGTTTTACAAGAAAATCACTCCGAAGAATGGTTTGTGTGTTCTGAGGATATAACATTTAGAAAAGCTTTCTGATATCGAGAATAAAATTAAGGTTCCCCTTCACTACATAGTGATGGCGGTTAGTGTGCTTTTGGTCGCTCTTGTTTATCTGCTGATGCGCAAATTCTTTTTTGCATACCTGGCTTTCTTTGTCGCATTGGGCCTTACTATGAAAGACCTCTCTGAGGAGAAAGCCAAGGAAAAGAAATGGGCAGCCTACTGGCTCGTTTTTTCTGTTTTCCAGATGCTCCCTTCTATTCTGGACGGAAACATGTATTACTCGATTATTAAATGTGCCATTCTGATCTATTTTGCTGCGTTTGACGAGTGCACTGTAGTAGTCGAGGCGCTGACTAAGGCCAATGAGTACCTCATGAAGGGTTGGGAATGGTACCTTGACTTTTGCAGAGGGAATGTAAAGATGGACTAAGGTCATACATTATGGATTGTTTGTTGAATCAAGGAGAACGTACTCATCGCCTGGAATATTTCACTACAAGGTTTTCCGCTACTTCCATGTCTTGTCGAAAGCGACGTCTTCGAGAGTTGTTCCGTAACTGAAACACAATCATCGTACTGGCAATAGACACTGCGAACAGTGTGAAATACTACATGACATCCAAATCGGATTGATACTTGCTGTGTTTGCTTGATCACTGCCTCCGATGATAGTAGATCGAGGTTATTACTGTTTGAAACATAATAGCCAAAAAGCCTCAAGGCAAAGAAGCAGCTCAACAGAAGCAACGCTAGGAAAGCGAAATTCCCCTCAAACCATCGCGTATGGCGAATATCCCGTAAGTATTTCTCTTTCATTTGGGTCCTCCAAAGCAGAATGAATAAGCCATCGTGCTGGAAGTAGAGAATATTGCTAGAAATTGTGGGGTCAAGACGATACTCGATAGAGGACCTTGACGCGATCACATGATAGAGCATGCCATATTGCTTGACAAGGGTGGCCTAAAGCATCATACTCAACAGGAGTGAACAGACCCTTAGTAAAACAATCTGGTCGTCTGGCTCCAGTGAAGAATGCAAAATCGGATGAATCAGCTCGAGGATCTCGCGCTGGATTGCTTTGTTTGGAGTGGAATCATGAATTGACACTTCACATGAATCAGGTAGCTCTGTTTCATTGAATGTATCGCATTCACCACTGGTTCCTATATCCATTTCTGGTCTGAAACAGAATATATCTTCGTTTGTTTCCGCATCGACAATGACGAAACAATACCCGTGCGACTGGAAATTAAGAATTCGAACACCAGACTCCAAGGATATATATTTCAACGCATCAAAACTCTCAAGGGATTTTACAACACACCATCCTCCTCCAAACTAGTTCTTACGTCTCCCAATGAATGATACACGCTCATTTAAGTAATTATATATAACATTTGTGATGGAAACAGAAAAGCAAGCCTCTTCTATTTGGTCCAGCAACAGGAGAGTAGACCTGGATAGCTCGTAGTCCCAGCTACTGAATGATATCGAAAAACGATTACTCCAAACCATAGGGATATAATACGTTTTCATTATTCCTCTGCTGAAACTCCTATTCCCTCAGAAATGATGGAGCAGGAAGTAGAATTCGCAGAAGACAGATAACCATTAGCAAGAACTGCGGAGACAGAATGAGAAACTTGACAGATTGGACAAGGCACTCGATAACCTCCACAACGTCAGCAAAGCAGTCGGCGATGAACTGGAAGAGCAGATCACGTATTTCTTAGGGATCTTCTGTGAGATAGCTTGATTGAAAGACTTGAGGAAGCAACGGATCGAGCAAATGAGACCACGAGAAAGTTGCACAAAAATCTAAAGACCCAGGTCCAGCAAGGAGAACAAACAAGTAAATGCAGGCTTGATACATTATGTGTAGACAATACGATTCTAGACATTGTCCTAGTGCTTGTTTTTATTTTCTTAGCACTGGTGGTCGTGTATGTCTGGAGACATTAGGATTTGAATTGATTTAACTAGTTCCACTAAAATCCACATTCTCTATACTTTAGCAGTTCCTCTTTTAGGCGGCATCCTTTTTTGGCTTTACCAATCCCATTGTTCATTTCGATTGATCTATGTGTTTGTTTGCTCACTCCTTTCAATTTGATGTCTTTTTTTTCTATTTTTCTATCTTTTTTGCTTCCAGATTTTGCCCAAATTAACCGAGGGTTTTTCTTCACTATTTGTGCTGTGATGTTGGCAATTACATCGGGAAAGGTATCTTCCACTCTGCTATTCGCTGCACGCAGTAGTGGAGCTCTCTTTGGTAAAGCTGTCGTTCCATTTCCTAGAGCAGCTTTTTGTCGTCTATTCAGTGCTACTCCTGCAGAGCAAGATACAAAGAAGGTACATAAGCTCTCGCTTTGGTCAAAGCCAATCTCAAAGCCCGTGACGAGTTATTTCTCCAATCCGGAGATTGAAACGGACTGGGAGATGCGTGAAGAAGAGGAAACTCGCATAAAATTCTACTATAACAAGGTTACTCAGGATAAGGTATATCTAAATCCTGTTCTGAAACCAGCGCCTCTTGTTAGACGTCTTGGAGCTGGTCTTATTGATGTCAGTGTATCGCTGGGTACTGGTTTCATATTTGCGTCTAGTTTATAGTTGGTGCGTTCGCTGTGTATATGCTGTCATCTTTCGAACTTGGAGATCAAAGTTTGGGATTCAATATAGGACAGATTTACTTCTACCTGCTGTTTTCTGTCAAGGATCTCTTTGCTGATAGGAGATCCCGAAGTATTGGAAGAAAGCTAATGGAATTGGAAGTTGTGAATAAGCATGGAGAAGTAGCCAGTCCTTACCTGACCTGTTCCCGTAATTTAATCCAATTTTTGCTTCCGTTTACTATGTTCATCGGTGGACAGATATCCATTATATTTTCTTTCACTTCTTTGATGGATCTCACACTCATGATTGTCATGAAGAAACGTATCATGGATTTCTTCTTAGGAACGAGAGTAGTTTCAGAAACCGAGAATTTTCAAGCGGTAGGTGTACATGGGGGTACTCATAGGGTAGAGAGTCGACCTGTATAAGGCGAAGGTTGCTTACAAGAGACAGTCCGAGCTGCTGGAGGAAACGAGTGTGTCTGGTATGCAGCAGATGATGATGCAGCAACAGCAAAAGGAGAAAGAAAAGGCCAAGGCGAACGAAGGGAAGGAACAGTAGTTTTAGTGTTTGCTTGCGATGTTTGTTGAATTCTATTGTGTGGGTATAGGAGATTGTGTTATTTTTCGTTGATCTCTGGGGTAGTATGTTGTCTTTCCAAAGAGTATTGCCGGGCATTGGGAATGGGATAGTTGCCTACTCTCGAGGTAGTGTGTATGTTGTATTTCTGACATGAGTAGTTGCTGTACGCTGCTATGCTACGAAAACACCGGAGCAGATGGAAAAGATTGCCAACTACCAAGTAAATAAAGCAAAATATAGAGACAATGTGCTTTCTGTCTTGGAGCTTCATTCGTAGGTTCGAAAGTTACGAAAGCAATACTCCGAAGAGTATGCGGATCTTCAAAAGCAGTATGATACAATCCGAGCGTGCGCTGTACTGCGAAGAACTAAAGCGTAGAGAAAAAGCGCGTGCAAATGAGGAGAAGATGAAGCTGAAGGCGGAGGAGGCCCGTGAAGCGAAGGTGGGAAACATTCGCTACCACTGGGAGCACTTGTGCAATGCTGAGATAATGAAAACGTAGGCCTTCGGAGGTCACTTTAGAATAGGATGCGTCAGACGAGAGGCGTGATGAACCAACTTCATCGAGAGTCAGAGAAGCGAAACCACATGAGAAAGATGCTGGATGCTCACATGGTCTATTTAGCAAATCCCTACAAGTTGGAAGAAGTGGAGAAGCGTGTTTTGGAGGAACTTCAGGAGGTTGTGCCGATTGAGCGCGTGTTTATGGCGGGTCCCTACGATAACTTCGATGCGATGACGGTTCCCACAATGGAAAACTACGAAGAGAACGAGGTTCCCGACAACAAGCCTGTGACCAAGGCACGCGTGCAAGAATTGAAGAAACAGTGGGCTGAGAGTCGTCAATGATCTGTTTGTTTGAATCGTGCGTGGTTTGCATCGAAGCGATCCTTTCTTTTTTAATTTTTATTTTTCTACATCACTGTGTGTGGTATCACAATCATATTGATTCACTCAACCGTTCCCCCTGTTTCCATCACTCATTTGTCCAACAAACACTCTAGAAATTGTTGTGTGCGTCCAGAGAGAGAGAAGCTTACAGACGACCTCCCGATCCAGCCATGGGAGCCACAGTCTCCTCCACCTTCACGCCCTCTTCCTCCTTCTTCACGACATCGGCGTGCTGCTCCATCAGCTTCACCGTATCGATCTTGGGCGACTTGATCATCTTCACCTTGCGGATCAGCGTGTTCTCCAGAGGATAGATCTTGTTGCACTCCTTCTGAATGCGAGCACCGATCGACTCCATGCACAGCTTCGGAACCAGCGTCGCAAGATCGCACTTCGACACCTCGTCCGTGATGATCTCCACCATCTTCGCACGAATGCGGTGGATCTGAGAGGCCTGCGCGTAGCAAGTCTTCTTGTTCTGGTTGTCCTGCTTGCGGGTGAACGCGATGCAGAACAGACGCAGCTTGTAACCGTCGGTGGTAGACACCTCCACGTTGCACTCAATCAGAGTCTTCCACTTCTTGATCAGAGAACCCAGCTTGTCGCGGGTGATGTCCATTCCGTAGAAGAGGGTGATGCACTTATCTCCCTGCACGTCCTCCACTCGCAGCTTGATCTTGCGGTAACCCTGCTCCTCGTTCTTGCTCAGATCACCCAGATTGGCCTCGAAAATACGTCCCTTCAGACCCTCCGAGGCAATCTTCAATCCCGAAGTACGAGACACGAGCGTCTTGCACACATCACGCACCAGGAACTGGTTAGGGGCACGCACATCGTACCACTCCTTCTTAGCCATGGTATCAATCACCTTCTTTCCCTTTCCCTTCTTACTGACTTTCTTTTGAGACTTGCCTACAAATGGGTTAGAAGCTGGGAAAGAATCACTTTGTTATTTCACAAAGAGCACTAGAAATGCACCTACCAATAGCCATGGTTCACACAACAACAATAGTTGATTTCTGAATTGGAAATGTCCACTCGTAATAATACCATAATAGTGCTCATATATACGCTTATGAATCCTATCGGATTAGATAAATAGGGACCATTCTTTATAAAATCTATTTCTCGATTAATCAGCATATTTTGAATACCAAATTTCTGAAATTGAATGCTTCACTCATTTACTCTTTCAAAGTACAAAATTACAGGTTGGAAGAATGAAAACATACTCAACGATGATCATTCCACTACGAATCGGGCAGCATCGCTCACAGACACTTATTTTCATAATAGATCCCACAGAGACTCATTCGACCGTTTTTAGAAATTCAAAAAAGAAAGGATTTATTCCCTTAAAGCTCATAATGAGTATGGACAAGACACCTGTGAGCGTTGAGCTAGAAATAAGGGCGTATAATGATTCTACAGAGGAAATTGCCTCTTATTTGGATTCGTCCACACAATTGGATACTTTGGATGTTACGATTTCGAGTATATATAGATTTTTGCAGTTTAATCGTCTCTAGAAGTTGAACAGCAACTAGCTACGCTGCGCACCCAGTTGGGTGCTATGATGCAGACTCAGCTGGATGAGCTTTCGGATTCTCTTCGCGTATCTATGAAATTCGCTGTTTTTATGTAGACTGTACAATTGATAAAGGAGAACACAATGAATATGAAAAAGCGCTTTGACGACGTCCGCAAAAACTGTAAAGAGAGCTTGAAGACTTTGGAAACGTAGTGTTCGAATTGGGTGTGATCACGCTAGGAATACGAAGATCGACAAGCTGTACATTGCTCGCAAGAACGTCATGAGCGTCGTAAGCCAAATCCGATTTATCAACGAGCTTCCTGAACGTCTCAAGGTCATGACCACACGTCTAAATGAAGACTACACGTGTCTCAAAGTGGTCTACGACGAATGGATCGGCTACTACTCGTGGATGCAAAAGCTGAAAACGCAGATCAGCGCGATGTCCTCTCCCGAGATGCAGGTTTCCCCTTTTGTCCCCTCTTTGATCCCAGCAATTCGCGGGCGAAATCTACGGCGACTGCTTCGAAAGCATCCTCGCACTCCGCCAGCTCCTGGAAGACAAGCTCTGGGAGCACATCTATCGCTGCCTGCAGCTGGGCCAATCCGATCCTGCCGCGTTGGTGCGCGCTTTGACGATCATCGAGAAGAACCAGCGTCGTCATCTGCGAGCCAAAGACGTATTTCTAGACGGGCGCTTCGCCGTAGTTGCACGATCACGGAGAAGAAGTGGTGTCGTGGATCTTGGAGGATCGCGATTGGGTGGAGGAATGCAAGGATCGGCTCTTGGCTGCAATCCAGCGTCGTTGCGAGTACGCGTTTAACGTTTTTTTGTTCTGTGTGTGTGTGAGAGATAGCAAGGAGAATCGATGAAGGACAAGCTGCGAATCGGAATGCAGCTTCTCGGCGATTTGGATGTCGTGCGAACGAAGCTGGTTCCCTGCTTCCCGCCGCACTACGACATTCTGCAGTTCTTCATCAACCAATACGCGCTGATCGCCAACAACCAGGTGGGTGTCGGTGTCTCTCTCTCTGAGCCTAGATGGAATACTATTACGAGAGCCAGGGATTGGAGCCCGGCGAGATTTTGGTGCTGCTGGAGTGGCTGGATAGTTTCTGCGAGGAAGTGAAGGCGTGGGGCAGCGACGATATCCCGGTGTTTGTCGAGGCGAAGAAGAAACTGCTGGGCAAGTTCGAGCTGGTCTGCACGGTAGAAATGGGCTTTGCTTGCGAGGGTAGACGCAGATGAGTGTGTATTTCACCCGAATTCTGGAGGGAACCGAGCACGTGAGCGAGAACGAGCAGGGAGCGCTCATCTCTCCGTTCCCGGAGCTCATCTTCAAGCTGATCCGGACGCAGATCGAGCTGGCGGACGAGCATCTGAAGGACCTGGCGCTCTGCGAAGTGATCCGAGTTGCAATGTGCGAAAGAGTCAACGGTAGATCTGCATCAGCTCCGTGCAGACGTACATCGATCACTACGAGCCTTTGCTCACGGACTTCTCCGATCGCCAGCTGTGTATGCTGATTAACAACAACAACCATTTGCGATCGCAGATCGAAGACATTCCGAGTATGCTGAGCGCGGATCTCTCGGAGGAGGCGCAGCCCGTGATGGCGACGAATATCGAGCAGATCAGCGCGAAGCTGCTGGATCTCAATATCTTGGTCTCGCACACGATCGCAGATATGATCATCGGCGATATTGACACAGCGAAGGTAAGAGAAGTGAGGGATGGATAAACGTGTTGTAGGTGCTGGAGAATACCTGCTTCACGGAGGACTGGCTGAATCAGGAAGAAGCGGACGGCATTCTCACGATGACGAGCACGTACATGGATTACTTCAACGATCTGAGCGTGTGGATCGAATCGAAGTACTTCCTGGGCGCAATCATGATCGACTGTCTGCACAATAGCGTGAAGCGGTACATGAGGTGCTTCGCGCAATCGAATCTGTACGTTGATGAGTGGATCACGATCGGTTGTCGCATTAAGACCGATTACGATGTAGAAGATGGGGAGGGAGAGAGTGATGCGTAGTGTCTGCTGTCCTACTTCACGAGCGATTATGTGATGAATATAATGAAGAGCAACAATCGAGACTATGCGAATGCCGATTTTGTGGCGACAGTGCTGGATCCGATTCGAAACCTGGAGATCTATTTCAAGTCCCCTGCGGAGATCATCGTGAGCAACAACGAAATCTCGGACGAGGGCTACCGCTTGCTGCTGTCGCTGGTGGGCGGACGGATGATGCCGAACGGAATCAACGCGTTGGTGATGTCGAGATCGGATATGTCGATCGAGGACAAGCTGCTGATCAAGGAAAAGTTCTCGAAGTTCAATTCTCCTGTTTGGTTCCGAACAAACACGATCAGTAAACAGATTTAGTGCATCTTATGGATTGCCTTCTTCAGCTTGTGGATCGATCTTCCCGGATTGAGATTCTTGGGGCAAGCATGCGTGCAGTTCATAATCGCATGGCATCGATACAGCTTGTACGTATCGTCCAGACTCTTCAGTCTCTCCTCCGTCATCTCATCACGCGAATCGGCGATCCATCGGTACGCTTGCTGCAGAATCGACGGGCCCAGATACTTATCGCCGTGCCACCAGTACGACGGGCACGACGTCGAGCAGCAGGCGCAGAGAATGCACTCGTACAGACCGTCCAGAAGCAGACGATCCTCGTGCGACTGCAGGTTCTCCACCTTGTAGTCCGTGCTCACAGCCGACTTCTTCTGCAGCCACGGCTTGATCGACGCGTACTGCTCGTAGAAGTTCGTCAGATCTGTAAGGATAGTAGATGAATAACCACTCAGTACCAGCAACCAGATCCTTGATCACATACAAGTGGGGAAGGGGACGCACGGTGCAAACCTTATTATCCTTGGGGATCTTAGTCAAACAAGCCAAACCGTTCTCGCCGTTAATGTTCATGGCACAAGAACCGCAAATACCCTCACGGCACGATCTATTCTTAGGTCAGTACGCGATATTTCGTACCTTCGGAAGACAAAGGTCGGGTCCTGCTCGTTCTTGATCTTGAAAAGAGCATCCAACACCATGGTTCCACAACTACTCTTCGCAACACATCAGCATATTGTACTCGTTCATGTCAACAGCGTACTTCTCATAATGAGGCTTATTATCTCTCTCATTATCGAAACGGAAGATGGAGAAAATCTTATAGTTCTTCTATAAATGAAAGCGAATGACTACGACAACAGGCTTGTCCTCAGTGGCGTTAATCTTCATATCGGGAGTAGTTGCCATAAAACGCTGAGAAGCAGCCTGTAACATAAAAGGCTGTCTGGCAACACTTCTTGCGATAAATGAAACTCTTGAGGCAAGCATAGGTAATGATTTAGTAGAATTCCAGCCTTAAGAGTAGAAAAGAGTAGAACCGCGGTTTTCGAAACTATTTGTGAAGTGAGCTTTCTGTACAATCGAGGCATGCAGGAAAGGGTAAAAGCACTATTCCAAACGTTTCACGCCAGAATATTAATCTCCCTCCAAATGGGTTCCGATCCATAAATATGTCTATTTTGGAGCAGGTGTCCGTCTTTCACTTCAAATCCTATGATAATGAACAGAAATATCGGTTTTCAGAAAAACTCAACTGCATTGTTGGTCGAAATGGAAGCGGAAAGTCCGCATTGATTGATGCTATCTGCTGTGCTTTAGGATTCGACTTGAAAAGGCTTCGAGTCTCCAAATACAGTGAGTTGATCACTCACCAAAAGGAAAAGTGCCATGTTGAACTTCAGTTTGGGGGAAAGAAGAATGTCACTCTCAAGTTTTCTGCAGATACGCAAGGGACAGTTTGTTTTCGGTACAATGGGAAGCAACTCTCCCGCGAACGACTCCGTCAGACGATAGGAGAGCAATTGGGATTAACAGATCCGATTTTCGTAATTCAGCAGAACCGAATTCAGAGTTACTATGACAATCTAGTCGATTTTCTCCATGAAGTATCAACGCTCGACTGAGTGAACTGTAGACAAATGGAAGTGGAAAGTATCTGGAGTTTTTGCAGAGCTATGAGAAAGACAAGCTGACTCTTCAAAGCCAGCTACAGAGAATTCAACACCTAGTCTGTCAGAAGCAGTTGAGCAATGAGCGATTTCAATCGCATTTGAGATGGGAAGCGCTCAACAGAGAAATCATGCGAATGCAAGGTACTTTAAAGGATAAGCAATCTATTCTGACGGATCAACTCCATCAAGGTATGTTCCTATAACAAAATAGAAAGTAGAATTGTCCGATCTGCGAACGGAATACCAAGAGATTTCGAAAACGCTTCAACAGGAAGAGGAACTCCAAAGTTATCAGCGAGCGTTCCGAAAGCATCAGCAAGTAAAGCAATTGTTCGACTTAGAGTATAGAAAATGAGTGAGATTGGTTCCTCATTAACTCATTTACTTGAGATCAGCAAAAAGATAAGAATGGAAAAAGAGGAATTACAGAGAGCGATTGACTCCTTGGTTATTCAGGAGGATCCTCTGCCTCCTCTCTATCAGAGACAGCGCCAACTGCAGAAGAGAAAGGAAGAGCTGGAACAAGAAGTCATTCCTTCGTTTTCGTATCATGGCTTGGTGATCGAGCAGTTTCATTGGAAACCGGATATTGATGAGTTTGTTCCATGCCTCATTCAGCTCTTGAAGCCATTTCTGACCATTCATCTATGCGATACTTACGAAACATCCAAAGAATTGCTAATGAAACACAAACCAATTCGCATATGGGTAATGGAGCGATTAACGCAGATGCGACTCCCTCCAACCACGATTCAAGAAGGAAACATCACTCTAATCCACCCTTCCACTCTCCTCGCAGATGATACAACACCTATTAATCTCATTAACGCAGTATGTGGCAACACTTACTTTCTGAAAGAAGGAGATCCCAAAGAGTTGACACTTATCATAAACAAACATTCGATTCGAGTCATTACCATGGATGGCTCGATCCATTCTGTGATGTTTCTGTTTGTTCAATTACCAATAGAAAGGATCGCTCCTGGGAGGGTCCATCCACATCGATCGATCGCTTTGGAAGAGAATCACTCGCTTGTCTCCTCAGAAGGAGTGGATGAGCGTTTGTCAAGAGTTACGCACGCTCAATGACCGGATTTTTGAGTGTGAGAATAGCCAAGCGGTTCAGCAGAATGCTGCCAATGCGAAGAAGCTCGTGGCAGATAGACTGGCTTTGGACTCGCTCAATTACCAGCAGCAACAGGTAGAGAAGGAGATTAATACCTTGCAAGAGCAGCAGAAGAGAGAATTGGAATCGATCCCTGTTACCGAGAACGTGGAGGAAAAGGAGGAAGCGGATCTATCGTCTCTGATTACCAGACAGGAAAAGGTTTCAGAGGAAATAGCAAAGAAGGAGCAAGCGATAGACCAGTATGCAGGACCTGGAAGGAATGCAAAGAACGCAAACAAACCAGGGAAACGTCTGAAGATCGTGCCAATGAATGGATCTTCTTCTTCTTCTTCTTCTTCTTCTTCGGAAGAACTTATTGCAGAAATAGAAAAGCTGCAAGCGAGGTTGAAACAGCTGAAGGAGGACATTCAGCTGGAGAACGCAGAGGAACAGACGCAGAACGACGAATCGGTGGAGACTTTGCTGGAGCGAGCGAAGGTGATCGAAGAGGGAATGAATGCGCTCAGCGCTCTCATCGAAAGCACGAACGTCCGCGTGAAAAAGCTGAACGAAGCGACCTTCGAGACGATCTCCAAACATTTCAAATCGTTTTGCAAGCGATTGGTCGTCTATTTGGTTTTGAATAAACTCTAGATCCCAGAGAAAGACATCGAGCTGATTTCCTCTGTACTGGTTTCCCATCCCCATTCACCGATAGGATATTGACAGGGAAATCGCGATTCAAATCCGAAACGACTGCAACGATTCCTGGAAAACAAGTATTCATTGCGTACTCTCTGAAAAGCAGCGTTGGTGGAACTGTCCGGAGGGCAGAAGTCGCTCGTCGCGGTCGCGCTGGTATTAGCCCAAGTGATGTATCACCCATTTCCTCTGTACATATTCGATGAAGTAGGATCGAAGAGCGGGTCGAGACTAGATCGACGCTGCGTTGGACGAAGAGAACACAGAGCGCGTGGTGGGTCTGATCAACGAGGTGATGGTGAAGCTGAACATCCAAGTGCTCAGCATCTCGCACCACGCGTCCTTCCATGCGAACGTGGGGAATGTAATCTCCATCAAACGTGAATGAACCTCCCAATCGATTTGTAACAAACACACAACGCTTTTCTCAAGCTAAGAACGAGGCAAATAATGAGCAGCAAAATTGTCACCGCAACGAGGACCTTTCCACGAATGTCATCCACTGTACACTTATCCTCCTTCTTGATGATCGTGGGAACCAGCGTCAATCCGATAAACAGCAGGATCGCGATGGACAGAAGGATCGAGCACTGACCCACCAGCTTATAACCGCTGATATCCACTCCCGACCCAGTGATGATCGTCTTGATCAGCATCGGCAGACCGATTCCGAAGCTGATATTCAAAATCTGCGCACTGATGGAGTTGTTGATGGCCACGTAGCCGTGACCCGCCGTGGACATCCGCATCGCGTACTGCAGATCGGGGATGGAGAGGTTAATCGCCACCAGCACCAAACCCACAACCACACCAACATTGCTCTGGTGACAATGAAGGAATCCTCGAAAGACTCAAAAAAGAGAGTGAAAGGATATGAATCCAGCGCCGATCAGCAGACTCGTCCATCGCTGGCAGACAGCACTCATCACGAACGCGATGATAAACAGATGAAGGAGCGAGATGATCATCGTCAGAGGGAACAAGTACTCGAACTGCGTTCCTACATGCCACACTCTCCGCTTGCGTACCATGCGTGCACTTCGGAATCAGGTGGTTGAACACGAAGCGACTCGGATTCACCACGACGCGCGTGTAGAACGAGCTCACCGCCGTCTTCACGCCCGAAGCCTTCGCCATCATGGGCTGCGCGTTGTCCACGGGGTTCAGACTCTCCACAGCGATCTCCTCCACAGCCACATCGGCCGCCTCGTTCACGGGCGCTACCCATGACCCACATCCATCACGCCAACCATATTCCATATCATCCTCGTCCATGCCGTCCGCAGACATCAGAGCGGAGTTCATCGCCTCCTGCGCCTACGCATCGTCGCAACCCATCAGCACACACCTCGCGGTTGAAGCGGAAGGAGCGCTTGACCAGCGGAGACAGGCAGATGCACAAGACATAGCCAACGAAAATGACGAGCAGGTAGATGGCCTCCAGTCCGTAGATGGTACCATCGTTGATGAAGATGACCAGACCCAGAAGAGCCAGGAGGAAGAAGATGGTGTCACGCATGAACACCATGCTTCGGATCTCCAGAGGCTTCTCCGAAATCACAGCACAGATACCAGGGATCAGCAGAGTTCCCATCAGACTCGCTCTAGAGATTAGAGGAGAAGAAGAAGAAGAAGAGTAATTACCCAACAATGGAACCGATACCCACATCGATGTACACATCACCGTGAACAATCGTGATGCAGCTGATCACGATCTCAGCAGCCGCCGTGCCGAATGCAAGGAAAGTAGCTCCCGCTACATCTTCCTTTAATTTACACCGTACACACAAAACTTCCAAACTGGGAACTAGGAAGTCGCGGCAAATCTACGCTCAAGGATCAAGTCAAAGCCAACGGTCTGAAGACTGACCAAACAGAAAATGTACAGAATAATCTCCAAAATCACTCCGAACCAATTTCCATCAATCGCTCCGAGACAAAGACTCTGTAAGCCTCCGGTGCAAATCTAATGATGAAACAAAACACGAAGAAACACTTCACCATCGCCAAGCATCATCTTATTCAATAAGTACGCCATGGAAAATGCAGATCCTTTTTTAATAATATGATGGATGTTGTGTTAAGCATTTCGATTAGCCGCGGTTATTCACACAGATGGGTAGTGCTTTTTCATTATCAAATTTGCAAACAAACAGTCAATATAACAACACTATTCATCAAGGATGCGAGAAAGATCATATTCACTAAAACGCTTGAGAGTTGGTAAATACGACATCAACTCGAGAATTGATCTCGGGTTCAAGTTTAAAATTTGGCACACTTCAACGGGGTCCAGTTTCATAGGACCTTTATCACCATCAAAAACAAGACTTTCCAGTTTCCTAATTTAAACACTTAAAAAAAACAACTATACTCTTTTCTGCTTTGTGTTCCTGCGTGATCATAAGCAGTATCCATGTTTCTCAGCACATCACTCAAGTCTTTCAAAGTATCTGCAATCGTACTAGAATAAAAAGACAAGCTGAATCCACAACCTTGGAACTGCATAATTCGAACGTTGAAGGTAATTAACTCGCTCTTCCAAAATGGACTCTACCTCCGCATTCGAAAGTGGTTCTGCATCCAAGAAATCTACGAATCAGAAAATCTGTGCAAAAAAACTCTTTCCTCGTAAAACTTGAGCAACACGAGGGTCGTATTGATCCTGCGGATTGATAGCGCCACTGTCATATGTATCAAATTGATTCATTGCTGTAATAATAATCGAAAAGTAAGAATGGCCATAATCTCCACAATTTTTGCTTTTTTTCAATATTTTGGTAGAGCAAGTACTACGTTTGGTAAATGAAAAAAGACAAGAAAAAATTCATCGATAAAAAGAAAGGAGTAACTTTTGTCCTGGTTGGAAGAAGTCGTTCCGATCCTATGTACTACGAGGAGGGAACGACTCCAAATGTCTTGATTCCGAAGGGAATGGAGGGCAGCTTGGTAGCAGATAAGTAATGTTGCTAATCTGTAGGGAGCTATGTTTGATCACGCTATAAAGCGTTCCCGCGAAGAAGAAGAGGAGGAAAATTACTATGATGAGTACAATGAGTACGATGAGTACGATGAGTACGATGAGTACGATGAGTATGATGAATTTGACGAAAACAATGAAAACGAAGAAGAGGAGGAGGAAGAAGAGAGTTACATGAAACGCCAGAAGGGAAGAATTTATGGAGAGACCACCGATGAATTCGGCTTTCCTCTGGATGGCACGGATTATCAAGCCCACATCAAAGATGCAGGTCCAGGAATCTTCATTGCTCCCGGAGGTGAAGTCCGAACGATCGAAGCCGTAGTCCCTGTTCATCTCCTCAAACACAGACGGATTTGCATTTGGACGAAGAGATTCTGCCTCCTGAACTGCGAAGCAAGCAACTTCCGAAAGCGGTGAACCTGAAATACGGTGAGTCGATCAGCCATCCTGGTTAGGTCTAGAGGAAGTGGATCCAGAACTCTTAGCAGCGATGGATGCTATCGAAAACGAAGATTGGTCTGGAGACGAGCAAGAGGAAGGTTTCATTCCCGACGATTTCGTGCAGCAGGCGATCGAAGACAGGGAGGAAGACGAGGGCTTCGACTTCGACGCGCACATTCGGAACTTGCTGAAGGCTCGCGAAGAGCGCGAGCGCTCGAAAGTGGAGCTGACGGAAGATCGCTACGCGGAGGAGATCCGGATCGAGCCGACGAATCGAAAAGAGCGGGAAATCGATCAGCAATTCAGCGCAGTGAGCGAGCAGAGAGGCGTTGAGCGTAGATTGCGCATCAGTACAGCGAAGAGGAGGGAGACGAAGACGGAGTAATCGTTGGAGGCCCGCTCAAGATGGACGATGCGGTGTTCCAAGTGGGGAAACGTGGAAACGGTGATGGATAGGATGCGTTGGACGAGTTTTTGGAAGACCAGGAGAAGGAAAAAGAGCGCGAGAAGGCCTGGGCGACGCATCAGGAAACGCAGAGAGTGAAATTAGCGACGGTGAACGAAGAGGGCGACTCGGAAGAAGTGGACGAACAGATCGACTTGCAGTTCGCGCGGCCTCCGAAGGAGGAATTCGATTGCGAGTCGATCTGCAGCACGTACAGCAATCTGCTGAATCATCCGAAGTTGATTTCGTGGGAATTGGGGAAGGGTTTGATGCGCAGAACGGTGCGAAAACCCGTGAAGAAGATCGCGTTATCCAAGAAAACTGGATTGCCGATCGTGGAAAAAGGGGAAACCGAGGAAGGAGAAGAAGAAGAAGAAGAGGAGGAGATGGAGCCTGTAGAGAATTTGGGAGCAAAGCGGAATAAGAACGAAACGGCCGAAGAGAAACGTCTGCGAAAGCAGAAAGTGAAGGAAGCGAAGAGCGTAGGAGTGGGGAGTGTGTGCGAAAATAGGCCAAACGACAGCAGAAAAAGCAACTGAAGCAGGCGTTCAAGGAAGAGAAAAAGCGAGCAGCGCGTGGAGGCGAAGGCCGCAATCTGAGTACTTTTACGATAAACTAGATGCGTTGAAATGTTTGTTTGAATGAATGAATGAATGAATGAATGAGCAATCGAATGAATAAATGAATGAATGAGCAATCAAATGAATGAAAAACTGGTTTCATGGTTGATTACCACAAACATCATCGCAAGGATGAATAGCAAATAAAGAGCGCCACTTGCATCATCAAAGGAATGCTTAAGGATTGTGATAATTAACAGCATCGATCAAAGGCTGCGCAACGTCTATTGCTCAGAGCACCCAATTTGCACTACTATTAAACGATTTAATTCCGACTTCCCAAAACGAGTTGCCGGTCACCGACACATTGTAGCAATTTGGAATGTCTACGATTTTATTCTGAGCGATCCAACGTACTTTCCATTGTTACATTGTACTGATATAACAAGCTAAAGGCACTCGCGCTGAGCGTCTCCAAACTCTCCAAATCTAATCGCATTCAACCAACAACACAAAGAAAACTTCGCATTACCAGCGTGCAGTCGTATCTATCTCTTACTCCAGCAATCGCATGTGTGCGTAGTTCGATCTTTTTCAGTTTCGGGAGATCTAGTTTGTAGAGAAAAAGCAACGAATACTTTCTATAACCGTATGAAGAGACTCATCAAAAGCTTTTGAACCCATCCAAAGCTCTTCCAGGTTGGGAAAATCTATTGACAAGAGGCGAAGAACGATGGATACCTCGAAGAATAAACGATTGGTAATTGAAATTAGTGGATTGGAGTGAGGGAGATCCCAGCCGGATTGATCGCAATGCGGGAAGGTTTTTGAATTCGAAGGGTCCCGCATAATCCGCAAAACTCATGTATCTAATTTCGATCGTTTCCAATGCAGCGCAGTTTTTCAATGTGAATGCTCGAGACCAATCACTGTCCCACATGTCTTTATTTTTTGTAAAGGAGTACTCGCCGATAAAGAGCGATTGCAAAGCGTTCAATCCGTCGATTGTGAATTTCCTTGTTTTCATAAAGCATTCGTTTCCGATCTCTATCGACTGTAAGGAACTCAAGTTCGAGGGGATAAAGGTGGGAGAACCAACGAAGGATCCATCGCCTAGGTAAAAGGAGATGAGTTTTGGAAGATCTTTGAATCAAATCATTGATATCTAACTGAATACCATGAAGGTTGAATGGAGCATAATAAAAGTTATTCGACGTTTCATTAATGGTACCAATCCGGATCGTTTCTAATGAGTTCAATTCTTTCAGTTCGAAGCTGCCTGCATAATCACTAAAACTGAACTTGCCGATATCAATTGATTTGATCGAAGCGCAGTTTGTGATGTTGAAAAATCGATCTTCATTCTCTCCATAACCATCCTTATTGAGTGTGAATGAGTTCTGTCCGATTTTCAAGGTTTTCAAAGCATTCAATTTGTCCAATTTGAATATGTCGACTGAACCGAAACATTCATTTCCAATTTCCAATGATTCGAAGGATTCTAAATTCGAAAGACTGAATGAAGTGGAGTTTGAAAAGGACCCATCGCCTAACGAAATGCTTATGAGTTTGGCAAGTTCTAATTCTTATTCTTGCATTGAACGCTTTACCTCTGATATTAAGCGAGCTACCATAGAAATTCAGAGACGTTTCATTAATGGTACCAATCCGGATCGTTTCTAATGAATTCAATTCTTTCAGTTCGACACCGCCTGCATAATCACTAAAACTGAACTTGCCGATATCGATTGATTTGATCGAAGCGCAGTTTGTGATAAGGAAAGATCGATCCTCATTCTCTCCATAATCATTCTTATTGAGTGTGAATGAGTTTTGTCCGATTTTCAAGGTTTTCAAAGCATTCAGTCCGTTCAATTCAAAAGAACCGACATTCGAAAAACACTCATTTCCAATTTCCAATAATTCGAAAGAATTTAAATTCGAAAGACTGAATGAAGTGGAGTTTTTAAAGGATCCATCGCCTATGGATACGGAAGCCAGTTGATTCAATCCGTCCAGATCGAATGAATCAGCGAGGCCGAAACAATCGCTTCCGATTTCCAGCAAAGAAAGAGAAGCAAGCTGAGAGAGATCAAACATCAAAGAATCATAAAATGAACCATCTCCCAACGAAATGGAAGTAAGGCTCGGTAAATCTACGTATCAACACAGCAAACTTTTCAAACCCTTCAATTCCAAAGGACTATTCATAAAGTTGTTGGATTCCTTTCCAATAGTTCCGATTTTGAGTGATTGCAAAGCAGGAAGATTCAGGAGTTCGAACAATTCTCCGTAATAAGAGAAACTGGATTCACCGATTTCGATCGATTCCAGTTGTCTACAGTTCGATATGTGGAACGAACGCGTAATAGCGGGATCCAAAAGAGTTGTCTCGTCTGTGAATGAATTCGATCCCACCTTCAGCGAAGTCAGCTTTTGCAGCCCACTGACTCTAAACTCATTTGCAGAAATGAAGCAGTTATTTCCAATCTCGATGGATTGAACGCCCAGCAATTTGAAAGGAGAAAACGATTTTTTGTTTTTACATGCATGATCGTGAACAACAAAAGAGTCCTGAAGGAAATAGCCACTGCAAGGAGCCATCATAGAATAGATGATCCCCACAATGATCGCTGCCAGCACAATCAAAATAGCAATCGATAACACTAAAATCTTTCCACATTTCGACATCCCAGAACTCTTCGTTTGCACTCTATCCCCGTTCTTTCTGCTACTAGTTCTAGAAACGAATCCTTTTCCATACCGAGGGTATCCTTTCGCCAGAGAATCCACATAACTCCCTTCGTACACTTTATTTCCCTTCTTGTCGTATTCTACCATCGTATTTCCATTGAATTCCTTCACCACTCTCTTCATCTTCCCATCTTCCCATTCTTCTCCTCTGCTAACGTTTCCGTTGAGGTAATAATAGCACATTCCATGCTTCAAACCCTTCTTGTTTTCCTTGTATGCTAAAACCGGATTTCCTGTCGTGTCGCTCTCCACGGTGAATCCATTGAGTTTCGTTGTCTTGGTTCCTCTCACTCCTTTCTGGAAATTACCGTTGAAGATTACATTTCCATTCTTATCATACTCGGTTCCTGTTCCTTCTCGATATCCGTCCTTTAGATATCCTCTGAAGAACAGCTTCCCGTCCTCATAGTTCAATTCGCAAGCTCCTGTAGCTTTTCCATTCACGTATTCAAATTTCGCAAATACGACATTTCCAGGAGTGCGAATAATAGATGCGCCATTAAAGTTATCATTCAGCAGACTGGTTTCGACTGTGTAGCCAGAATGAGGAACTCCTACCGTAACTTCCACCTTTCCATCTTTGTACTGGATGTTTGAGGTAGGGAATTGATCGTATAAGCAATGCTTCCAAGTGTCAACGTCAGCTTGGTTAGCAACACCCGAATCGTTTGTAACCTCGATTAGAGCAATTTCAAGCGATGAATTCCTATTGTTGCTCATCTTTTTTGTGTCAAAAAAACAATTGAATGACGAAAAGAAAAAATTCCACGGGAGTTTCAAACATGGTACTTTGTGAAGTATTGGGTTTTATGGATGTTTAACGAAGGTAGTTCGATCCAAACGATCACCAGCTGCTCCTAAATCGAATTTTAGACTATATCGACGGAAAACTCTGTGCAGATTTTTTGTGGTACAATGTAGGCAGATTGTCAAATTCATCCAATTGCCTTGCTCTAATTTATTCAGCTATACAACTTACATTTGTTAAATAGATATAGGAAGACTTTACATGCTTTATCGATCGTTACAACGATCTGATAGTTTTATCAGTATTATTTGCTTCTTCTTCACCTTCTACTACTGCTACTATAAATCTATTCCTTATATGGGTGCCCTATTGACCATCTCATTCTTCATCACTCGTTACAATTCAAGTCTCTCGTCTATATTTCTCAACATAACGCCAATGGTAACGTGCTGATTCCATTTATAGAACGAATCGTTTTCACACACCAATTCTATGTGTTGTTACTCCATCTCTTTTTCGCGTTTCCACTTTTCTCATTCATTATAACTAGCATTCACTATTCTCTTCACAAAAAGCCTTTAGAGAGACCAGGGCACAAGAACAACTTTACAGTTTTCCACACCCCAATGCAGTCAGTCGCTACCCTTTTTCTAAACAGAGCTAAGTATCGATTCGAAATGGTCTTTACTTCTAAGCCCTGCCTGCTACGAAATAATGACGTTGCTTCAATTTATGAACGTTTCTTACCGCGTCTTGGATGTCAACCCAATATGGAGTAAGAAGGAGAAGCTATTAACCAAGAATCATCAACTGCCCATCATTCGTTATGAGAAGGACAAGAATACATATGAATCAGATCCTAAAAAGATTATTCGGTAGGAATCGCTATCAAAATTCAACAAATAGACATTACATCGAGGATGTCCAGAAGCATTCCTTATCGAGCGAAGAGCTTAAGTGGATCAACTACATCCACAAGGAGGTCATTCCCTCTGTAACTCTTTACAATTTCTCTTCTCTCAACAACATCAAGTCCATTTTCTCTCCTCCTTCGATTTAGACGACTGTACGATTTTATGTACGACCCCCTCTGTTCCCTCAGTCTTCCCAGCCGCTTTGCCGGGCGCCACCTCGCTCCCTACGCTTCTTTTTTCTCCCAACAATTCCAATCCCGAAAGAAGTTCGCTTTTTTCTCCCTCTCCAGCGTAGTCTCGGCGTCACGTACTCCACCTCCAGCGACCATCCGATCGCAGTCGTCGGCGTGCAGATTGCCGAGGCTATCGAGCAAGCGAATGATGTGAATGCAGAGAACAAGGATCCGGACTCCGTGTTCATCAGCGGCAATTCGAGACCGTGCTTGATTGATTTTTTGATGTTTGGAACTCTGCGACAGCTAAAGGATTTGAATGCATTGAATTGTTTGGCGAGTCCGACGGCGATTAATTGGTTTAACACCGTGGACGACGTGCTGCAGCTGCTGCAGATACGAAGACGACTTCAGTATTGGGATGTTTGTTGGACACACTTTTGGATTATGGCACTCGAATTTCTGTCAAAGAAGAAGTGGAACCCTGCCAACACGAAAGTAGGAGTTATTTTTGTTGTCTAACGCTTTGAATCGAGAGCAAGTATGGCTGCGGGAGCAGGCGTTGGAAAAGGAAAAGCAGAGGACAGAAGAGTTGAGACGGCAAATCCAAGAGGAGAGAGAACGCATGGAACTGCTGAAAGCTCAGAATGGAGCGACGGATGAAGACTTTGCTGTAACCGACTCTCTGCATTCTTTTTTTACATGTAGAAGCAACGTAAAATCGGATGGTTGTACGAAGTTCCCGTTATGGAAAAGAAGCAGTCCGACGATTATTTGACTGGGAAGAAAACGATCGATTTGGACAAGGAGGAGAAAAACCAGCTCCAAGATTTGGAGAGTAAAGCTGTGGCAGGCTCTATGTTCCTCGATGGAGAAGACGACGTTACGAATGTTTTGAATTGGAAAATCGAATCATGCATAGCCGAGCGAGATTCGTCGTCGCATTGCCGAAGACCCGTTAATGCAAATCCGTAAAAAAGAGCTCGAAATGACTCGAAGTCATTTAATGAATTCCCAGAAAATCAAAGAAATCGTCAATCTCGTACTTTTTTCGCATGTTTCCTAATTCCCAGCTCCGATCCCAAGGACGTGACATTTCGGTGGATTTCTCTACACTCCACCAAGCAGAGCCCAAATCCACCGGAATAATGCATTTACGAAGAGGTCTCCAAAGCGATTCGAGCGATTCGAGCGAGAGTGACAACTACACTTCCAAACTGCAGCATCGCACGAAACAATCCACACACACTTCGCATCCACGCAATCGAAGCCGCTCCGCCTCACCTCACTCGCATCATGATCGAAGTCGCTCTCGCAGCGGATCGCGTCGCCACTCGCATCCATCGCGTCATTCACATCATTCGCACCATAAACATCGGAGTCATGCCGATTATCACACGCACCGACGATCGCCCAGTCCATCGCAGCGCCATCGAGGGTCTCGTTCGTTTGCTGAATCGCGCGGCGAAAAATCGCACAGAGACGCAGATCGAAGCCAGAAACGCGCAGAAACAGCGGCGGACATGGAAGCGAAGCTGCGAGAAATGCAGGAGAATGCGACGATGGAGGAGGAGGATCGAAAGAAACGCGTGGAAGAGGAAGAAAGGCGAGCGATTGAAGAGAAAAACAAGCAGCCAGTGTTTTTAGCGTGAGTTTGGCGAGGGAAGATGATGTGTAGGAAGATGAATAAGGAAGTGTTTGGGAACGGAGATATGACTTTGGAGGGGCGAATCGCGAGTCGAAGGCATTATAATATGAAAGAATAAGCATATTATGATTTCTTGTTCGAAACAAAATAAGAATTTTGTTGGGTTGTTTTACAGCTTCTTTCATAATATCGAAGGACCCAAGCTAGCGGTCGCATATCCGGAAAAGTACATTCTGGATCGTAGGTTGTGATTCCTAGCTGTATTTCGTTGGATACGTTCAATAGTGTGTCCGATTTTATTATTACAAAGGATCAACTTTGTGGAACATTGATGCGCGTAGCTGTGGGTGAAATCGAAATTGTGGGATATCCCATCCAGATTTCGAGTCACGATTACATGCGTAATGCCTTCAATTTCAATATCTGTTTTATTGTCAAGAAGGGATCGAGTAGTCAGTATGAGTCGATGGTGAAAAAGGTTGCAATGACATTTGAATCGTTAGAGAGACAAAATGGTTTTTTGCAAAGTCCCACTATTCTGGTATTCGTGTTTCTTGTTTCTTTTCGAACCTAGTCCACAATGCGAGACATTTTCGTTCAAATCCATGAAGGATTGTGTCAAAAAAACAGTTGTGACATTTGGCTCAATTCTTCCACGCGCCTTCTTCTCTTCCCGGTCTACCCAGACTCCTCTCTCACCGATCCTCCCTACATCGTTTCATCTCTCCCCGCTCTCCACTCTAGCCCAAAGACTACGAGGTTCCTTATCTCCTGCTTCCAGTCGAATCGATTTTAAGCCTCCTCCCCGACACCGTGATGTTTGAAGTACCAACCCTCCTTCTCTGCGCGCCTAGCAAATTCTACGCGCCATCGACGGCGTTCACTGCGTCTTCTACATCGAGCAGCGAATCGGGCTCGATCGAACGCACCTTCTGCTCTGTCTCTCGTTTCTATTGCAAGTGAAGGCCATCGGACTCATCGATCTCTTCGACGTCTGCAACATTTACGTCCTCCAGGACTTCGAGGCCATTTGGAATCGCCCGCTCCTGCGATCCTTGCTCAATTACTGCAGGATTCAGAATCTTTTCAGACGCCCCGAGTTCCAATTCGAAGGCAATCGAATTCGCTCCCTGGAAACGCCCAACCCCAATTCCAATACAAATTTAAATTTAAATACAAATTTAAATTCAAATTCAAATTCAAATCCGAACGTGAATCAAACTGAAAATCAAACACAGAGTCAAAACCCCGCGGAAATGCAAACTCCAAACGAAACGCCCACATCCCTTCCCCGTCCCCCTTTGAACCTCCCTCCAGGTTCCCCTCTGGGTTCCCCTCCAGGCTCCCCTCTGGGTTCCCCTCTGGGTTCCCCATTTGCTTCCCCTTTTGCTTCCCCTCTGGGTCCCAATCCAAGCGAAGGGAACGCGAACAAGGCGAAATCGGGCGATTCGGAGGCGGAGGACGAGGAGGCGATCAACGACATCCAGTCGCTGCTGTCTCTGTTTCACCAGAACGTGAGCATTCTGAACATTCTGGAGAGTCCGCTTTTCGAGAAGCTGCGCCGGTCCATCGATCTGCACTGCTTCGTCGTCTTCTGCTGCATTCACCGCATTCTCAAGCGCGTCTATCTCGTCCCCTTCCGCACCTCCGATCCCGCCGGCTTCGCCGCGCTCTTCGAGGCCTCCACGGGCAGTTCGTGGCGCATTCCCGCGCTCTCCACCGAGGAAACGGTGGGGATGAGCATGGACGCCGTGGGAGCGCCGAAGATGGCGGACTTCGACGAGGCCTTCGGCGTGGACTCGCCCATCCTCTCCATCCGCAATCTCTACTGGGACCTCTTCGCGAGCTTCCGCTACTCCATCTATCACCAGAAGCCCACCACGGGGCTCTCGCGGCACAGCTCGTGCCTGTCGTTCCTGGGCACGCAGAAGGGGTCGCAGATGTGCAGCTGCAAGCCGGACCGCGCGAAGGTGCTGAACATGGTGGCGCAGTTCCAGTGCCTGGAGTCGATCGCGCTGCACACGCACTGCTGCGTGCCCTCGGTGATGCGGTGCCTCGAAGAACTGAACGATGTGCTCTTCCTCAAACTGTGGAGTGTTTGTGAACAAACGCAACCCAAAACAACCGATACGTAGCAGTGATTTGAACTGAGGCCTTTCCTTTCCCCGAAATCTCCTCCCTCCTCTGTTTAGTTGTTGTTGGTCTGGTCCAGCACGTCGTTGGCCTCGTCGATCTTCTTGAGGAGTTCGCCAGGATCGCTGATGATCTTCATCAGGTCGTCCACGGGCAACTCCAGCATCATTCCGGTGATCTTGCTGCAGCGAGGATCGCCGATGGTCTTGATGAGGTAGAAGATACGCTCTCCGAAGGTGTTGCGGCGCTCCTCGTTGGTCATCGCGTCGATCATCTCTCTCTTGATGGGGTCCATCGACTGCATCAGGCTCGCCAGCTTGTTGTACTTCTCGTTGAACTGGGTGTTGGCCATGGACATGTAGCCCTGGTTCATCATCTGCACCGGCATGCCGGGCATCTGCGTGTTGCGAGGGAACGACATCATGTTGCCCATGGTCTGGTACATCATCGGCATCATCGGGATCTGCTGCTGCTGCTGCTGCTGCTTGTTCGACGGCATACGGTTGCCCATGTTCATACCGATCGGCATCGTGTACTGCACCACCGGGTACTGCATCACCACGCCCTGGGTCTGCTTGCGGCGCTCCTTCAGCATCTTCGCGCGCTCCTCGCGGGTCTGCGCCAGCTCCACCTTCAGCTTGAGGTCGTGGCTCTCGCGGAACGCACGGATCGCGTTCTGCGCGTTCTCCGTGGTGTCCATGCACACGAAGCCGAAGGGCTTCAGCTCCTTCGTGTTCTTGTCGCGGGCGATCGAGCAGGACTCGATGTTGCCGTACGCCTGGAAGATCTCGCGCAGGCGCTCCAGCGTGATCGTCTGATCACCGAAGCCCACGTACAGGAAACGGCCCTTGGTGCGCTCCACCTCCTCCTTCTTCTTCTCCTCCAGAATCTTCTGGTTGATGCTGGCACGCTCCTCGCGGGACTGGAGACGGTTCACGTACAGCACCATGGGCTCCGCGCCCTCCACAGTGATGACCTGATCCTTCAGACCCTCCACGGCCTTCACGGCCGAATCATGGTTGGCAAAGGTCACGAATCCCTGAATCTTCTGCGGATTGTATCGCTTGTAACCAATGTAAACAGAGTTGATCGTGCCGTACTTGCCGAACAGATCGCGCAGACCGTCTTCCGTCAGCGTGGTAGGGAAGTTCGCCACGTAGCAAGTCACCCAATCCGAAGAGGTGTCCTTCATACGCTTCTCGTACTCCATCACGTACATCGCTCCTTCCTCCACGACATCCTTGTTCATATCGGCCAGGACCTTCTGGGTCACGTTGGGGTCGCTGAAGTGCACGTAACCATAGTGAAGGGACTTGCCGGTCTCCTTGTCGAAAGCCACCTTGCAGGACAGAATGTTTCCGTACGCGGAGAACTTGTCCAACAACTCCTTGTTGGTCATCAAGTCGGGAAGGTTCTTCACAAACAAATTGCCCTTAGGGTTGCAGGTCTGCTTGAAGCGCAGCTGCTGTCTCATCACACGCATCTCCTTACCCTTCAGGATGTTGAAATTCGCTCCCTCCAGAGCTTTCTCAGCTACCAATCATTGCCTCCGCCCTATTTTACCTTCCTCGGCAGTGCTGAAATCGACATATCCATAGCAGCGGGACTGCTTGGTATTCTACAAGTCACCTCTTTCCCTAATACTCACCTTGTCCAGTACGACGTGAGTCGCACGCACCTTTCCATACTTCTTGAACTCCTCCTCCAAGTCGCGCTATATATCAAACACACAAATAAAAGCTTTCATCATTGACGCTGGGGTCCAGGTTTCCAACATACAGAGAGATGCGTCCTCCATTTACAGGTTTCTGAGTGTTCATGTTTGTTTTGGTTTTTCTTATGGGTAAAAACCGAATGAGCTACCACCACTCATTTCGAGGTAGAAAAAACTACCTTTTCTCCTAATTTCTCTCCGCCTCGTCTGATTTAAATAGAAGTGGTTGCATTTGATGTGGATCTTTAGTGTGAATTAGGGGAACTATCGCTGGGTTTGCTTGGATGATCTTTTCTTAATTTTGTGTTTTTACACCACCAATCCATTGGAAAACACTTCATCTATACGACACCGGGTCAAATCAAAAGATTGCTATTTTGCTTCCGACACGATTCCTGCAAGCAACACAAATTTCTTACTCAAAAACAAAGTTTCAAAAAGTACCTCGCTTCATCAGATGTGTTTCGTGTATCTTGTAAATCGAACTTTTGTAATTCCCGCGATTCTTCGTTTCACAGAGCTACCATTTTCTCTATAATGGGCCACAAAGATTCCGAAAAAAGCAAACATTCGAGCAAGAGATCGAGAAAGGAAAAGGAGGAGACCAGTAACTCATGGTTTTAGCATATCATTTTCTAGAGGAGAAAACAAACGAGAAACTCGAGGAGAAGGTGAAAGAGGAGGAGTCTGTAGAGCACAATCCAACGGAGGAAGTCGACAATACCGAGGAGCGACCTGCAAAGCGCATGCGCACTCGCTCTATGGACATGGCAGAGAGCGAATCTCTGTATGCCATGCACCGCTATCGCATTTCTCCCGAGACAATCGGCATTTTGCATTCCAAGGGAATCACGGAGCTGTTCCCGATCCAAGCACTCTCGTTTGACGCTATTTACGACGGAAAGGACCTTATTGGCCGTGCTCCCACCGGTCAGGGAAAGACCTTGGCGTTTGCTCTGCCCATCGTGGAGAAGATCTACAAGCTCAATCTGCGTCCTCCGCGTCGTAGCCGTGCTCCTCTCTGCCTGGTGCTCTCCCCCACTCGCGAGTTGGCCCAGCAGATCGATGAGCAGATCCGCATGATCGCTCCCTCTCTGCGCACCGTGTGTCTGTACTCCTCTCTTCCCTCCGCTCCAACCTAGGTTCGGTGGTGCTCCCTTCGACCCCCAAGAATTCGCTCTGCGTCGCGGCGTGGAGTTCGTGGTGGGAACTCCTGGGCGCGTTTTGGATCATCTGGAGCGCGGCACGCTGCAGCTCGGCGAGCTCCAATGGTTTATTCTGGACGAGGCCGATCGCATGCTGGATATGGGATTCAGCGAAGACGTGGAGAAGGTGGTGGACTACGCGATCAAGAGTGGCGGCGAGACGAAGGGTCCTCGCATCGTTCCGGATCGCATCCAAGTTCTCTTGTTCTCCGCGACGATTCCGTCGTGGGTCCGCGAAGTGATGACGAAATACATGCACCCCGATAAGGTCACCGTCGATCTGGTCACGGAGAAGGAGAAGGCCTCCGTGGACGTGCGCCACCTCGTGCTTCGCTGCCCCTGGGAGGCGCGCGCCAAGGTCATCGCCGATCTCATCGAGGTTTACTGTGGCGTGGACGGCCGCGCCATCGTCTTCTGCGACATGAAGAAGAGCTGCAACGAGCTGGCGGGCGAGGAGTGTCTCCGCAGCATCGTCCTCTTTCATCTCTCCTCTCTCACTCCCAGGCGGGCGTTCTCCACGGCGACATTCCCCAGAAGACGCGCGAGCAGACGCTGAAGGACTTCAAAGACGGGAAGTTCCGCTGTCTCGTGGCCACCGACGTCGCGGCTCGCGGTCTCGACATCCAAGGCGTACCTTCTTTTCCTCCTCCCCTCTCTCTCAGATCACGCTGGTCATCAATCGCGAGCCTCCGGCCACGCGCTCGGGCGTCGCGGACGTGGAGACCTACATCCACCGCAGCGGCCGAACGGGCCGCGCGGGCCGCAAAGGCGTCTGCATCACGCTGTCGACGGGCTTCGCGCAGGAGGCCGTGCTGCAGAGCATCGAGAAGGCGGTGGGGAACGCGTTCACGCGCATCGGCGCGCCGCAGCCGTCGGACCTGCTGAAGGCCCGCGCGGAGCGTCTGGTGGAGCGGATCGGCGATCTGGACGAGCAGCTCATCACCAAAATGGACAGTCTCGCCGAGGAGGTGCTCGCCAAGACGTCCGATCCCCGCGCGGCCGTGGCTCGCTGCCTCTGCCTGGCCGTGGGCGCGTTCGGGAAGATGAAAACCCGATCCATTCTGACGTCGAACGAAGGTGGCGATGAGTGGCGGATTTGACGCGCAGGGTTCGTGACGGTGATGTACCAGTCGCTCAATCCGTTCCGCACGGTGTCGTACGTGTGGGGCGCGCTGCGCCGGTATTTCCCGGAGGACGTGGTGACGTCGATCAAGGCGAACACGATGACGAAGGACGAGCGCGGCGCCGTGTTCGACGTGCCCGAAGAGCACATCCAGCTTTTTAAGGATTATATGGAGGTAGCGGCGAGGCTGGGTGGTGACGGGTAGAAGTACGGAGAGAGGTCGCAGTTCTCGATCCCTACCACGCTGCCGGAATTGAAGGATCGCGACTTGTAGGAGTGGGAAATGCATGGGATGTAGTTCCACCATGAAACTCACGAGCAATCGTGGAAACGCGAGAGGATCGGGAAATGGAAGAGATTTTGCCGGGAAGGGCCGCGGAGGCTATGCGGGCCGCGGAGGAAATGGCAATTTTGGTGGTGGTTCTGGAAACTATGGAAACTATGGAAATCATGGGAACCACGACAACTATGGAAATTCGGGAAGATCGTTTGGCAACAGACAGCAGCGAGGTCGTTTTAGTGAGAGACAGTAGTTTGTTGTGTTTGTTGGAATAACCGCGGTGTAATGGACATGTTCAGAATTCTAAAAAGGCATTTGATCTTTGCAGGAACGTGGAGAAATGTTCAAAAGGTAGAGATTACTCTCTGAGATGCACAGTAGAAAGAATAGAAACCAGGAAGTGTCCCCAGTCTACGACTCGGACGCTATCTACCGCCAGCATTCTATTTATGGAAACAGCCCGGTTTATCAGCAGCAGGGAACGTATACGCCCCCTGCTCCGGATTCGGGCTATGTCCCGCCTTCTCCGTACTCCCACATGTTTTGTTTGATAGAGCAGTGGATATCAACCCCCAAACAACAGTGAGACAAAAGAAGAACCCGATGTGGGATATCGACCTCCTCTTTTCCCCGGTTCCGCGGAGCTGGCCGACGTGAGTACGTTAAAAGAGCCCGAAGAAGAGACGAAATCCAAAACGAAGGAGTCAGTACGGACTTCATCTTCGCGTGTCCTAATTCGATAGAGAGGCGTTGTGTTCCGTCGGTCGTTCCAAAACATGGCTAATTCGTTGCGTAAAGTCCAGGACCGCGCGCGTCGTTCTTCCATCGCGACCACAGAAACGGAAACCGAGCGAAGCATCAAGGCTCTGTTCTCTGAGCGCATTGTGAAGGGTCGGCCCGACCTGTTCGTGCCCTCTACTCCGCTCCCGACGGACATGGAGGAATCGGGCTCGTCCTCTCCGCTGGGCGTTCTCCAAAACAACGTTTCTGGCTTTGTTTTTCATCCGTGTGCGTCCCTCACTCCCAGTTCAGCCAGTTCTTGAAGCAGCAGTCCTCGTCCGCGCCGGCCGCCACCGCCGACGCCGACGAAGACGCGAAGCAGCGCGACTTCAACAAGCGAATGGGCCGCAGCGACGCCGAGTTTGCATCCCTCCGCTGCCTGACTCGCAGATATCTCCGCGCCGCGCTGAGCAATTTCTGCGAAGAGACGCGCCGGCTCTACAGCGCGGAGAAGCCGCAGGACTACGCGGCGACGCCGCTGCCTTCGCCGTAGCCTCACCGCTTCGCTGTGTCGTAGGGAAGTCGAGGAGGACGTGCTGGCGATGCCCACGCCGCAGACGCCGTCGAGCTACACGCCGCAGACGGAGCAGATGCAGCAGATGCAGCAGAAGCAGCCGATCGAGGACCGGATCCACAGCTTCACGGACGCGCTGATGGCGGAGATCCGCAAGCACAAGGCGTGGAAGAACGTCGGGGAGGCGGGGCTGAAGAGTGCGCGCGGGAGCGGGGCTGAACGGTAGACACGCGCGACTGCGTCGAGAAGGTGATCGTGGAGAAGCTGCGCGATCTGACGCTCGGCGTCGTGCGGTCGGGACTCGCGAAGGAGGACGAGGAGCTCGAGAAGAAGATGCAGGACCTCCAGTTCCTCACCGCCGACAATCTCGAGGTCGCGGAGGTGTGCAAGCAGAACCCGGAGACCATGGAGACCGTCACCAAACAGCTCCAGAAGATCCAGAATGTCGCTTCGCCCGCCGAAAAGGTAGATGAGGGGACAGGGGGTGAGGGATAGCTGGATTGCATTATTGAGGCGTGCAGAACTCTGGGAGCCCTGCTGCAGAGCGGAGCCAAGGGCGGGCGAGATGCCGGAGCGGATGACTTCCTGCCGGCGTTTATTTTCATTGTTTTGAAGTCTGGGATCCCCAAACTGCCGTCTACTGTCGAGTATATCTCGCGGTTCAGACATCCGGACGAATTGCTGTCGGAGGGAGGCTATTGTCTGACGAATCTGAGTGGGGCCGTGTCCTTCCTACAGAACTGCGGAGGTTGCGACTTCAATATTGATCCTGATGAATTTGAACGTGAGTTCCACAAAGCAGATCCTCCACCAGTCCAAGAAGAAGAAGAGGAAGATTTACTTTGCTTCTAGTGTACCATGATGTTTCTTAGGCGTGTTTGTTCTACACAGCCGAGAAGTCGTTGAGTTTGGCTTATTGTGAGACTTGTGTGTGGGTAAATACACTTCTTTACGGCGTTATTCATTATTTGTAGGGGGTACAATTCAAATATAGATAAGTTCAGGCTTTCCCGAATTGCCTGGGGGTAGCGAATTACTTTCACCTTAGAAATCGGCATAACTCTCCCGAATTAAAGGAAACATGGAAAATCAGAGAAAGGAATTGACTCCCATCACTCGTGAATACACTATCCGCCTCTCTAAGTTCAGCCATAAGGTGTATGTACTGTGTTGCCTTTTTGCCTGTTGATTTTGTGTTGTTTTTGTTTGGGAAGGGTGCGGGACTAATTTTGTGTAGCTGCTACAAGAGAAGAGCTCCTCGCTGCATGGCTATGATCCGCAAGTTCGCTCAGACTGCTATGTGCACTGAAGATGTTCGCATTGACCCCACCGTCAACAAATACGTCTGGAGCAAGGGTATTCACGCCGTTCCTGCTCGTATCCGAGTTCGCATGCAGCGTCTGGCTGAGGATGTTGAGGGCGAGAGCAAGCACGTATGGAGCGTTTTGGACGCGTTATTTTGTAGTTCTACACCGTTGTGGAGGTTCTCAACGTTCCTCACTTCCACGGACTCAAGACGATTGTTTCCAACCAGTAAGTTAACGTGGGAAGTTGGAGAGAGGCCAATTCCATGTTTGTTAACAAACAGACAACATTTCTTCTTTTAACAGAGTGTTGAGCTCGCTGCAGAACCGATTCAGGGGGAAGCCCATCACCTACACGCTTCATGCAGCCATGACCACCAGCTACATTGTAATAATCGCCCTTGATTCCTGTGATGAGGCAGCCGCCAATTCCCTGGATTCCATAACCTCCCGCCTTATCCATCGGTTCTCCCGTCTTCACGTATGCTACAGTAATATCTCTCTGCGAAAGATACCCTTAATGATGGCGGGGGTGAGCTCGGCGAAGCAAACCTCCGTCTTCTCACTGAACGTGTGGATCACAGGGTCCGATTCACCGTTGAGACACGCTACGGTGAAGAAGAAGAAAAAATGGAAACAATAGAGAGTGACTCCGCTGTACACGTTGTGCGATTTCCCACTCAGCTCGGAGAGCATCTTGATCGCATCGTCCTCAGACTTGGGTTTCTCAAAAATTCGTCCGTTCAGCTCGACGACTGTATCGCAAGCTATAGAATATAAGAGAAAGAGAGAAAGAAAAGCCAACCAATCACCAAAGCGGGATTGACACCGCCGTGCTCCCCTTTCAAGGAATGGAACGCTTTATCTGCCTTTCCTTTGGAAGTTCCCACAACGTATTCCTCCTTTTACTCAACAATTTCAAAAGTGGCCTTACGACTGTCATTTTTGATTTATCCAGATCCTCTTCAAAGCGGGGATCATATGTTTCAAATTTTAGCCCGATCTGCTGCAGAATCTGAGAACGTCGAGGAGACTTGGAAGCAAGCACTATTTTCCTTTGTTTCAACAAATAGTGAAAGCGCTCACAAGGAGTTAAGGTGTTCCAGATGCGGAAGAATCATTGTATAGATTAGTTAGCACATTCGTCACTGTATCATGGATTTCGCTGCTAGTAGCAACAATTCCAGAATTTTCTTTCAACTTTGCCCCTCTTGAGAAATCAAGGGTCTTGCCTCGCTGATCGGTCACAATGCCTCCTGCTTCCTGCAATACGACGACTCCTGCAGCATGGTCCCACACATTTTCCTACATTCAATTCGTTCCCAGCGCTTACTCTATAACATCCCGACGCATTGCCCCGCAGATAGATATCTGCGATTCCCAGAGCGACAACCACATATTTGCACATACTATCGATCTCCAGCACCGATGGAGGTAATTTTAGAGCATCTAGAAGAGAACCCATGGTTGATGCATGATTGAACTTCTGGACGGACATCACTGCAGAATATTTAGGATGAGCGTCACTCGATGAGTCCATTTCTTGAGGGGAATTCTGTATTTGCAATCGAATCGAGCGAGTTCGAGGCGAAAACAAGTCGAAAAACGTTGTTCCCTTTGTCAAAAATCAGCCCGATTTTTACCATTCCAGAAATTCCCACAGCGACGGAGCCACATTGATCCACGTTCTGATTCCACTCGATTGCGCCCAAATCGAACGGTAGATTGGGGCAGCCGACGACTCCCACGACGGGGATGCCTTGGTGGACGTAGGCCAAGCCAATGGCGAACTGAGCCTTGCGAATGAAGCCCAGCGTACCGTCCACTGGGTCTAGAACCCAATAGTCGTTCGAAATATCGCCTTGGTAGTGGCAGTTGTCGAGAGCAGCGAGTGCATCTTGCGTCGACACTACAAATCGATTGGAATCATTGCGGAAAACCCTCTTGCTTTAAAATTTCTTGAACCACAGCGAGGAACTTGGAGACAAAGTCAGAAGAAGCCTTGTTTCGCAGAAAGGACGCATCTTCTTCGGCTATCATACTACAGAGAAAGACCACACACTTCTCCAAACCGAAATTCCACGTTCGGGAATGTCTTCTGAAGGAAAAGTGCCACAGATGCTTGGATTGCATAGTCCACCATGGTAACGGGCGATTCATCGGACTTTGAAACAACATCTTGTGAGCAGATTTGTTTCTACGTTCAAGGATTGCACTCCTCACAGAACTTGAATTTTCTTTGCTACAATCGCTGCATTCGACACGATATTCTTCGCCGCCGTAGCGACTTTGAGCAAATATTGGGATGATAACATGCTGAAACAAATTCTGCAACAAACACCGCAACCATACACACCAATAAATATACTACTATTCTGCCGCAGGAACGGGCGACATGGAGTTCACGAATCCATAGTAATTGCACTGTTTTCCGACCTCATACACGCGCTTCAGCGTCTCTTCCCACTTCCCTTGCTTCACCAACTCCAGATGCTTATAATAGAGCTGGATGGCCGCGCGCGCATCTTCATGACTGTCATGATTTCCTTCCTGTATATTCTGGTTCAGCACGACCTTCGCGAGATACTTCAGCGACAATTTCCGATTCCTCCTACCGTCCACTCTCCCTCCCACGCTTACGGCAGGTAGTAAATATCGACGGTATCCACGATTTGTTTGGGCGGCACGAAGATGTTGATCGTGTGAAAATCCTTCGCCACTACGCGTCACTTCCCCGCGGTTCCCCCACAGCCGTGCCCGACGAACACGCAGCCGCGGTCCACCAAGCGGCGCAGGCGGGAATACGCGTCTTTGAGCGGGACGAGATGGTGCTGGCTGGTCTCGACGTCAAGATCCTCGCGGGAAAGACCGCTGAAGCGGCTGAGGTAGTCGGCGACGGGGTCCTCGCAGAGAATGTAGTCGTCGAAGACGACGCGGAGCTCGCTGGTGAGGCAGGTGACGCGTCCGAGCTGGAGATTGGCCTCCTTCTTGACGATGCGATGGCCGTCGGGCAGAACTTCGGCCTAGGCGCGAGGGGAGCAAGCAGGCCGACTTCTTCGCAGTTCAGCGCCACGAACTCGCAGTCGATGGCCACGAGGTCGCCCGCGCCGGGGAGCTCCGCGGGGGAGAGGCGGCGGTAGCCGGGGGACGGGGAAGCGAGGGAAATGGGCGTGTAGAAGGGGAGAGAAGAGGAGGGAGAGGGAAGCGAGGGGAGCGAGGGGGGAAGACCGATGCGCAGGGAAACAGGGAAACCGGGGGTCGAAGCGGTGGAAACAGTGGAAACAGTGGAAGCAGTGGAAACAGTGGAAACAGTGGGGGCAGAATTGGAAGTAGATTGGGAAGTGGGCTCTGTATTGTGATTATGGTTGGGATTATTATCAGTAGGATTCGATTGTGTTTCTGATTGTGTCACTAATTGTGTCACTAATTGTGTTTCTGATTGTGTCTCTGATTGTGTCCCTGATTGTGTCTCTGATTGTGTCTCCGATGGGGCCATGGGCTCTGTGTTCCCCTCCCCATCCCTTTTCGTTTCCCCGTTTCCACTCCGCGTTTCCCTTCCCTCCCCTTCCTTCTCCGTTTCTTCTTTCTTCTTCGCCTCGCTCTGCATGTCGGCCTGCATGTCGGCCTGCATGTCGTCGCGCCCCTCCGCGTCCATGTCCTCGGGCGCGCTGCAGTTTCGATAGACGAAGCAGACCGGCGCGCGCCACGGCTGCGTGAAGTCCAGCGCCGTTTCCACGGCCGTTTCCACGGCCGTTTCCCCGGGCGTTTCCGCGGGAATTTCCGCGATGCAGTAGTCGTTGAACGAGAACCACGCCGTCTTCCCCGCGGTTCGCTGCAGCGAGTGCAGCACCAAGTGGTGCAGTCCCGCGGTTTTTTCACCCGCCTCCGAGATGAGCGACAGCACGCCTTCGATTTCGAAACGCACGCTCTCGATCCCCGCGGGGAACGCACGCTCCACCGCCAGCCCCGCCTCCGTCCGCGCCACTTCGAACCGTTCCTCGAAATACCCGCGGTTTTCGCGCCAACTCTACCCTGAATTGTGTTCCTCGGCCAAACCTGCGCGATTTCCGCGGGAGGCTGCGCCATGACGAAGATCAAATACCGCGGGAGGGAGAGCTCCGCGAGCTGCACGGTTCCCGCGGTTTCCCGCCTGCACTGGTCGCACCAGAAAGTGGTGCGCGCGGGAACAAGCGACCGCTGCACGGTGGCCAGATAACCGCGGTTCTCTGCGCTCCATCGGAACTCGGTGACGACGGAGGTTGCGGATTTGAGGATCGTGTGGCCGCGGGGACAGGCGAATCGGAGGGAGGAAACGACGCCGAAGAGGGAGGCGAGCATTCCCGCGGGGAAGGCGGGCGCGAGTTCGGCGAGAACGCGCGTGAGAACGAATCGTAGAAACCGCTCGGCGCGTCTGGGTGAAAAAGTGGAAACGGAGGTACAGGGCGGGAATGCAGGCGGGGTCGTCGAGAATGCCGAAGGCGACGGAGTCGGTGAGGTGGGCGAGGAGGCGGTAGAAGTTGGTGGCGTGGACGACGATGCCCGGAGAACGCTCCTGCAGACCCTGGTCGAACATGCGGAAGAGGAACTTGAGCTCGCAGGAGATGCACGTGGGGAAGGAGCATGCGTGGGAGAGGACGAGGCGGTGGAGGGAGGAGAGTGTCCAGAGGAGGAAGACCTCGGCGTTGAGGAAGCTGTTGGCGATATTGTTCTCGAGACCCACGAAAAAAGTGCTGAAAAGGTAAAAAAGAGAGGGTTTGTTATAAACTTGTTATACGCGCTGAAGTCAATATCGTAAAATCCGTAATGGTTCAGACGCATTTCTTTGAAGCGGAGCTCCGGAGGGATCGGGGAGGACTCTTCGCTGGCATCATGTCCGGTCCATTTCATGCTGCTGCTACTGCTACTGCTTTGCTGCTTGCGCGGATCCACTTCGCATAACAATGTTTTCTGCGCGCCGAACAGAATCGAATTCGGAACGATTCGCTTCTTCAGCTTGATCACGCCTTGAATCACCTGCGTTTTCCCGCCCTCCTCCATCTCCTACGCTTCGTCTCCCGCCAATTCCACTACCGTCGTGTCCAGCACGCGCTGCATGCGCGGCACATCAATCCGATCCTCCGGGAAGGTCTCCACTGATGATGCCATTAATGATGTGCTTCGTCCTCGCCAAAAATCGCTCGGATACACCGTACCCAACTCGCTAAACTCCAGCGAGAGCGGCAGCGACCGCCGAGGCACCGGCGTCGGATACGGCTTCGAGTGCTCGTTCAGCTACCCCTCAGACCGTGGAAACGTGGAAACCGTCCAATCGGGCCGCTGCACGTTGACGTGGATGCCGCCGAGAATCGACACGCCGATCAGCACGGAGCGGGAAGCGCTCATAGCGGCGGCGGTGATCATTTCGTTTTCGACGCTCCCGAACTACGCTAAAAGGGGAAACGTGGAAGCACGGAGGTCTGCTGGAGCTCGACGAGCCCGCTCTGGAGACTGTAGAGCGCGGTGGCGCCGAAGAGGTTGGAGACGAAGAATTCGCCGCGCGATTCGTCGAGCGGTTGGAGGGAGACGGGGCTGGGGAGGAACTGGTGCGAGTAGGGGAGGATTTCGAGCGTGCGGAGGTCGAAGACCTTGACGAGGGGGCAGGGAAAACTCGTCGGCTTCTTGGGGAGATAGTCGAGCCCGGATGTGATGAGATGATGACCCTGGGAGAGAAGCGGCGAGAAGGGAGAGTACGATGCGCAGAACGTTCTGGGTGGTGCACAGGAACGAATTGATCACGCCGACCGCTTTGCTCATGCGGAAATCGAATAGCAGCGCATCGCCCGAGGTGGCTATCCGTTACGCTCCGCAGGCAGCAGCACTCCCAACCACGCTACCCGAAGGACTCGAATAGATGCAGGAACCGTGCTCCGCGAAATTACGCTTCTTTTTCTTTCCCGACACCAGGTCGAACGAGTACAATCCGCTGAAGTCGCCAACCAAGGAAAGAAGCGTAGAGGTCGAGTCCACTTGGGCATAACCCGCTCGGAAACTACCACTCTCGGGAAGTTCGTATCCGATTCTGAAAAAAGTAGGCAATGGAAGAAGGAGGCTTACTTGCCACGAAGAAGACCCCCGAAGTTGTAAATGTTCATGCCATAGTCCGTAACCGTGATTTGGCCACTAGCGATTATGCTCATCAGCTGTTACGACATTGGTGTTGATTGGATGCCATAGATACACCGATTTTGCACAACTTCCACCGAACACTGCAATTGCATTGTATCCGCTCGAAATCCTCTCATAAAACCCTAATCATTATAAAAACGTTCGAGAAGAGACGTTCTGCGAGGCACACCACAACATCTCGTATTCGGGGTCACAGGAGCATGATATATATGGAAACGGAATGGAATCATAGGTATCGTAATAAGAAGCTGCACTATAATAGGGGGCGACTTGGGTCCCTTGAATTATCCTCGGAGTATATCCATAAGAATTTCTGAACATAAATATCTATCTTACAAGGCAAAGGACCGCCAAAAAATTAAAAATAGAAATGCCCGATTGATTTCAATAAACAAACGACTAAATCAACAATTCTTCATCAGAGTGGCGCAGCACACCAATCTCTCGCTCGTCTTCACCTCGCACAACAGCTGATCTTCTTCCTCGAACACATCCCAGACCTGGATGCGCCCATCCGAGCTTCCTGTGACAACCAACGAGTTCAGCTTCTTCTCCTTCGGCACCTCTACAACCTGCACGGTTCTGAGCCGCAGATCTGTGTGGGACGCAATCGTCCGAATTTCCCTGCCATTCACTTTTCCCTCCAAATCCAACTTTCCCTCTCTCGAGTACAAATGAATCATTTTATCGTTCCCGACGACCACGATCTCTCCGTTCTATCCTCTATTCCCCATACGCAAAATTCTACGGCTAAGTAAGCGACATCGTTCCATCCGAGATCATTCTCCAAAGTGAACGATTCTTCGCCATCCGCCGTCTTGTACACGATCACCTTATTCGTAGTCAGCAAAACATATTCAGAAGCGTCCGGACTAAACAGCACTTTCCAGGCTTCGAACTTGAGTTTGCGGACAAAGCCGATCGATCCCTTGATCAGGTTCCACAGGCGCAGAGTCCGGTCTTGGCCTACCGAGAGAGCGACTTTATTGGACGGATGCAGGCAGAGGTGATGCACCGAGGAACTAGACCAAATTGGACATGGCGATAATATAAAAGTACCGATGAGAGCCGAGCGTTTTCACACGAGACCAGTCCTTGGTCTTCCATAATACCACTTTTCCATCCGAACCTCCACTCAGGAACATTTCTTTCCCTGCAAACTCGATCGCATTCACATCTCCGTGGTGGAAGAGGATCGTTCCCTGCTCCTTCGCCTCCGTTAGGTTAAACAAACTAGAAATGAGCAAGAACGGAGAGTCCCTACCGAATCGACTCGTCCGCTCCTCCAGACAATAAAAACGGAGTGTTCTCCACGTAATGCATTGCTACAGCGCGAACTGTTCCCACATGCGTTTCAACAGCGTATCTGCATGTAAACCAAAAGATGGAACACAGGATACTTTAATTCCATCCCCCATTTCCCATTCTGGTAATCAAGCTCATATCCCAGAAGTCTTCCCTCATAGCTACACAAATGAATCAGCTGGACGAGTCGTATACGTTCCAAAGAAAATTGTATTCATAATCAAAAGTAAAAACCTTATATATGCAAAAACAGTATGGAAAATGAGGATTTAATGATTCCAATAGAAATAGGGAGTTTTAGACAAGTATAAGAAGCATTCTATGGCCAAAGAGGAAACCTTGTGATGATAAGATTCGTGCCGTTTTTTATAGGATGAACGTGCGTACTGAGTGGCTGTGACAAAATAAAAAGAATCAACAATCCGATTCTGATAGACCACTGAAACTCCCCTAAGGAAAATCAAAAACCAAAAATGCAGGTGTCTTTGGATGATTCAAGTACTTGATTGGATTCTATTTCATACTCATTAGAGATTAACTTCTTAGTTTTGAAACATCTCGAACAGTATGCGGACAAACTGCCTTCTCTGGAAAAGTTGAAACGAGAGATAGTAATATGCAATTTTTGTAAGTTATTCTCTAAGGAACATCTCCATCTACTCGGCGAATCTGTGGATTTAGACAGCAATGTCCAGCCTATAACATACGACTACATCAATTCAACATATCGGGATATTTCTTCCCATCAACTGTCTACACTCATCGAAGAAGGCGTTGATCATATAAAACTGGATAGCAATGATACTGAAAAGATCATAGATATTCTAAAACCGGTCGTACCGGTGTGCTATTGCTTCTTTTGTCATTCCTAGCGAAATCTCCTCCCTTCGTCACTTAGTGAGAAGTACAATTCGTTACAAGCGTGTTGTACTGGTCATTCCTGTGTATCACTCGTAGTGGTTGATTACTGCCATCTTTTGAATTCCGAGCATGCTCTCAGAAAGGAGATCGCTGCATTCACTGGGGACAACGATATCGAAGAGATCGAATCGGTGCAGCATTTCGATGTTCCAGTGACTCTACCTCCAAAGTGCTTTTTATCGCTTTCTTTCGATGCCTAGCACCACGCTCGGCGTGGTTCTATCGAATTCGCCGACCGGTGTGTTTGTGAAGCAGTTCAGTTCGCCGACCAGTTTGGCGCAAAGTACCGGCAAAATTGAAATTGGCGACGTTCTATCGGCTATCGATTCGCTCCCTGTGAACACGACGCTGGACGCAAAGAATCTCATAAGTCGTGTTGGTGTAGCGGGAACGCGTAACGTCTAGACGAATCGGCCGATTTTGTCGTTTTCGCGTCGCTGCGTCGTTCGATTGATTGACCACTTTGACCCAAAGGAGAAACGGAGTCGTTCTGCGGAGAAGAAGAAGCAATTAGAAGCCATTCAAAGCGAGATTCATCGCATTGAGTCCGCGTTAGCGAACCGAATCCCCACCACGCCGCGCCCTGCTTCGTTTCCCGCCTTTTTTTATTGGTTGTAACGCACAGCATGCTGAGCTCGATTCTGCAGAAACGGCTGCGCGCCGACATGCACGCAGGCTCGATTTCTCCGGAAGTGTTCATCAAACGCTTCAAAGTTCGCGCTCTTTTTTTCTTTTTGTTTCTAATCTTCGTAGTTCCTGCAAGTGCTTTCCGGCCATTGCAACACGCCCATCTACGGCCTCGCTGTCGACAAAACCGACCGCTTCGCCTTCACCGGCGCGGACGATCATCTCATCAAAATCTGGGACATCCACTCGGGTAATCTCCTGTCCCGTTTCTCCCTTTTCTCCATTTCTAGCCGCACCATCCGCGGTCATCGCAGCAAAATCACCGATCTCGCGCTCACCGACTCCAACTCCATCCTCGCCAGCAGCAGCGAGGACGGCTGCGTCATGTTCTGGGACATTTCTCCGCTCCTCGCCCACCCCTCCGCCGACCCCTGCTACCACTACCTCGCCTCCTGCTCCACCCACCGTCGCTTCGTCTGCCAGCTTCGCTACGACCCGCTCAACAAGCTTCTTTTCTCCGTCGCGGGCGACGGACTCGTCTGCGCCTGGAACCCCGAAGCCATCGATCCCGCCAACCCCCACGCCAGAAAGCACGTGACCGAGCGCGAGCTCGCCGTCTTCGCCCTCCCTCACGGCTCTACCGTCCTCCAGAACCGCGGGGAGCCCGCGCCGCGCGACAACTCCGTGCTCTTCTGCGACGTCAGCTGGGACGGGCGTTTCATCGCGACCGGGGCGGCGGACGGCGCGGTACGGATCTGGCGGATCCCCGAGATTCAGCGGAACCGCGCGGGGATGACGCAGCAGGTAGGTCCCGCGGGGGCGATTGATGGAAGCTGCGGAGCGAGCAATCCGCGGGACTGCTGGTGCAGACGCTGCGCGGACACTCGAAGGACGTGGAAACGGTGATCTTCGCGCATCGGAGCTACGATCTGCTGACGGCGTCGGAGGCGGAGCGCAACGCGTGTCTGTGGCGGTGCAACGGGGATTTCTCGGTGTGCGAGAAGACGGTGCTGCACTGCGATATCAGTGCGAATGCGAGGGCGCATGGACCGTAGATTTCTCGAAGTGCCGGTCCAAAGTGAAGCTGAGCAACTGCGTGTGGAGTCAGGATGACCAGCATGTCGTCACGTCGTCCTGGCTCAAGCGGATCGAGAAGAAAAAAACCGTTTTTGATGTGGATATCAAGGTTTGGAACGCGCAGACCGGAGCCATCGAATTCGTGCTCAACCGCGATGAAACGCCCGTGATCACGGGACCCATCAGCAGCATGTATCTTCATCCCGAATTCCCCTCGATTTTGGTCACTTCGTGCTGGAGCGGGAATCTCTGCTTCTGGGATTTGGAATCGCATTCCTTGCTTCATAAGTAGTTTCTTTTTTTTACGAGACGATTTCAATTGTAGAATCTCCAATACCCATTTCGCGGGACACAGCAATCGGTACTTTTTGAACGACCCTGTCCCTATTTTGGATTTCCGGTTTACCCGCGATTCGCACCACATTCTCGCCGTCGATGACGATGGTTCCTTGCTAATGTCCCAATTATAGATGGGCCCTAATTCCTAGTTATGGCGTGGGGGTCAAAAGCAGTTACTCCCTTTCCTTTATGTACCAATACTTTTCGCTCGACAATGGCCCTATTCTGGAGGAATCACGGTACCCGATCGACCACGCTTCGGAAACGCCCTGCGAGTTAATTCCGAACGGTCCGCTCCTCGATTATCTCCGTGCTCCCTATCAATACCAGCAGATTCCCGCGGAAATCGACGCGTCGTGGGCGTCGTACCGCGAATCGGAGGTGAAAGAGAATTGGAATCGGTTGGTGGAGGTCGCGCGGGAAGAGCGAGTGGACGAAGAACGGGAGAATGAGGACTAGACGATGCACGACCAGACGGAAACGGCGCTGCAGACGGAGGAAACGGTTTTGGCGGAGGAAGGGAGCGAAGACGAAGACGAGCCGGAAGAGCCGGATAATGATTTGTTTTCGTTGGAGCAGGGGGAAGAAGATCACGATGATTCGGATCTGTATGACGAGGAAATGAGTCAGGAGTTCAACGATCTGCAGGAAGGAAGCAGCGATTCGGAGACGCGAAGTCGCCACACGGAGACGCGATCCACGCAGTCGCAGACCCGGCAGACGGACATTTATCGACGGCACTACCACTCCGATGCGGCGGAGCGATCGGTGCGGATGCAGAGACGCGCGGGAAATGCGGAGGACGAAGAAGTAGGCGGCGGATGGCGCGGTGAAGCGTAGTTCTTCGTGTCGGAGGACGATTTGCAGATTTTGGAGGACGATGAAGAGGAGTTTGACATCTCGGAGGAGAATCTTTCGGAGGAAGGATCGATGGAGGAAGACGACGTGGAATACGACGAAATAGAAGAAGGAATGGAGGAGGAGGAAGAAGAAATCGAGGAAGAAATGGAGAAAGAGCTCGAAAAACAATGGAGCGAAGACGACGAAGCCGCTGCCGCTAAAAAGAAGCATGCCAAGGCGAAGCACGCCAAGAAGTCATCGAATTCCAAATCGAATTCCAAATCGAATTCGAATTCGAATTCGAATTCGAAAGAACCGGCCGAAATACTCCCCATCGTGGACGTTTCGCGATTCCCCCTCAAAAAGCGAATCTTCACCGAAGATCGCATCGATCCCAGCCCCGCCGCCCAAGATCCCACCGTTCCCCGCGTCTGCGCCTTCTGCCACCGCGGGGAGCAAGACGTTCCCGGGGGTTTCGTGTCGCCTCACCCGTTCGTGGGTGCGAAAGGATTCGTTTTCGTGCATCGACTGTGCGTTTTAAGCCACTCGGAGGTCGCGCGATCGTCCACGCGCTATTTCAACGTGATCAAAGCGGTGAACGCGAGCAAGAAAGTGCGCTGCCAGCACTGCAATGCGTTCGGAGCCACGCTGTGCTGCGCTGTGTCGGGCTGTCTGAAGTACCCCCGATTTTTGGAGTTTAAAATAGTCGGTATCATTATCCCTGCGCCAAAGAAGCGGGATTGCTGTCTCCCGCGCTTCTTTCCTTCCCGCCCATCGACCCGCGGGACTATTTTTTGTGTCACGCACATCAGGAACACAATTCGAACTTGTTGATCCAAAGCACCGTATATCGAAACAGTATTCCTTACGATCCAGCCCCATCTTCGCTACGAATACGATCGCGATTGGCTTCGGTCCTGCGACGCTTCCTATCCCCAGCTCGGCGAGTTCTACGTCTATTTCCCGCAAGGACACATCCAGCATCTCCTCGAATTCGGAGACCCCGAAACGCCCTTCACCGCGGTTTCGCTCTGTCTCTGCCAGATCGATTCGATGGAAGTTCGCTTTCCCCATCACACGTGTTGCTCCATGTCCATTCTCCTTCGGCTTGCCCTCAAAATCGTCGGGTTCCCCGCGGGACGGACAAACGCACAGCATCCAAACCCCGTGCAGAGCTTCGTGAAACTCCCGGAGGGCGTGGAATTCCCGCGGATCGTCGTCACGCTGCGGAACTGCGATCTCCCTGATTTCCTCGTGAGTTTCCCCGTTTTCCACACTCTAATGGGGAAACCGTGGAAAGTCGGCGACCCGTTCGAGATGCGTTTCGTGGAAAAGTTCCCCTTTTCTCCGATTTCAAGGCGTAGAGGCGTGGCGACGCGTTTTGGCGGCAAAATTCTTCGTCTCCGCGAGGACGCCAAATGGCCGGGTTCCCCGTGGGAGGCTGCGGACATCCAATGGGACGGCTCGGGCGGGCTGCAGTCCATCAGCATGTTCGAGACCTGTTCGGACGAAACGCCCGCGTCGTCGCTGCCGCGCGCGGAGCAATCGCGGTTCTTGTCGATTTTGGAGGAACTGGAGAAACAGGAGTGGGCGGCGGAGTTCGTGGAGCCGGTGCCGAGCCATCTGCCGGATCTTCGCTGCTACGACGCGCTGGTGCCGGTGCGGATGGAGCTTCAGTGCGTGCGATCGCGGTTAGAGAAGGGATTTTACCGCACCGGCGAACAGGTCGTCTGGGATCTCCGCCTCATCGCCACCAATTGCCTCCTCTTCAACGACGCCGACAGTTTATTGGCTCGCCACGCCCGCCTTCTCGACGACGCCGTGCAGAGGATCGCTCTTCCCCCGCGGGAAACCATGGAACTCCCCGCCATCGAGCCCGGGAGGGACGTGCAGCCCGCGGTGCTGGAGGCGGTTCCGCGGTTAAAGGAGGTGTGGGATCGCTGCGGCGAGGGCGTTTCGTGGGAGTTACCGCGGTTCTGGGTGGAGCATGGTGCGGAGCTGTGGGGTGAAAGTGGAGGGTGTGAGGCGTAGAGAACAGTGCGTTCATCCGTTATTGTGGCGAGACGTCGAGATGAAAGCGAATGGCGGCATGTACGGATCATTAAGCGAGTTGGGCGTCGACTGCTTGCTGGTCGTCCAGACGTTGAGGGCGTTTCATCCGCGAGTGAAAGAGAAACTCCCGGACATGGAGCAGAGAGTAACTTCGATTTTGGAGGAGATCGCGTCACGGCGGAATCTGGAATTGGATCTGTAGGGGAAAGAGGGAAACTCGAGCGTAGAAAACCGTTTTATGAAGTGGTGCAGCCACTCGTTTTGCCGCCCGAAGTCGTTCTGCGAGAGGACAAAACGGGGAAACGCGAAGGGGAAACGGAGAAGACAGAGGGAAATGGAGAAACGGGAGAATCGAGCGTGGAGAACAAGAGAAACGAGGAAGCCAAAATCCAAATCGAACCAAAGCCAAAATCGAATTCCAAATCGAATTCCAAATCGAATTCCAAATCGAATTCCAAATCGAATTCCAAATCGAATTCCAAATCGAAAAAGAAGAAGAAGAAGCCGGTCGAAGAGTCAGATGGGGATTTCGAGGTTGGTGAATCCGATGAAGAACTCGATGAAGAACTCGATGAAGAACTCGATGAGGAAATGAATGAAGAAATGAACGAGGAATTGAATGAAGATAAGAAACTGCAAATGGGAAAGCGACAGAGTTTGAAACGAGAGCATAGCGAGTCTGAGTTCGAGGAGGGATGGGAGGATCTGCCAAGAAAGCATAGGTGATTTTTTTGTAATTTGGGTGTTTGTTGCATACGCTTGTTTGATCTTTTGTAAAAATTATGGCGAGAAATAAAGCGGACAAATCGGTGGATAAGAACAGTGAGATACATTGCATTTTCGATCAGATATGTAGAACCCGAGGCAGAGAGACGCATTATTGCCATCGCGGAGATTGTGAAAAGCCTCGTGGAGGTATTGGATTCTATATTTAGTGGAGAGTAGAAATATGACGCAAAACAAGAAATAAACATTACACACTTCGTTTCCCAAATCTCTCGCAAATATGGACTCTCTGCTACTCCTAAAGTAAGGCTCGCAGTAATTCATTTAGAGTAGATGGTCGACATTATTGCAGCTATTCCCGAAACGCATCGGAACGTGCTAACTCCCTATCTCAAAGTCAAACCCGTTCGCACAGCATCGGGTGTTGCGGTTGTGGTATTCGAATTTCAATCCATTGACTCAAGGCTGTGATGTGCAAACCACACCGTTGTCCCCACGTCGCCTACACGGGAAGCGTCTGTTTGTATTGTGCTGGTGGTCCCGACTCCGATTTTGAATACTCAACTCAATCATACACAGGATACGAGCCAACCAGGTTTCAAACAAATCGATTCAATTATTTGATAGCATGCGAGCCATTCGGTGTCGTTATGACCCGTACATCCAAACCCGGACGCGTGTAGAGCAGCTTCGTCGTTTAGGCCACAGGTAGCCGAATTCTGGAATTCCAAAAATAGCGTCGATAAAGTGGAATTCGTCGTGATGGGAGGGACGTTTCTCTCGCTGGAGCAGAGCTATCAGGACGAGTTTATCATGAAGTTGCACGATGCATTGAGTGGTCATCACTCGCACAGCGTGGAGGAAGCTGTGAAGTGATCATCATGATGCCGGCTTAATGTCAGATACAGCGAGCAAAGCCAATCGAAATGCGTGGCCATCACGATCGAGACGCGTCCTGACTACTGCCTGAAGCCGCACCTCAACAACATGCTTCGCTACGGCTGCACGCGCATCGAAATCGGCGTCCAAAGCGTCTACGAGGTTTTTTCTTCGTCTGCCGCCAAATTTAGGACGTGGCGCGCGACACCAACCGCGGCCACACCGTCACCGCCGTCTGCAACTCGTTCGAGCAGAGCAAGGACTGCGGATTCAAAGTGGTGACGCACATGATGCCGGATTTGCCCAACATGGGCTACGAGCGAGACATTCTCGGATTCAAGTCGCTTTTCCGCGGGAATTGCACCGTAGAGAACTCTTCGAAAACCCGGCGTTTCGTCCGGACGGGCTGAAACTGTATCCCACGCTGGTGATCCGCGGGACGGGGCTCTACGAACTGTGGAAAACGGGGAAATACCGAAACTACCCTCCCAAGTAGCTTTCCAAAATCGTTCCTATTTTTAGCATGTTAGTGGACTTAACAGCCCGCGCGTTATCGCTGATTCCCCCGTGGATGCGCGTCTACCGCATCCAGGTAAAACCGCGGGGATTGCCTAACGCAGCGAGATATTCCGATGCCGCTGGTGACTTCCGGCGTGGAAACGGGGAGTCTGCGTCAGCTGGCGCTGCAGCGCATGGCGGATCTGGTAGGAGAACCGCGGGGATGAGACGAAGGGATTGGTGTGTCGCGATATCCGAATGCGGGAAGTGGGGATTCAGGACATCCACAAGAAGATTCAGCCGACGAAAGTGGAGTTGATTCGGCGGGATTACGCGGCAAATGGCGGGTAGAGGCGAAGAAAAGGGATGAAACGCAGCTGGGAAACGTTTTTGTCGTACGAAGATCCGGAGAAGGACATTTTGATTGGGTTGCTGCGGTTGAGGAAGGTCGGGTAGGGGGAAACGGGGAAACTGAGGGGTAGACCGAATGTGTTCCGCGAGGAATTGAAGGGAAACGTGAGTATTGTGAGAGAGTTGCACGTGTACGGCTCGGCAATTCCGGTGCATTCGCGAAGCACGTCGCAGTTTCAGCATAAAGGCTATGGAACGCTTTTGATGGAGGAAGCGGAGCGGATCGCAAGAGAGGAGCATTTTTCGGATAAAATCGCGGTGATTTCGGGAGTGGGAACGCGGCATTATTATAGAAAGCTGGGCTATTCGCTGGATGGAGTGTATATGTCGAAGATGCTCAATTGGATTGTTTGTTCAAATCAGAATGGGACGAGATGTTGCGTTCTTTCGTCTGTCATCTTTCCTTTAGATTCATTCAATTCAAAGGAAATTAAAACAAAGGAGGTCAAAGCAATTTGATTTGATTTGATTTGATTTGATTCGATTCGATTCGATTCGATTCGATTCGATTCGATTCGATTCTATCTTCTTTACTTCTCCATAACCTACAATCTCCTCACAATCATCACCTTTGATTCAACAAACAACCCAAAAGACAGAATCTTCGTTCGGAAAACTCGGAAGAACCAATCGAGATCGCTTCGATTCGCTTCCCAAAACAGCTCCCAAACTGCTCGGCGTTCCCAACACGCTCGTATCCGACGCAATCGTGTCGTTTCGGCTGTACGGAGACCCTTCCAAAAACGACACTTCTGACCCAGAAATCCCCCGTTTCAGCTGTTTCCCCTTTCGTTCCCCCATTTCGAGAGGAAGCAACGAACGAACCACATGCGAAACCTGCTTCTGCACTTCCTTTCGGATCACAGAAAGCGGCAAAACGACGCGATTCACCTCGTACACAACTTCGAAAACCGCTTTGCACAGCTGATTCGAAAGATCGAAAACTCTGCACGTTAGCTGCCTTGCTTCCTGCATTCCCACCGATTGTACAGCGACGAACCGTGATACGAAGAAGGCAGGATTTGTGGAATGACAGAAATCAGCGCTTTATTGAGCTTGGAGAGATTTTGGTCCAGCGGCGTAACTGCTTTTTTCGGCCGGTTTTTCGTCATTCCATTCGTTCCCACGATGAAACTGGCGAATTGGTCCACTTTTTGAGCCATCGCCGAAATCTTGGCTTCTTCCGCTTCGCCCGCTTCAGACCAAAAATCTTCGCCACAGCACGCAGACCACAAGTTTCCCTCCGACTCCGTCTCTATTTCGTGAATTCCAGAAAAACGCCTGATTACTGGACCGTTTTCGATATTCCGGGATGGGTAGTCGCTGAAACTCGAACAGCTGCAGATCCATCGCAGGTTCTCCGTTTGAAAGAAAGCAGCGAACGAGGTCAAGCGGCGATTGCGGAGAGCGAACGGTTCGGAGAAGAAAGGCGTGCGGAGGTTGCGGCTTGGCGGGTTTTCGAGGGCGGGAAAGACTGGGTTTTGGCTTGGGGGCGATGGAAAGAAGCCGCTGCTTCCACAGATCGTCGGGACGAATGATCTGCTTGTGAAAGGAAGGAAGGAAGGAAGCTACGAAGTCGCTGAGGCGTTTGACGATTCGCTCTTCCATCCATCCGGAGGGAAGTTTGTGGCAGAAACAAGTGAAGTCGTGGGAGAGGAGAGGGAGCGAAGAAGGTCGCTGAATCAACGAATCTCTATTTGGAAGGGAAACAAAAATGAGACAATTGGAGAGGATCAATATTCGTATTTTCAATGGCTGGATCATTTTCTATATTTTCATTGATTTGTTTGTTTTCTATATCTTCGATTCCTTGATTGCTTTGTACGTCTTCATTTATTAGTTTGTTTTCAATATCTTCATTTATGAGTTTGTTTTCAATATCTTCATTCATTAGTTTGTTTTCAATATCTTCATTCATTGGTTCATTTGCTATGTTTGTAGAATCAAGAAGAGGCAGATCAGAGTCAAGAATCATATGGTACAGAGGATGATTTAAAGCTGTGGCAATCACAGAACTCAAAAAAGAGGAAGGAGTGGAAAGCTGATCTTCATAATTCACAAACAAAGAAAGCGAAAACTCGCTGCACACCAAAATCGAAGGAAGACACGCTAACTTCGATCGGTTTGCAAGCTCACAAACAGTACTACAACCAAAGAAGGTAGTGTGCTCTTCCAATTTCTGGATATGAGAGACTAACAAATTCTTTTGTGGATGAGAGGCAATCAAGGAAATCGATTCAGCTTGCTCCAAGACAGTATGAAGCGTACACGCCATTTCGATAGGATTGATTTGAGATATGATTTGAATTGGATGATTCGGTGAGAGAGTTATGAATGAATCCCTTTGGCTCTGAACAATTCCCATATTACATGCATAATGCCGAAAAGACACGACTGGCTCACTCGGATACATAAGAGAGAAAACGTCCTCATTGACAAATTGATGGTCCTGTTCGGACCATTCGATGTGACATCTTCCCTTAATTCCCTGAGCGATTAATCGCGTACAAACCATTTCAAATTCGTGTAAATCCAATTCAAAAGCTTCAGAGAATTGAATGAGCGGGAGCAATGGCTTTTTAGAGTAGGATTCAGACTGCTTTTTCTTTTCAATCGAATCTTCGACGGAGTCTTCGATAATAAAGCTATCCATCATCGACGGAACCTCGATATTGGAAGTTCTGTTTTCTGATAAGTCGCTTGACTCGAAAGCATCATTTGGCGGAAAGAGGAATGATGGAGTCACCCAGTAAATGGTGCTATGAAGGAGAGACGACCAAACGAGCAGCTCTTCGCATGAATGACTCGCTAAAATGGTGAATTGAAGCGAAGGATTGCTCTGCTCAATCGCATGAAACGCTTGGTAGAGATAGGCTGCTTTGGTAGCATCCGCTTGGATCGCCATCTGGCTGGAATGCATCTTTTCCATATTCGGGACAACCCAAATCACATCAAGAATATCGGTCTTCATGATGCTCGATTTCAATTCTATCAATGCGTTATATATACTCCGGTAGTTCACGGGCATAGGCTGCTTCTTTATGGCACGCTCACACTCACTCATTCTCTGCTCACACTCCGATTTCAGCGAACCAAATATTTGAATATTCATTGGAGAGATCCAGCGCGTAACTTGCCTTGAATTTGGATGCACGAGAGCAAAAAACAAGGAATCGGCTAGAATTTGTTGGTTATTTCAAAACCTACATGTGTTTTCCCTATTTTGATTTGTGATAATGCCACAGAAAAAGGAAAGTAACCGGCAATACGAGTAGACATTGGTTTGACTCCCATCGTCTTCCTCTGTATCGAACGATACTGGATCTTCGGTAATTACGAGAATACGCCTAGATCCTCCCATTTTTTGAAGTGAAACTCCCGACTGAACGGGTTTTCAGCTTTCATTTCTTCTCTCAAGGAATTGTTCGACAAAAATGAGCGGATCAGGAGTAAGACACTTGGTTTCATTTACCTAATGCTCTTAGTATGATATGGATACAACTATCTTCTCGCCTGAAGGAAGAATCTTCCAGGTAGAGTACGCTTCTAAAGCAGTCGCTGACGCCCCGTAAGTCACTCGGAAAAGTTGTAAAGTTGTAGAACTTGCTTGGGAGTGATTTGCAAAGACGGAGTTGTAATAGCGTCGGAGAAGACTCTGGATTCTCCCTTTGTCATGGAGGGATCTGATAAACACATACATCAAATTTCTCAGAGCATTGGTGCTGTAATTGGCTTTGGGAAGCGTGATTATGATGTAGGGAATTGGTGGCTACTCGCCAGATGGCCGTTATGCCGTTGGTATGGCAAGAGATCACACCGTCCAGTTTAAGGATGCTTTTGGTGAAGAGATGAGTCCGCGTGTTCTGGCTGAGCGTATGGGCCAATTTGTACATCAATTCACATGTTACGGAGGCGCTCGTCCTCTGGGAATTAATCTTCTCTTTGCAGGCTATGACCATCGTGAGAAGAAATATGATTTATATCGGATAACTCCCACAGGCCAATATTACGTTGCTCTCTCCCTCCGTTCTAATGCATAGCGTCACTTCGCTGAAGCGGTGGGGAAGGGTCGTCAGAACTGCAAAGCGGACATCGAAAAATACAATTTGATCGAGAAAACGGTCGATGAGGTGTTGCCGTATGTCACCAAGATGTATTTACTTAATGTGTGATGAAAGTGATCTGTAGGCTCTGTGAAACCCACACTGAGTCAAAGAAGCCGTATGAAATCGAGATCGGCTATGTTTCGGATGCTACAGGACATCGCTTCATCCGTGTTGAGAAGGAGAGAAGGTGCGATTAGGAGTTCATAATGAGAGATAGAGATAATTTAGTACGGGATGCGTTGAGAGCAATTGAAGAGGCAGGAAATGAGGAAATGGATGTTGAATAAGATGAAGTTGTTTGTTGATAATCATGAATCACTGAACGAGAACCAGTCTTTGCTTACTTTTGTTCAAAATGGAGCGAAAAAACAAACTGGCAGAAGAGGAGATGCTGCTCAACAAGGGTGGCAAGCCTCCTCTTACTATGAATACCCAGCTTTCTCGATGGCAACCAGTGAAATGGTATGATAGTTGGTCAAATCTCAATAGTACGCTGTTTAATCGTATATCCTAATCCTGTAGATGGATATCTCTTGTTAATCACTGTTTTCCTGTTTGTGACACTAGTACATATCGGAAATATGTCTCGTAGTGGATCGCTACTCAGATGACCCCTAGCCGAGCACTCGCTTTTTAGATTACTCGTTTCTTCTTCAACGGATCATAAAACCATCAAAATGAAAGCCACTATGTGGAGAGCAATCTATTTCTATTGCTTTCTTCTATTTACCGGATTCATGGGATATGTTAATCAGCTAAGCATAGGCAAGCTCCTGGACAAGCGCTCTCCATTCGAGTCTTTCTCTTCGTACGCCCATCAATACTCTTTTTATTACCCCTAGTCTCCGCTCGCTGATCTTTTTTTGTAGTATACTGTTGCTGAATGTTCTGTGGCTGGTCAATTGCTTTCACTACGATTTGAGACAGGTTTCCTTGTTTTCCCGGCCTCTCAAGTTTCTCTCCAAGACTGTTTGCCTCTGGCTGGATCTGTTGTGGTCTCTCTCGCTGCTTCTCTGCACTCGCAACACCATCATGCAGTACATTCTGCAATCTCCTTTCGTACCTCTTCTTCTCTCGGTCCCCTCACCCCCAGACGTTTTCAATCACATTCCACAAGCGAATCGGCACGTTCACCTACTTCATCGTCTCTTTTTCTCTCTTTGGCTGATTCCCAGACTTTCCTTCACATCCTTCTCATCTTTCTCCGCTGGTATTGCGACCCTGATAATGGCGGTTTCTTCCATGTCATCACCAAAATATTCACCTACGCCAGTTCCCTGTCCGCATCATCATCATCATCATCATCATCCCACCTCCACTTCCTCCGAGCCACTCAAATCCTCCTCTGGAGCCTCCCTGTGATCGCCTTCCTCGCTCTCTCCTCGCTCTCTCCCGTCCATCGCCGCTTCTGGGAGCTCTTCTACTTCCCCCACAAGTTCCTCACTCCCGTTCTCGTCGCCGTCTTTTTCTTCCATTCCCCGCGGTTCCACCTCTTCGCCCGCCTCCCCCTCACTCTGTACATCGCGGATCTCTGCATGCGAGGCTTCTCTCTGATCACTCGCAAAGCCCGCATCGCGAAAATCGAAGTCTACAACGACCTCATCGTTCTGGACGTTTCCCTTCGCAATCGCTTTCTCCCGCGGAGACCCATCGGCCGGCTCATCGGCGCCGTGGTCTACCTCAACATTCCCTGCATCTCGCTGCTGGAGGCCCATCCGATGTCGGTCGCCTACAGCGTGCAGAACCATCTCATCTTCTACATCGGCGTCGTCGGCGGAAACTACTCCTGGACGCTCCAGCTCGCTCGATTGGCGCACGCCGCGGACGCCGAAGCCGCGCAGAACGCCGCAGAACGGCTCGATCCCTCGCGGGACGACGTGGAGAGCCATGAAGGAAGCTATGAAGGAGGCTATGAAGGAAGCTATGAAGGAGGCTATGAAGGAAGCTATGAAGGCGAATATCAGCGAAGTCACCATGGAAGTCGGTCCGTTCCGCGATTGCTGAGTCGAAACTCGCTGCGATCGCAGCAGCGCGAGGAGGAGCGAAGCCCGGTGCGGACGCGGACGCGCTCGCCGCTGCGGAACGTGAAGCTGAGCCGAATGTGGGAGTCGAACGTGATCACGCGGGAGAATTTGCACGGGAAGGAGTGGAACGTGTTCATTGAAGGTCCGTTCTGCACGGAACACAACCGAGCCGTGGCGGATCAGGGCATTCCGATGGCGTTCTCCACGCTCAACCTGCTGAAGGAGGCGAATCCGGTCTCGGGAGCGCAGTATTTCGATCGGGTGCTGAAGACGTACGGGCAGAACGTGCTGTTTGTGAGCGGAGGCGTCGGGTTTGCGGCGGTTTCCTCGTACATTCTGGACTTGCTGCACTCGCTGGAGCGAACGGAAGAAGGCGAGCGGCGTGTGCAAATCACGGTGATCTGCGTGGTCCGCGAGGTGGAGCATTTGATGGCGATGCGCATCGTGCTCGCGCGGTGCCAGCAATCCCCGCTCTGCTCGCTCCATCTCTTCTGCACCTTCCGCAATCAGCCCGAAATCCGCGCGGAACTCCCCGAAGAAGCCGACGCCTGCGAATTGCCGCCGCAGCGAGCGAGACCGGGCAATCCCGAGATGGGAGACTTGGAAACGGAGTCGATCGCGATGCTGCGGCGCGTTCCTCTTCGATTCTCGACAGGACGGCCGAATATTCGGAACATCCTGCAAGGAATCCCGTACCAGCCGCTGAACGTGTTCTTTAGCGGCCCGGAATCGCTGAAGCAGGACTTGCGGATGGTGCTCTTTGAGCAGAATCGGGACTTCTCGTTCCATAGTGAAAGTTTTGATCTTTGGGTTGTTTGTTGCTCAAACAGGACATTCATCTAGCCAGCAAAAGCAAGGATCCGACAAAAACGCTGTCAACCAGGGGGTGTAGCCTCGGTTCACCTTGTCCGAGAGGAGATCTTTTAAAACGGCGTACAACTGCGGCTTCGTGAGGATGACTTCGATCTTCTTGCTCCCAAACTTCTGGTGCAAGTCGCTCATGATCGGAGTCAAAAACCGCTTCCTTGTGTTCACAAACCAATTCGCGATTTGTTCCTCCCGTAGATTCGTTTCTTTCGCCAACGCCTGCTTGGTAGTTGCACAAGGATACGGATTGAAAAAGTGACTCGGACTTGTCAGCCACTTCAGCAGGAGCGTCTTCGCGTATTTCGAATGATTCGGACGCTTCAGCGACATCCGACGCGTCTTCCGAAAGTTCGAAAATCGTCCGCATCCAGACTCGCTTTCCTCGTATTCGTCCGCTGTGTCGTCCTTTGAATCCGAAGCGTTCGGCTCCCCCGTCATCTTGACGAGCTGGAAGTAATCTTCCGGAGTGACAAAGCAAACATGCACCGAATTGTCCTAAGCCTCACGCCCCTCGCTCATTCCCACAGGAAACGTGCACGAAAACGGATACATCATTGTGGGGAGCGCCGTATTCATCACAGGAACGTTCGGAATATACGCGCTGGGGCAAACGGGAGAAACTCCAGGCAACAAACGGCCGGACAGCCCTGCAGATGCTGGCAATTCTGCGTTTTCGCAATGTGAAGAATCGGCATCGTCCTTTCCGCCTTTCGTCGCTTTGCGGCTGGCTGGATCGAAGAACGGCTTGACAGGGAAGGTCGAAGAAGAAGAAGAAGGAGGAGGAGGAGGAGGAGAGCAAGCACAAGGGCAGGACGAAATGGGAGCAGAGGACGCGTCATTGGGAATCGAGGCGGGGAGTGGAGACGTGGATACAGGGAGCGGAGCGAGGAGGGCGGAAGAAACCACGGGGACGATGGGTGGAATGGGAAATCCTGATGAGATGGGAGGAATCGAAGAGAGCGGTGGAACGGGTGTGGAAGGAGGAATCGAAGAAGGGTGTGGAAGGAGGTTTGAAGGAACAGAAGGCAGAGAAGGACGAGAACGCGATTCATAAGGGTGTTCAGGTTTCACGGAAAGTGGGGGCTCGACAGATCGAAGAGATAATAAAAGAGAGGCCACCTCTTTGTCGTCGCCACTTTCAGATGGCAAAGGATTGGATGAAAGTAGATTTTTGGGTATTAATTTGGTCTGGAAATTGAGTTTCGCGGCACTCCCATAAATCTGCTTGGCGGCTTCATCATACTTCAGAGCTGCTTCGATTTGAGTTTTAAAAGTGCCTAAATGCTTCTTTTTCCCTTCAAACTGGATTTGAGCATTCCAACGACCTACGGTTAAGTGGAAGAGCCGCTGCCACTACCTCCACGTTCATAAATACCCCTATATCGTTTACAACAACATTTACCCTTCCTCTTTTGACAATTACAAATATTCCTCCGATTCAGAAGGATATGGCGAACAAGTCCAGAGGGAGTTGGCTTTCGTAACGACATCAGCGTATTAACCGCTTCTTCGTCTGTAATACCTTCTCTATCCGTTGTAGAATTGTTCGCACCAGCAGATAAATTAAGTTCTACAGAAATGGGAGGACACGCCTCCTCACTCTAGCCATGACAATAGACTCAATAAAACTACATTAGTTACATGATTTGACGAGGGTCCAGTGCCACCTACAGAGAAAGTTAGAGCAAGAAACAAACGAAAATAATGCACCTACTTTGTGCGTTGAAGTCATCTGCACAACCTTCAGGGGCTAGCGATTCTGTAGTTCGAAGATTAAGAGGTTCCGAAGACGGTTCCTCCGATGTGTCTACTGTCTTGGAGGGTATTGACTCTTTAGTAGAGACAGTATCACTCATAGAAAACCATAAAAAAATGCTCACCTTGTCATAAGATCCCGATTATTTACGGCTGAGTATTTTTTATTATAATAAACTTGACCAATAGAGCCCATATTTGTCATAATTACCCTATATACTAGTTATCAATGATCAAATATAGGATCATGTCAGGTAGTTAGTCCAATGGGTTACAGAGACATCCAGAAATCACTGGCGTTAACATGATTTGTTTAGATGATCGAGGTCAAACACCATTGGATGATTATAATGGGGAGAATAAACGGCAATAAGAAACCACAGAAAAAGAACCAATTGAACAACAAAGCACACAATCGAATGAAGCTACGAGGAAGCAAATGAATCTTTTGATTATCGAAATAAGCGTGGGTGAAACACTAGCAAACAAAAATCAACCTGTTTTAAGGAAACAGCATTACCAACAAGAAAACACACAGGATCTGACTAAAACTCGACGGAAAACTTCAGTGTGTTATCCAGTGTTGCTATTACCTGCATGAGTTCCCCCTTCTTCACAAGAGAGGGATTCTTCTTGAACTTTACAAGCTGCTTCTTATAGAAAACGAATTTTCCATTTTCGTAAGGCGTAAGCCAGTTCTCCGGAACATCCTCAAAAGAATCGACTTCTCCCAAGTAATATTCGCACCAGATCACCAGACAGTTAGCACTTCCGTCCTCCTTCACGACCAATTCAGAGGGAATTTCCACCGAAAACAGGGGCTGTCTAAAATCGATCGACAGAATGGCTTGCGGCTCCGTCAACGGCTTGAAATCGTACCTACATAACGCTATTCCTCAATTTCTACATTGCCAGAGGGAACGGATACAAGGAGCGATCCCAATGCTTCACTGCCTCATTAAACGCGGAGTGCACAAACCCGTTCACTTCGCTTACCTCCCCAAACGACGAAAAAAGAGGCTATTTCATCATCCCTTCCATTCCGTACCCCCATTTCCACCACCATCGCCATCACATTCACGAAGCTCGGCGTCAACCGAACCGACGAAGCCAGCGCCGCTACACCCTTCAGCTCTCTCTCCTGCAATACCTCGCATGCTGTTCACCATGCACCAATAACTCAGAGCCTCCATCACGCAATGATCTTCCATCTGGTAGTTGTGGCAGTTCCACACCACGCTGCGAATTCCCTCCTTCCCGAACACCTCCGCCACCTGCGGATTACTCGGATGTCCCGCGATTATCGCCAGCGAAACGCCGTTCGATTCGCTAATCGCCTGCCAGCGCAATCGCGACAATTCCCGCGGTTCGAACGAATACACGGGCGTTTCCGATGCGTCCTGGAGTTTCATGGCGCAGAGCGTGGCGAGGAAACTGTCGTCGCCGATGTCGACGATGGGGGCGAAGTCGCGGGTTCGAAGCAAGCGGTCGATCCGTTTTTCGATTCGCTGATTGCGCGCAGCGTCGTTGTACAGACCCATGTGTCCGACGTTCATCAGCCAGTGAAAGCCGCAGACGCCTACGCGAGAGGCAACGAGGAGGGCCAACAAGCGTGCTCCTTCATCATTCGCGACTTGACGCGCGTGAGATCTGCGAGTGAGAGCGACTGCGCGTTATTTGCCTGTCTCCCGCGCGCAGGCGTCGAACCTCCAGTTGGTGTCGCGCAGCAGAGCGACGAGGAACACCGTCCGCTCGGCGGCCTCGAGGTCGTAGAGCGGGCAGAAGGCCTGCAGCCAGTGGTCCTCCCAGTCGCTGGGCGCGACGTCGAGCGTGGAGTAGTGCTGGCGGCCGCGGTAGAGGGAGAGATCCCAGCCGAAGAGAAGGCCGTTGGGGGCCGAGCGAACGGGAATCGCGCAGGTGAGCAGGCGCTGATTGGAGGCGTCGGTCAGATCCACCGTGGTGAGGAGAGTGCGCGCAGAGCACGACTCGATCGCGCAGTGGTCGGCGTGGATCTAGGGAACACGCACGAAAAGGGGAAACGGGGAATAATTGGCTGGCTCGACAGCGAGGAGCAGCGTCGGGAACCAGCTTTTCGCGACGATTCAGCGCGTCCTGCACTGTGGTCAGCGCGTACAGAGGGGAGCGGACTAGCTCCACATAGACGTCGGCTTTTTCGGGGATGATGAGCGCGTTGGGGACCAGAAGACGTTTCTAGGTGCCATGCAGACATTGCATGTACCTTCGCATCGCGGACGGCTTTTAGCACGCCTTCTCCGAGCAGGACCGTGTCTAAGATTTCGCTCACGAGAATATCGCAGCGCTGACCCAGCTCTAGTGATCATGCGCGGAAGGGAGGGTAACCTTCGACGGTAAGCGCGGAACTGTGCTTGTTGAAGATGGTGATCACGTTTTCGAACCCGTTTTCGATCACGTTCTTCGCAGCGATCTCTGCCCAACTGCGGAACATTTCGCACCCAAATACCTTTTCTGCTCCTGCACGGGCTGCCTGGAGAGAAAGAAGGCCCGTTCCACAGCCAATATCGAGAACGTAGGGCTTCCGACCGTGCTGCTGAATGAAATCACGAATGCACTCTGGGGTCAAATCGAACAACAACTAAAAAACCAGATATTGCACTGTTGTATGCTTCATTTCGCCTTTTATCTTTCAGCATAGAGGACATTTGAGACATGCCCATCACGGATTGCAAAACATCTTCCTTTTCATCGAGATACTTCCATGCCAGCTCGCCGGTTTCAATGTTCAAATACGATCCAAGATAGACTTCACTACACATTACATATTTCTTGTTCATTTCGATACTTTCCATTTGGGTCTTCTGCGGCTATTGTTTCGAAGCAATTGGAATGTGATAATACCTCTCTAGAAATGAGCAACGACAGAATCCTTATTACTCTGTGTCAACTTCTCCCTTTTTTCTTTCTCCAACAATATCACCTCCGTACTTATCGATTCCTCCAAACATCAGGCACTATTTGAGTGATCGGGGTTTGGATTAAGTTGTTTTTTGCCAATAATCATTTTATACATATCAAATCGCCTTTCATTGGATAGAATAATAAGAGAGATGGCAAGTTACAATAAAAATGGGATGTCTCGTGTTTCATTAGAAGAGTGGGTTGACATACTACGAATCTACCGAGTGAGCTTGTAGTGCTAACTCGAGTCTCATACATACTATTATTTTTATCTAGCTATTGTTGTTATGTATTCTTGGACAATAGACATCTTGCATATTCTCGCATCTTCACACATAGAACCTTGATTGATTACAACAAAATCTAGTTTCTGTGTTTTAACTGATCAGAAAATGAATAGTACTCGAGTCAATCCGCAACAATTATATGGAGATTATTTATTTGGAAATGGGGATGTGAACGAAAATGGTAAATCTGAATATTGTGGACTAATGGTTAGAGGGTTATAACTACCGCTGTCCTGAGCAATATGTGATGTAGTTTTTAATTGTATGCAATAATCGTGTAGAAATATTCTAAAAGGAGAGTCTATAAATAACTTGCGAGTTTTTCGTAATCCATTTGTAGAAAGCAGCACAAACGAAGGCTATTTTGAGATTCGTGATTTCTTGGGTCTGTTGGTGTGGAAAGGTACAATCAAGAATGGGGCACTCCATGGAACTGTCCGATGTTACTATAATGGCCTGTTAGTGATGGAGGCAGAGTATCGGAATAATAAGAAAAATGGGAGATACAAAGACTACCAAAATGGGAGACTGAATGAATATGGATACTTTACAGATGGAAAGAGGTGTGGAGTCATGTCAAATCCGTATTTGATGGTCCAGAAACAGTATGAAGATGATAAAGAAGTTTATACACAAGTGGAAGAAAACAATTCTCGCTATATAGTGAGGAGGGATGAAAACAACGTTCAAGAGATGAGTGCATATCGAATTACATCGGATAGAGGAGTGCTTTGGTTTCAACCAGAAGGTTACTGCTTCCAGAATCAAAATGGATTTAGTTGTTTGAAGTATATATCGTATCCAGATCCGTCAAACAGTGATGTGAGGGAGGAATGGAGTGATCGCATGCTTGAAACGGCCGATTCCATGACAGTGCTTAGTACCGTACAAGGAATGAATGAATATTTGTATATGGGCCAGTATTGTGACTCGTTTGCGGATGGATATCCGAAGGATGGAAGGGGGACTGAGTTTTATCAGGACTTTACGAACAATTATCGAATCAATTTGAATGCTATATTCCACAACAATCGAGTCGTTTCGAAGGGACAATTCGTGCTTCATGACACTCAAATCTGTATTTGTAATGCGGAATGGGACCAAGATGGAATGCGCTCGATTATTCTATATGATGAGAACGGTGATGTGAAATACCATGGAGAATATCGACAGTGGGACGCTCCACTGCGTGTGAAGAATTTAGACGATTTATCAAATTGCCTTCCTTATCATGTGTCATCCATCTACATCAGCGATGTTCCGACCTCATTGGTAATCGTGGACTTTAGTCGGTTTGTTCTTGCTCGTTTGATCATGATCGGAAAGAATTGTTTTATGGATGCTAAGGAACTCGTTTGCTTTCATATGCCCAACTTGAAAACTCTCATTGTTGGATCGGGAAGTTTTAGCAACATTGTTAAGAATGGGAATGAAGTTTGTCGCTTCCCCTCACGCAAAGCGGATCGTTTGTGCATTATTGCTTATTGTGATATGCTTGAAATTGTGAGAATCGGAGTGAATTGCTTTAGTGCATTCAATAAATTGGTGGTGCAAAGTACACGTTAGGAATGAGGGATTCATAGCATAGACAATCCTCTTTTGAGAGAATTCTCTTTAGGATCGATCGCTACCTCTCCTGAATCTGTCTTATTAAACGGATGTGCTTTCTACAATGCAGACAAACTTTGCGTAGAAAGACTTCCATCGCTTTCCAAATTGTGCATCGGTGATTTTTCCTTTATGTCAGTTCGAGAATTGATCATTCGAAGTTGGAAGTCATTTTGTGCAATCACGTTTTAGACATGCAATCTCTCAAAGAGGTACACTTTGGCCATCTCTCTTTCCTAAAAGCAAATAAAGTCAGTTTTATAAGTAAAAATGAGTGTGCTGTTTCCAAAATAGATCTGCCTGCATTAAAACAAATGGAATTACAGCAAGCTTTGTTGTCTTGTCGCGAAATGTACGCTTTCTGTATCAGTTAGTAGTTTTCTTTTCCTTAGACCTTCCCAAAATGCAGAAGATTCTGACTCGCAGCATTTACCTCATGTATCTGAAAGTGTTACATGTCATGAAATGCACCAGGGAGTTTCTCCTCTTCTTCGAGTCACGTGCTGCTAACAATGGATCGACGGTTGCGATTATCGACTATCCTCCGAACTTCATTTTGGATCCATTCAAAGAGATTCATTTCATTGATCGTCATGCGAGAGTTCGAATCGACGAAACGTCCGAATGGATTGGTCAAGTCGACGAGAACGGACATCCGGACGGCGTTGGAGAAATCGTTTCACTGAACACAGTCACCGAAACGATTCTTAAGAACGGCAAAAAGAACGGATACACTCGAGAATCTTTGAAGAATCGCGGCGAACAAGAATCTGGTTACTATGTGGATGGATTACGGTCCGGAACGTTTTATGATGCGAAATTCTTATCGTATGACGTTTTCTTCAAGGACCAACCGCTTCTTCGCACCTACGATTCCGATCATCGAGGCAATCATTGGGTTTCTTCGTATGAAGTGTGCAACAAACTGAGTCGCCAGACCAAGGATGTTCTTCCGCTCATTTTTGACTGCGCTCCCACTGTGGAGCTGAATGGAACGATCGAGATAAAGTTCGGGATGTTCATGCTGAGCAGCATGCTTCAGCATTTGATTCTGAACAAATGTGACGGGAACGCAGTGATTAATGTGGTGGTCAATGTGGTGATTTCGCAGTGTCCGAACCTCAACACTATCGAGATTCAAGACGAAGTTTTTTCGAAGAATAAATCGTGTGGAATGTTCTGGGTGGATAACTGCCCTCAGTTAAGAGAAATCACGATTCGGAACTCTAGTCTCGTTTACTTTTCGAATTTGCTGCTAACACGTGATATTGATTGATTTATGTTAGAATAGACTTGCCTGCGCTGCGCAGTTTGTCGATCGGATCAAACTATGCGAAAAAAGAAATGAACGAACCGTGTTTCCAGCAATGTAAGAATTTGTATCTTACGAAACTGGACAGTCTGGAGTATCTTCTATTGGGCGATCGCAGTTTTAAGAACGTGAAATCGCTTGTACTAGGTGAGAGACAAGTGTTGCTTCTAACATCAAGATTGCCATAATCTGGTGGAGGTGAAGATTGTGAATTCGTTAGAGTCGTGCAAAAGTCTGTATGCGAATTGTATAAATGGATTTGGACTGCCATGTAGCATCAAAACAAGTGGCCTGGACGGGGTATATGGATTCTTGTCGCTCGTTTGAAGTCGTTCGATATACTATACCGAATAAATACGCTGTAATGGAACTCGTTGCCAAGCTTCCAGTCCGAGTGAAAGTGGATGAAATACGTCCGTAAGTACACATAGGATGAGATATCTTGAAGATAATCAATCATCTTAGCCAGAATGAATCTCTGATTCCATACATATATAGACCCATTTCTTGTTTGAGTGTAACAAACAAACAAACAAACATACAATAAGTACAATAGTTTGATTCTAAGCAGAATAAACAGTGATAACAATTATTAGTTATGTTTATACGATTACTGTTTGTTGTATGGAGAGAGCGACCTGGCTAGTTCCTCAGGAACATCTAACATTCATTCTCGTTTGAATAGCCACTTTCGACGTGCGCGCTCTTAATACAACTCCCCTTCAGTTCAGACACAAAGTTGTTCACTTTGGGTACATCTACTATTTCACATCGAACCAATCCTACTTGTAAGACTGACTTGGTTGACATTCAACAAGCTGGAAGTAGAGAATGTAAACGTCTCCAGCGAAGGGAGATCTACTGAAAACACCATTTCACTCTCGTTACCCTTCATTAACAAAGAGCATGCTTCACCAAACTTGCCGCGTAATACTTCACTTCCGAGCACAATCGATTTGAGTTTGGGGAGATCTTTCAATCATCAAAGCGCTATTATCGTTACTTTCAAAACCAGCGCTGGTTCCAGAGTTATGTGAGAAATTGCCCAGTTCAATCGATTCCAAATTTGATAGATCTATCTCTCAGTAGAAAGAAAAAAGCTCAAACCATGAATGTGCAGTGAAGCATTCAGGAAATTGTATGACTCTTTATCTTTGCTTCCAATTTGAATGGTTTTGAGTCGTCGGAGCTTGGAAATATCGATTACACCACCACAGTTCTGGAAACTCCACTCTTGAACGATGAACGATTTTAGATGGGAGCAATTTGCGATTCGAAAGCACTGCGAATCCGTGTTTTGTACATTCTGGAAGCAGTTCTTCCCGATCAGCACAGCTTTCAAGCAAGGCAATTTCTCCAAAATAAAAACTTTGACACTATTGAATGAGAAATCGCCAATGGTGAGTGATTTTAGATTCGGAAACTGAGAAATGTCAAAAGTATCGTAACTTTCTTCGTTGCAGGTCCGATTGGGGAGATCCATTGTTGTTAACGTTTTTTTGAGCGACATAAAATAAGATGCGTTGTGTGAAACGGGGACCAATGACGATAGCAAAGAAACAGCATCTACAATCAATCTTCGATGATTGTCTTACGCATCGTGCTGCACATTACGTTCTGGAAAGTGTTTGGTAGAATGACTCTGGTCAGATTTGGAATATCTAGGCTAGAAGTGAAAGAATACAGAATCTACTGTCCAAGAAGACATTGTAGTAGTTATTAAAATTGAATCCTAACGAAACCAGTGACTTCAAATTTGGCAAATCTTTGGGATCAACACTCCACAATCCATACTCTTCATAATGAGACTGCTGTTCCTCCCTCTTTCTCCTTCGAAGGTGTGGATGCCGAGCCTAATTGTTTCCAATTGGGGGAGATCTACAGTCCATAGCAGCTTCTATGCTCACCTTGGAAAATGACCAACTTTGCTTCGCGAAAAGATTTGGATTCGCATTCGAATGATGTAAGTCTTGGAAGATCTAGATTACAGCACCCCAAGTAAAATTACTGTTGATTTTGAGAGAGTATTTTGTGAAACTGTTCTCTCCGATATAGATGATGCTCAGATTTGGGCAGTTTTCAACGATTAGTTGCGATGATTTTTCAGTGAAACAGTAATTATAGATTTCTAAACTGTACAGAGCAGGCATATTTGTGATAGAACACTTTCCGACTTTGCAATAGTAGTTGTTTGCAATGATAATCCTCTCAAAATTGTAACCTTGAAACTTGATCTCATTCAGACACGTAGGATGAGTCAGTTCTACTTGAGTTAGGGACGTACATAACCTTTTTCCGTCTCCACTATATTCATCAGTCACAAAAATGTTATTGAGAAAACTCCCTGATACAATCACATCCCCATTGATGGCATACTTGATTCCATCTCCATGGTACTTATTATCGAACCAGTACCCTTCGTATTCAATAGCTCCACTCCCATTATAGCTAATTCCGTATCCATATTTCTTCCAGTTAATCAGAATTCCTTCATAAATCTTATTCCCATCGTCATCATATAGCTCTCCATATCCATAGGGCTTCCTATCATAAGTAAGACCTTCGAATCTTGTTCCTGTATCTATGTCAATAACATCGATTATAACACTATAGGAGCTTGTGGATTCCAACGCTCCTTGCGAGAAGACATATTCCTGAAGAACTTGCCCATTGTCAAACAGATATCCAATCCCGTCCATTTTTCCGTGATCATAGTGTACAGTGAATACTTTGGAATCGTCAATAATGGACAAGCAGTTTCCATGTCGTTGAAGTTTTTTGTCCAGGTAACACCACACCTCTTTTTCCGACACTAAATAATCCGCGAGGGTCGAATGCATAGCAAAAAATGAAAAAACTAAACAGAGCTCTAAACAGGTATTGTATATATATAACAACAAACAAACCGTAACTATATAAAAGACCAAACAAAGAATCTAATCATAAATGTCCTCCTCTGATCTTCGATCCGAGTAATCACTAAACGACGCACTCCGATAAGATCCGTCATCTTCATTATCATCTAGCCTGTTTTCCTGATCCATTTGCATATTGGACTCCTCATTATCGGACTCCCTGCCATAGTGTCGACTATACGACCATCCCTGCATAACATCTCTGCCCCTCGCCTACCGTGTACGACGGATCGTCCATCGCAGAGAACGTGTACGAAGGCTGGCTGCTCACCGGCTGGCTCGTGAACTCCGACGAGAACATCGACGTGTCCTGCTTTCCTCTCACCTCGGGCAGCTTCCTCTCACTCCTCTTCTCCATCTCCTACATAGGGCACGGGCAGCTCCTTGCGATACAGCTTGTCCCAGTCGATCGACTGAAAGAACGGGTGCTTCTTCACCGCCTCCGCGTCCGTCGAGTCGCCGCCCAGCCTCTGCTTCGGGTCCTTCTGCAGCAGCTACGCCTCACGCACCGTCGATAGCCCCACCTTCTGCAGAATGTCCGCAGTGTCCGGCGTGAGATTGGGCGGGATGTCCACCGCGGACTTCTTGATTTTGTTGAACAGTCGCTCCTGGTCGCGGCAGTAAAACGGCGGCTATTCGTCACTCTCCCTTCCAATCCGCACCCAGCCGGTCAGCATTTCGTACAGCAGCGCGCCCAGACTCCACCAATCCACCGCCTGTCCGTGGCCCGTGCGGTTCAGAATCTCCGGAGCCAGGTATTCCGGCGTGCCGCAGAAGGACTGCGCGCCGCGGTCCGCCTGCGAAATGCCCTCCTTGCTGAGCCCGAAGTCGGTGAGACGGACGTGGCCCTCCTCGGTGAGCAGCACGTTCTCGGGCTTCAGATCGCTGCGGTGAAAGCGAGGCGGCACGCCTACCGATACACGATGCCCTTCTTGTGGAGATACTCCAGCGCCAGCGTGATCTCCGCGGCGTAGAAGCGAGCTCGGTCCTCTGAGAACTTCTTGGCCCTGCCGAGGTGGTAGAACAGCTCGCCGCCGGGACAATAGTCCAGCACGAAGTAGAGCTTTTCGCGCTACAGGGAAGAGAGGAACGCACGCGTACGGTCTGGAACGCGTATTTGAGACCGACGATGAAGGGGTGGTCCACACGGCCGAGCACGCTACGCTCGGTTTTGGTGTGCTCGACTTGGTTTTTGTTCTTGATGACCGATTTCTTGAGGACTTTCATCGCGTAGATCTCCTTCCCGTCCTTGCGACGCACTTGAAACACCTTGCCGAAACTGCCCTTGCCGATTACTTTCAGAATGTCGAAGCTCTTGAGCGAAACGGAAGAGTTGTTCAGCTCGGGGTACTCGTTTCGGTAGTACGCATCATCGCTACCCGGACTACGAGCATCCAGAGAGTCATTATCGCTCAAGTAGGAGAAATCGATTTCCTGAATTCCACTTGGAGGGTGCTAAGAAATGGTGACACAATTAATTAGGCTACATTCGGTTGCGCCCGCATGAACTCCTGAAAGGCACTTACATGTTGTACATATTCGTTTTCCATTATCTACACTTATACACCTCTTTGACAGGTACGCTATGTAGCCAGTTTTCCAGCAAAATACGGATCGAATTGATCCCCTCTAGGGTCGAAGAGTCGACAAACTGCGTGTTGGGAAAGGGGGGAAGGTTGGGAACATTTGCCTGAACAAGCTACAAATAACCGAAAAAACACTTAGCCCGACCATATCCTTCAGCATCTGAAAGGTAGAGAAGGTACGATAGACCGTCCAGGTAACACCGCAGGCAGAGATTTCAATAGCATATAACTACAACAAGAGGGTGAGGGAAGGATAGGCGCTGATGACACGTACAATATTATCGACATTGCGATGAACAGGGACTATAAAGCACCTGTGAATGAACGTTGTCGCTCTCTCCTGATATGACATTGATGTCGTTAAGAACGAGTGCGATCTATAAGCAAGTTGGAAAGAATAAATAAAAGGTAAGCACGCACCAAATTTGGTTCATCCAATCACCTCGCTCCAAAAGATTCTCTTTATTCCAAAAAACAAGCAAATACTATCATTAATAAGCATCATGCTGTTGAGCATTCCCCTCTCTCGCTCTTACTCGGTTTCCGCCCTCGCGCCGATTCGGTTCTGGATATCCCTCTGCTCCGCCTTTAATCCGGTTATTATACTTTCCTTGCATCTGTCTTTGCGATGGATACCCTTTCTGCGGATAGTTCCGATACCCTCCCTCTTGCATGCCTTGTTGCTTTGGATTTCGACGCGGCTTCGGCTCTCCCATTTCTCCATACGCGCCACCCTCGTGGCCCGTCCGATTTCCTCCGCGCGGCTGGCGATTCACGCCGCCTCGCTCTTTGGGCTGTCGATATCGCTTCTGGAAGGGCATTCGGTTCCCCATTTCCTGCACGCTTTCCTGCGGGTAGTTCATCTCGTACCCGTGAGGCATCGGCCGCATCGCCGCGTCGTGATACGGCGCGTTGTTCATGCCCGAGAGCGGCATGGAGGCGCCGTACTCCATCTTGTCTTTGTATCCTGCGTTCGGATCGTCTTCGCCGGGCAATTCCTCCGCCTCTTCGTGCGCGTCCGCGTCGTCCGAGAACGCAGACGCGGGGTTCTCGCCCGCGGGCAGCCCGCCGCCCTCGCCGCGGTCCTCCACGCCGTGGCCGGGACTGGCGGGGTTGGGGTTGCCGGGCGCGGGCGCGGCGGCGGGGCCCACCATGCCGGGCACGGCTTGGATCGGCACGCCGCCCGGCATGGAGACGCCCGGAACGCTCTGCATCGGAACGCCGGGGACGCCCTGCACGCCCTGGATGGGCACACCGGGCACGCTCTGCATGGGCACGCCGGGGACGCTCTGCATCGGAACGCCAGGCACGCTTTGCATCGGAACGCCAGGCACGCTCTGGATCGGCATGGCCTGAACATTGGAGACGCTCGGACTGCCCGGCGTGTTCGCCACGTTCGAAACGCCCTGCACGCCCTGCACGCCCTGCACGCCCTGCACGCCCTGGACTCCCTGAACTCCCTGCACGCCTTGCACTCCCTGCACGCCTTGTACACCCTGGACGTTGGACATACCGGGGACGTTGGGGACGCCGGGGACGCTCTGCATGGGGAGCTGGGAGAACATGGGCATCGGGAGGACCTGCACGCCGTTGACCATGGGCATATTCTGCATCATGAAGGGACTGACCATGTTGGGGTCATAGACCATGGGATAGCCCATCGGGTACTACGCCTCATCCCCTCGATCCACACTCACGTTGTACCCGCTCATCATCATCGGGAACATCTGATTCCCGTTCAGCATCATCATCTGCCCCTCGGGCGTCAGCACCGGGATCAGCGACTGCATCATCACCTGTCCGTCCGACGTCATCGACACCATCATCGGCTGCGACGGCATCGCCATCTGGTTCGGCTGCGGCGTGCTCACCGAGAAATTCTGAGGCGGCGGCGTGTTGTGCGCCATGTCTGGCGTCGAGATCGCGCGCGGATTCCCGTTTCCTCGCTGTTTCCCTGCGCATCACGCCCAGTCCGCAGCCTCACCGCGTCCATAGCCCGCCTCGCGTTCGGTTCCAGCGTGATGCGCTCGCTCCGCGCCGGGGAACGTGGCGCGGCTCGCCGCTGCGTCGGGATACAACCCTTCCGTAGGCAAGGCCGGCTGTCGGCCATCGCGATTGCTCTTCTCGCGATGGCTCTCGCGCTTGGCCTTCGCGTGCTCTGGATCTGCGCGCTCATCGCTCTCGCCCATGCTTACGATCCATTCTGTCCATGCGATCCATGCGATCCATGCGATCTATTCTGTCCATTCTGTCCATTCTATCCATGCGATCCATTCTATCCATGCGATCCATGCGATCCATGCGGTCCATACGGTCCATTCTGTCCATTCTATCCATGCGATCCATCCGGTCCTTCACCGCTGCGCGACTGCTTCGATCTCGGTCCGACTTCTCCCCTCCATCGTTCCGAGGAGCCGATTTCTCGTGCTCTGCGCGCTCTGTCGCCATCTTCTCGCTCCATTTCGAAGCCTCGACCGTCGCCACATTGGCCGTCGATTCATTCACAGCGGCAGTTTCCGTCGCAGGAGCCGGTCCATTCATCGTCGATCCCAAAGCCCGGTCCGCGCGATTCTTTGCAAGATCGCTATGATGGCAAGGGATTCGCGTCTCTATCCGTCACACCTCGCTTTCACGCGCACTTCCGAACTTCTCTCCGAACTCCTTGCTGAAGTTCATCAGTTCTTTCGTCAGCTGCTCCCGCGTCATCTGCCTCTCACCGAATCCCTTAAGCTGTACCGCGGGGCGCGAGCGAGGAATGGGACGCGGCTGGTGCAGCTGAAACTCCGGGTTGATTTGCGGAAACGGAGCGATGTACCCAATGGTTGGTCGCTTTCGCTTCATCGCAGCGGCTTCTTCCTGGAGTTTGAGGGGATCTTGCCTTCACGAGTGCATCCCACACCTACCGATTTCCAGATCTCTGACCTCCTTCAAGACTCGTTCCTCCTAGAGATCAAGCGAAGGACGGTTGGAAAACAGTGGTTTGGCGCAGAGCTGTGAAAACGTCGCTTCTTTCAGAGGGCCTGCATGTCAATTTGCTCAGTAGAGCCGACTTGGGTTTTGAAAGTCGAGCTTTAGGGTCAGGAATAGGCGCGAAGGGCTGGTGTTGATTATTGACAAACACAGAAATACAATCATTTTCGATAGTTCGGGAGGGACGATAGGATGAGAATACATTGGTTGACCGTGCCTAGGATATGAGAGCAGAGTGTAGGAGGAACTTCATGAACGACAGTTTTTCTGCTTTTATCATCACAATTCTATCTATGGGGATAATCAGAGTAGTGTTCGGTTCAAATTGACTGATATCGACGCGACTCGACTACAAAATTAGAAATAACAGAAGACACAATACCTCAATAGTCGTGAAACGAATAACCAACTGATTTTGCTCCAAAGAAACCGTGAAGAATACACCCTTGTATATAGTTAGATCATCCATCTTAGGGTAACGATTTACAATTCTTTCGATACAGTAACAGTTACGTAAGAACCGATTAAGTGAGTAAAGACATATATTAAATGCTCTCTGTTTATTCGATCGAATCCTTCATGTAAAATAAATAAAAAGTATGCTCTACCAGTTAGATTCTTCTCGCTCTTTTCTAATCTACTTTTTACTCCAAACTCACAGTATACTACTTTTTTGCACCCATCTCTGTCTTCTGATTCATATTCAGTGCCGATTTGTAGATACAAAAGAAAACTCTATACTGGAATGACGGGTTCCCCGCGGTTTATTCTTTATAGATCGCTTTTCATTTGGTAAAATGCGATATTTGGGATAAAGTGATTTCTTCCTATCCCATATCTTGAAAATCTGTGAAAAAGAATGTGATCTGGAAATTAAAGAATAAGCCCTATTTGATTTATGCCTATCCAGAAAATTATAATTTGGGCTTTGACGTCTCGAATGAAGAAGTCATTCAGAAGTCAGTGTGTACGAAAAAGTATTTGCTTCACACTTAATATTGCTACACTCTAGAAATGTCAAAAAACAGGTATTCATAACAGAGCCTGACTATATCTGTCTGGAATTTGCGTGAAACCCCCAAACGATGTAGCCATATTTTTTCAGGGTGGGATACTATCAACATGTCTAAGGTCGATACTGTCCTAGGTACGCAGTGGGGTGACGAGGGTAAAGGAAAACTCGTCGATACCATTGGTTCTAAGTACATTTCCAGTTTCACAGTTAACACGCAGGTATGACATTTGTTGCCGAGCTACTGGAGGTGCAAATGCGGGTCATACTATCATTATTCAGGGGAAGGCAGTGGCCTTCCACTTAGTCCCAATCGGAATTGTTCAACCCCAGGCCAAGTGCATCATTGGAAATGGCTGCGTTGTGAACATTTTTACATTGTTCGAAGAGCTTGATGCCTTGAAACAGGAGAACATCGGTGTGAAGGACAGGTTTGATTCTGTACGATGTTCGATCCTAGGTTATATGTGTCCGATCGTTCTCATATTGTCTTTAACTTCCATCAGATCTGCGATGGTCTGAATGAGCAGAACAGTGGAAGTATGAAGATCGGAACCACGAAACGTGGAATTGGACCAACGTACACTAGCAAGATGGAGCGTGTGGGAGTTCGCATGGGATCGCTTCGCAATTGGGATCGATTCAAGGAGCAGTACATGCGTCTCTATAACATTGTATAGCATTCTCTCTATCGCTCTCTCTTTAGTATCGCAATCGTTACAACCTCAAGGATTACGACTACGAGGATGAGCTGAACAAGATTCACGCTCTTCTTCCGGAGTTGCTTCCTATGATTATCGACTCCGTTGTGTACATCAACGAAGCCTTGGATCAGGGTAAGAAGATCCTTGTGGAAGGAGCGAACGCTCCCATGTTGGACATCGATTTTGGAACCTACCCTTACGTTACCTCCTCCTCTGCCTCGATTGGCGGCATCATCACGGGTCTCGGCGTGTCTCCTCACAAGGTTGGCACGATTTACGGCATCGTGAAGGCCTACACGACGCGTGTGGGCGAGGGCCCGTTCCCCACGGAGCAGCTCAACGAGATGGGCGAGCGTCTCCGAAAGATCGGTCACGAGTACGGAGCCACGACGGGTCGTCCGCGTCGTTGTGGCTGGTTGGATCTGGCGGTGGTGGGCTACACCCACATGCTGGACAGCTTCGATAGCCTGTGCTTGACGAAGCTGGACGTGCTGACGGGTATGGATGTGATCCGTGTGGGCCGCAAGTATCTGCTGGACGGAAAGGAGGTGAAGGGCATTCCGTCGGAGCAGCAGGATCTGGCGAGAGTGGAGGTAGTGTATGACGAGCTGCCGGGATGGTCGGAGGATATTACGGGGTAGGCGAGGAGGCGAGGCGTGAGGTGTAGAGTCCGAAAGTTCGAAGATCTTCCTGTGAACGCGCAGCGTTACGTGGAGTACATCGAGAAGACGCTCGGCGTGCCGATCAACTTCATCGGCGTGGGTCCTTCGCGTGAGGCGGTGATTCTCCACTGGATTGTTTGTTGCAACACACAGCAGAATGTTGTATATTTATATATATATATATAGCGAGAGAGAGAGAGCTTGGCGAGAGAGCTTTACTACAATTATAGGGAACAGGTTACAGGCTGCAGGACAGAAGCTGCTCGCTTGCTTGCGTGGTGGAGCGCTACATTCAAGCAGACCCTCAATCGCACCTCGATCGACTTCGAATTCTCGGGCTGGACGAGAACGAGCGCGTTGTAACGCCGCCGAAAATCGACCTTCTCGCCGATCGCTCGGAGCGCGAAGTAGTACTTGGCATATGCAGACGAACTGATCATGCTGGAACTCAGCCACCACCACCCCTGACCCTACACTTCCCAGTGAATATCCGTAATGAACATGGACTCGAGATCATTGAAACCTTCTCGGTCAAATTGTGGATACACAACGCAGAAGTCGCTGTTTGTAGGCGTATTGTCCGGCCACACCTTCGAGGCCAGAAGTAGAGCGCAGAGTGTGATGGGGCGCCAATTACAGGGGAGAAGTGTGATGTTTGCCATCGAGATAAGCCGATCGACGTAGATCAGCGTTACAATGGAACACTCTGGAGGAATCTAGTCAGCAAGCGAAAGTAACGGTACACGAATGTTCTTGAAGACGCCGGTTAAAAATACAAAGATATCGTTCGTAGATGGAATTAAGTAGCGACGTTCGAGAGGCTGGAAGGTAAGGAGACAAGGGAAACCCGACAATGAAACACATGGAAGGAATGGAGCGCGGGCGATTTCCCAGAGAGAGGCTTAGCAAATGGTTGTGCTTTGTAAACTCGCTTTCTGCGTATTTGAGAGACTGGTCGTCAGGACGATGCTTCTTTCGAATGTTAACAAAAACCTTCCACTCCAGGTAGACATACTTCTTTTCTATATCCGAATCGGTCTTGATTCCCCAGAGTTGAAGTCCCTTGGATACATACTGTGAAAGGACTGCGCTCACTCTACGCTGAGTAGATTGCATCAATAACGAACCTGCGTAGAACGTCGAAGGTGTCTGGCTCACTAATGGTTCCGCTCGGCCGTTGGAAAATATTGCGCTGCGAAATAGGAATGAATTTCAAACTTTTCCCTTCGGATATTGAAGGGGTACACAATTCTTCTAAAAGCTCAGGTTCTAGGCATGATTTTAAATGTACAAACCGAACGCTTGTCTCTGGTCATGTCTCGATTTAAAAAAGAAGAGGAAAAATCATCTAGTAGTCATCAGCGTCCTAAGTCGTTACTGGGCTGCAAAAATGATTTTTTTGTTTGTACGGAATTCCGATTTCCCATAGAAGCAACTCAATCGAGTAACGTACAACAATAAAATGAGTAGTTGTAAAACAAACATTTCACCTTCTACTTTCTCTCTCTTGCCCACGTTCCCTTCTAACTCCTCTTGGCACATACTTGGGCTTCTCTCCCGCCACAATCCATTCACCCTCTTCGAGCTCCTCTTGGCACATACTTGGGCTTCTCCCCCACGGTAATCCATTCGTCCTCTTCCTGCTCCTTCTTCGGACTCACTGGAGGCGGCATGCGATATGTTCTCGTAAGAGGGACGGATGGAGCAGCAGAGCCGGAAGATGTGGAAGAGGCAGCCGTCGTAGTTGCACCCGTGGCCGCCGTCGTAGCCGTCGTAGCCGTTGCAGTTGCACCCGTGGCACCCGTGGCACCCGTTGCAGCGGTAGCGGAGCTGGCCGCCGAGGGAGGTCCGCGGCGTCTGCGCATGGGGATGCTGGAGGCAGCGTTCATCTTCATTTTGGCGAGACGTTCGTTCGAAGCCTGTCTCTTCTCTTCGGCCAGACGCTTCTGCTCCGCCTCCTCCTCCGCGCGCTTCTTCTCTTCCTCCTCGCGGCGACGCGCCTCTTCCTCTGCGCGACGACGCGCCTCTTCCTCGATGCGAAGGCGTTCCTCCTCTTCTGCGCGACGACGCGCCTCCTCCGCACGCCTCTCCTCCTCCGCCTTCTGGAACCGCTCCTCGAGGACGCTCTCCAGTCCCGCGGCTCTGCGCGAAACAATGTTCCGCTCGAAGATGGGCAGGACGGCGGCGAGCTTGGTGGAGACGGGATGGAGCTGCTGCATCCGCTCCTGGCGCTCCTTCTTCTGCTGGTAGTCCTTCTCGAAGAAGCCGGTCCAGTAGGCCTCATCGCGCTGGCGCAGCGTGTCGAAGAACTCCAGCGTGGCCGGCAGCGCCACCTCGCGCAGCGCGCGCGAGAAGAAGAGCTGCTGCTCCGACTCGCGCGCCACCTTCTCTTCGCGCTCCTTCTTTAATCGGCGCTGGACTTCGCTGGCGTAGTTCTGCAGCTGGTCGCGGTTCATCTTGGAGACCATGGAGACGTCCAGCTTGGGGCCGAGCAGCTCGCCCAGCTTCGCGATGATCGCCTGGCGCTCCTTCTCTTCGTTCTGGCGCTGCAGCTTCTCGTTGGCCATGCGCTTGCGCCGGTCTTCTTCCTCCTTCAGACGGGCGCGCTCCTTCTCTTCGCGCTCCGCGTTCACGCGGCGCATTCGCTCGGTCTCGGAGAGGTTGCGGTCCAGCTCCACGCGCTCGCTCTCCTTCTTCTTCTGCTCGATCACGGAGTAGCGCTCGATCATCGCCTGGTTGATGGCCTCCTTCACGTCGCGCGCCGTCTCCGCGCGCTGGTAGAGCTCTTCTTCGCGGTCCTCGATCATGCCGCTGCCGGACTGCACCTTGGCCATCGCCAGGGACAAACTGCGATCAAGCAGCGACCGAACCTCCTACCTGCAGGACAGCTTGAGCAGATAGCTCGAGAGCACTTCGCGCTCCGCGAGATGCGGTCTGAAGTAGACGCAGTGGTTGGCGTAGTCCACGCGGACGTGCAGCTGCTTCGAGGAGCTGGCCTCGGAGATGATGCGCTCGGCTTCGTGGCGGTCGAAGGAGAGGTCGGAGATCAGCTTGTCGTAGTTCTCCAGCTTGATCACGGAGTAGACGCTCTCCAACTGGCGCAGAGAGCGGATCAGAATCATCGCGCGGAGCTGCGGGAGGAACTGGGCGTAGAGGTCGGTCTGCTTCATCCACTCGAGAATGGGGAGGAGACACTCGACCATGTCCAGCGGGTGGAACTCGTTCTCGATCACGTTGTAGAGCGTGACCAGCTCGGAGGGCAGATTGGCGAGAATGTCCTGGGAGCGGATCTCGGAGAAGAGAATGGAGTGCTAGGCTTCAGCGAGGGGAGGGAAAGACGAACGGTGAGGTGCGTGGACGTGTTCAGCAGACGCAGAATGGCCTGCTCCTTCTCGCGCTCGTTCTTGAAGTCCGGGTGGCTTTCGTCGTCCGTCTACAGGTCGCTCCGAGAGGGAGAGAATCCTACCGCCGAGTACACCGGGCTGCAGATCGCCGAGAGCACGATCTGCGCGCACATCGTTTCCTTTTCCTTCTCGAAGTTCGCGTCGTTCTTGCAGAACTCCAGCAACTTCATCATCGCGAACGCGTAGTAGAAGTAGTTCTTAAACTCCCAGAGCAGCGCGGACAGCCGCTGGTAGTACATCTTGAGCAGCTCGCGGGGGTAGGGAGAGATCACCATGATGCCATGAATGTCCGCCAGGATCATCGACGCCTCCGTCCAGAGCCCCAGCTTGCAGGCAGCATCGAACTGCTTGAAGCGAGTCTCCATCTGCAGGACGATCGTCTTTTCGCACCAGGAGACGCGGAACTTGGCCATTGTCTGGTCTTGCACCGGCTCCATTAAGTACTCCAAGTGCTTATGGAGATACCGGCGCAACGTGCGGAACTCGGCTACGCGATTGTACTTGACGCAGAAGTCGAAGGTCCGCTCGCACACAGAGTGGTAGAGCTCTTCCATGGTGCTGTTGACCTTCAGCAAGTCGAGCACACTCCGGAGGACATCCCAGTAGAACTTGATGAGTGGGTAGACCACCTCGCTTTCGACGCGCTGGGGACTCGAGGCATCTGACATGATACTCATGATGATATCATCAGAAGAAAGAACTTCTTCCGTGAAAACACTGTTGAGGGTTTTGAGCGAGTATTCCTTTTGCACCATCTCAATACGCTGGCTGCAGTTATCGAGCAGGCGGGTTACAATCGTGGTCATGGAGGCTGGACGCTATATTCAGAAAGGAGTGACTAACGCTCACCAGCACCTGGCAAATATTTCTGTATTGCACCAAAGCCTCCTTCACAGGATCGGACTCTTGAATATCGATGCAAATATCGAGTAACATATTAATCACCTCTTCCAGGTCGGGAGACCATATTTTGTTTCTGGAGGGCTCAAGAGAATCATAGAGGCACTGAATCGCAGACCGTTTGTCATTAACCTTGAGATACTCTATATAATGATCTCAGACTCGTACAGGAAATACCACTTGCACTCTTTATTGCGTTTGTAGGTTTTGCTGTGGCACCCATATTTGTGGTTAACAAGAGACTGTATAATTGCAATAATCACGGGGATTTTTACAACTAGTAGAAACGTGTATCTAAAGGAATGTGTGGCATCATCGGAAGGTTTGGTCAAAGGAGAGTTCACTGCATAAACGAAAACTGCTTTGAAGCACATTTCGCTGTGTCATGGACAGAGAGCCGCCAAACGATTTCTCCGATCGAGGGAAAACTCAATAGTTTATGAGAGATGGAAATAAGGTACTCACTATTAGGATTAAAAAAGAAAAGAGGTAATTAATAGCTCATGAAAATGCCTCTATTTGTGTTTTCTAATTTCTCTACCATAAAGCACAGAATATAGGGTTTCTATTGTACAAGGATCTAAGCGGAAGAGGACTAGGCATCAAAAAAAATTACGATGTAAATAGGACATTTCTTTTTTGGAAATAGGTTGCATAAGTAGTGTCTGGCAAAACAATGTACATGCAGTGGATGAATGATAGTCAAAATTACAGAATTCCCAATTATCGTGGGGGTTAATACTTAATTGGAGAAACCCCTAGTAATGTTGCATATTCATTTGGAGAAACTTCCATAATTTTATTAAAATGCATTCATCTTTGCTTGTGTCTTGTTTGCTGTTTGGCCTTGGTATTTTTCTTATGTATACGGATTACTTTTAGTGTTATCTGTGCCACAAGGTTTGTATGATTGGACCTGCTCTACTTGGGAGATTGTCGGTACTGTGAACATGCCTATCACTACCATGACTTGTACCAACTATATTCCTGATAGCTCATGGACACCGCGTATTAATCCCCAGCTGCCAATTGGATTGTCCTTCACCTCTACCAACCAGGGTGGCCAGCGTACTATCGTTATTTCTGGAACCCCCTCTGTCCCTCAGCAGAGTAGCACCTACTCTATTGGTATTAAGGGATATGTGAGTCAGTTCCGTATTGGTATTATTGGAACCCCCTCTTCCCTGAGCTATGGTTTTGATTCGATGACCCAGTACGTGGGTGTGCCTATTGAGCCCATTCCAATTCGCTCGGATGTCTATCTGAACGAGTTCACGATCCAGCCTGCTCTTCCTGCTTCTGTGACCATGGACCCTACCACGGGTACGATCACTGGAAAGTTCCCTGATACGTCGATGTCGAATCAGGTGTTCACTGTCACTGGAAAGAACAGCATGGGATCGGTTACTACCACCGTCAAGTTCTTGATTCGCGCTGAGGCTGAAATGACCACCCCTGGTTTCATTGGATGCTACTGGACTGGTACCACTGAGTGCAGAACGCCTGCCTTCGATTACTACTACCAGAACCCTGCTCAGTACTGCCAGATTGAAACGAAGCTGGACTTTGCCGATTCCTACTACGAGGGAGAGGGTAACACTTGGCCTGGTCTGGATGAGCGTTTCCGTGATTACTACACTTCGTACATGTACGGATACTTCAACGTGCTTGTGGACGGAAACTACGACTTCCAGATGGATTCGGATGATGCTTCCTTCCTGTACATTGATTCGCTTGATGCCCCTATTATTAACCGTGACGGCTGCCGTTCTTCTGGAGTTCCCGATTATATGTCGACTCATCTCGCTGTGGGTCGTCACCTGTTCGTGGTGAAGTTCCTGGAGGTGGATGAGGCTGCTATTTTGTACCTTAAGTTCTCTTCTGTGGACGCTGGTATTACCCAGACCTACGTGGACAACACGATGACGACTGTGGGAGGACGTGGACCCACTTTCATCACCTATCCTCTGGTCACGGGTTACGTGAATGCCGAGCTGAAGGTGTACACGCCTGAGATGGCTTCTGGAGGTGCCAACAGCTGGACTGTGGAGCCTGCTCTGCCTACTGGTATGGCCTTGGATCCTTCCCGTGGTCAGATTCGTGGTAAGCCCGTTGCTGAGTACAATGGCAAGCACACTGTGACTGCCACTGGAGTGAACGGAGTCGCTTCGGCTGAGGTCCAGATTGTGATCTCTGCTGCTCCTCTTCCTGGTTTCCGCGCTTCTTACTACAAGGTGTACGAGTCTCTGATGTGCAAGTATTCGAACCTGGCTCCTTCCCAGATGGAGTTGAAGGTCGTCAAGACTGATAGCCAGATCAACTTCCCTGTTGACCAGCCTGGAGTGTGGAGCGGCCTGCCTACCGATTTAACGACTTACTATTTTGCTGAGTGGGAAGGTTATCTGAACTTCACCGAGATCGGTAACTGGAAGATTCGTGTGGGTTGCGATGATTCTTGCCGTGTGTTCAGTATTGAGGACAACTTGCTGATCGATCGTTGGGACTGTGCTGCCTACTCCACTGCAGAGCAGACCATTCCCATTTCTTCCACCGGTTACTACTACTACCGTATCCGTTATCAGCAGCAGAGTGGTACCAAGGGTATGGTTCTGGAATGGCAGGCTCCTTCTGGAGGTTGGGAAGTGATTCCTGCTGCCAACATTTTCCATATTGCGCCTTCCATGCTTTCCTATGATTATGAGCGTGCCCACTACTTCCAGAATGTCCAGATTGTCCAGAACAAGCCTCAGTTGTTCTATGCCACGAGCTGTACCAACTACAACATCCAGCCTGCTCTGCCTAGCGGACTGACCATGAACACTGGCACTGGTATTATCTCGGGTTCTCCCACCGCCGAGCAGGTCTTGACTCAGTACACCATCACTTGCACTGGAAACGGACCTACGAACGTGGGTACTCTGAGGACCACCATTGCGTTCGATGTATTCTACGAGCTGCCTCCCAGCTCTGTGACCATTTCTCGCGGCGGATCTACGCTTCCTGCTGGCTCTTTGATCACCGCGAACCCTGGAGCGAGCTTCGCTCAGATCACGATCTCCGCGGGAGGTGCCGCGGGAGTGACGTACTCGATTTCTCCGGAGCTTCCTTACGGACTGTCCTTCAATGCTGGAACTGGAGTGATCTCTGGTACTCCCTACGAGCCTATGACCGATGTTACCTACACCGTCACCGCCTCGAACCCTGGAGGTGTCGCTACCACCAACTTCCGCCTGACTGTCAATCCTTGCAAGGGTAATGACGGTGGCCCATGGACCAATGATATCTACATCATTCGTATGATGACTGGTAACGGTATGATCAAGATCCTGAACAACGGTAATGTGGCTCAGTGCTCTGGAGGTAACTTCGACTCCGACGGCAACGCTCAGATGGTGAACTGCCAGTACTCGAATGTCTATGCTGGAAACGATAAGATGATTTGCATTAAGCCCGATACCAACAACAAGATCGAGGTTACTTGCCAGACTGAGACTGGATGCTACACTCAGATCTACCGTCCCGATGGAAACCGTTTCCCTCCTCACCACACTTACGTCGAGTCCGAGAGCGCTCCCTATGTGGATCTGCAGGACTTCCCTAATGCTCTGAAGCCTCTCACCCAGCTGACTCTGTCCACGACGGAGATGACCGTGTACGCTGGAATGCCTATGGATACCGTGGATATCACCCCGAACGGATGCTACAAGGAGATCACTGTGGAGCCTTCTCTTGGTTCTGGCTTCAAGGTTGATCTGTTCCTTCCTCGTCTTGATGCTGAGGTGAACGGACTCATCAAGACTGTGTACACTGTTACTGCGAAGGGAGATGCCGGAGAAGCGAGCGCTACCCTGACTGTGCACTTCAAGGAGTGCGGCGAGGACGGTCTGACCAATGGTCTGAAGCTGGTGAAGAGTACTACCAACTATGGAGGTGAAGAGTCTTACGAGCTGTACAACAGTGCTGGCGAGCGTCTTCTGCAGCGTAGCGGATTCTCGAGCTATGCCACTTACACGAACTCTCTGTGTCTTCCTTCTGGAGACTACCAGGTGGTTCTGAGAGATACTTATGGTGATGGTTGGACGAGCGGTGCCTATCTGAAGGTGTACGATATGGAGGATACTCTGCTTCAGGAGTTCACTCTCGCTAGTGGTAGTCAGTACACCGGATACTTCACTCTGACTGCTGGTAGCAGCGCGAGCATGGTCTGGAAGATCTTGGTCAATGAGCGTGCTAAGAGCGGATGGAACAGCGTTGATTATGATGACTCGAAATGGGCGAACACTGTCTTGGGACAGATGGAGTACGGAGAGTGGGACGAGAACACCTTCTATGCTCGTTACAAGTTCACTCTGACCGAGTCGATTCGTTACCCTCTTGTGCAGTTCAGTCTGTGGTACAAGGATGGAGTGATTGTGTATCTGAACGGCAACGAGGTGTACCGTCGCAACATGAAGTCCGGATCCGTGTCTTCCTCCACCACTGCCAACGCCATGTACGACGGATACTACACTCGTATTGGATCGGCTCCTGGTTACTTGCTGCAGGATGGCGACAACGTGATTGCTGTGGAGATCCACAAGCACCAGTCGACCACTGGTCAGATCCAGTTCAGAGGCGCTGTGAATCCTCTTCAGGGCAACTGTATCTCTCGTGTGGATGGTGGTTCGATCACCGAGTCCTCGTTCTTCAACCAGGCTTACGAGTCCGCTGCTCAGGCTTGGGATCGTAATCCTTCTACGACTTGGATTGAGAACGGTATTCCTGCTTGGACGGTCTACTCCTACAACTTCGATCGTATGGAATGGGTCAACAAGATCGCTCTGACCTCCAACAGCAGAACGCAGGATCGTGATCCCACTTCGTGGGCTCTGTACGGTTCGACCGATGGTGTGCTTTGGGAGACTCTGCTTCGTGTGGAGCAGCACGTGATGTTCGAGTCGCGTCTGCAGGCCAAGGAGTGGATGATGATGGACCACATGAACTCGTACAGCCAGTACAAGTTCGAGATGTACGGAACCTTCTCTGGAAACAACAGAGTGGCCATTGCTGATGTGGATATTCAGTCTTGCCAGCTGAACTACTGCGTGAAGGATGGCGCGTTCCCTGGTGTGATGTCCGACGAGACTTCGGTGGCCAACTGCCCTGAGGGCTTCATTGGAGAGATGTACCGCCACTGCAGTCTGCAGGAGCTGAATCCCACTTGGGGTGAGATCGATGACGGAGAGTGCCGTTCGACGAATCCTCCCAAGGGAACCGTGTACATCGATGTGGCCTACAGACTCCAGATGACCCCTGAAGAGATTCAGGATCCCAACACCCTGAACATCATCATTGCTGCCATCGCCACCTCCAGCCAGGTGGATATGTCTCTGTTGGAGCTGTGGAAGGTGAAGAACATTGCCGAGGAGTTCGAAAATGAGCCTGTGATGAGCGCCTTCTGGATCCGTTTCACGCTTCCTCAGGAGGTGGCTGCCAGCACAATGACTCTGGTGCGAGGCAATCTGGCTTCGATTCAGACCAACCTGCAGAGCCTGCTTCCTGACAAGACCTTCACGATCGAGTTCTACATGAACCCTATTCTCCAGGAGAGAAAGACGATTGGCGCAGTTTCCGTTGCTTTGATTGTAATTCTGGTCTTGCTGGTTCTGGTGATCGTCGCGATTGCTTCCTTCTACATCTGGGTCCGTACCAAGTCGAAGAAGACCAAGCAGGGAGCCAAGCAGCTTCGCTCTGGAGCTGGAAAGGTGAATGCTCAGCATCTTTCTGGAAAGGATAACCGCATTTAAATTTGAAGTATATGCATAATGTGTTAATTGCTGGATTGATTGATTGCTTGTTTGTTTGATTCCACAAAGAGAAGACACCAACAATAGATTCTTACTTTCTTCTTCAGCTCTTCCCCACCGATTGTTCTGGATGAGTATCTATAAAGTGTTGAACACGGTCTGCAGACTCTTTCACCATTAAAGCGAACGCTTTTCTTTCAAAGAGATAGCTGCTTACATGGGATCCTTCAAGCCAGAGAATCTACGACTTACCCACACACACACAAAGATCAACTTCGCTCCCCTCCCAGCGCTGATTCAACTCCTTCATTTGGGTTTCCACTAATTCAAAAGGCACGTAGCGATCTCTCTTTGCAGTGGCCTACTCCGTCACGCCTTCTCCTCATCCGAACAAAAATCGCTGCTTCCGGTACCATCGGTGGGTCGAAATTCTCTATATTCGTTATGCGCAAAAAACGGCCCATCAACTCGTGAGCCTTGTCCATTTTGGGCTTCTACTCCTCACTCTCCTTCCCCATGCCCACATCCACATCGAAATAACGGTTCTTCAGCCGGTCCGCCAGGTTGTAGTAGTGCGCATCCTTGTCCAGCCGCTTCCACGGAATCAGATTCGCCATCAGTCCCTACGCTTCGTCTCTCTCCGCCCCTCATCCCTACCGACGTGAACACCGGAACTGCCGACGGAGGGCCCACAAGCGACGCGGTCCCCAGTGGAAACGCCGTCAGCGCGGCCACCATCGCAGCGTGGAGCCCGCCCATGCTGATTCCGCCGACGACGAGCGGGCCCAAGCCCTGCTCGCGGAGATAGTAAAGCAGAGAGCGCGACTGGGGTTGAGACGAACTACCATTGCTCACCTCCTCGATCGTTGCGGCACCCAACAGAGGGAGGTCCGAGACGTGGCGGAGTTTGCAGCCGTTCTGCTTTTTCGGCTTGCGACGGCCGTAAAACGGACCTTCGAGAATCTACCCATCAGGCTCCAGGCAAAACAAAAAAGACGATCGAGCCGATACCTAGACGTGCTAGAGGAACAGACACACCGTCATATCGCCTTCCGAAGCCCTTTTCGCCGGTTCCTGGGAGGATAAGCACCATTGGCTTGTGTGGCGGGTCCAGACGACCCCATGACAACGGCTTTATGATACGGATATAGACCTGCTCGCTTTCTACCGGAAGGTATTCGCGGTAACGCGAAACTGTTTTGAATTGACCGTCTTGAATAATCACCTCGTCTTCTTCATTGATTTCGGGAGCAGTCAAATTAATCTATCCTTTAATGCTCAGCACCAGCGCAAAACATTGATAGGGGGTGGATGCACCTTGTTTGCCGTCTCCTCCTTTAGGAGAAGAAGGCCCTCGTCAAGGCGATCAACGAGATCGATATCTCCCCTACAGAGTCAGTTCCGATCCGAAGAAAGCACCATCCGGCAGTGAAAAAGCCTGACCATGGATTTCGAAGTTTGCACAGTACCAGGTCAATGTACTTGTAGTGCTCATTCTTAGTAAGCTTTCCCAAACTAGCTCGTTAATTACCCATCAAGTTGTTACAATTTCACAGCAGGATTCAATTTTTCAATGAAAGAGTACATTATCAAGGATCTGGATCCTTTCCTTTCAGAAAGAAAACAGACAATGACCTGCTCCAGTCCTGAAAACCGAAATGGCGTGTGGAACAAACAGTGCAAATACTAAGAAAATGAAGAGCAAGCCATACTACCAAACCAGTAGACAGAGCACAAATGAAGATAGTAATGATCCATCCCGCAAACACCTCGTACACCAGCTTCCAGTTCACACCATTCTTCCCTTCCGCCAGTCCCACGCCGACCGTGGATCCAACCTTGCAGTGAGTGGTCGAAAGCGGTAGTCCCAACGCAGATCCGACCAAAATCACCAGCGCAGCCCCAATTTCGATCGTAAAACCGCGGGACGGCGTGACCTTCACCATGTTCATTCCCATGGACGCCATGACCTTGTATCCCAGACACACCAGTCCGATCACGATGCCGAAGCCGCCAACGACGAGCGTCAAAGCGGGGACATTCGCATCCGCCATGACGTTTCCGGTCTCGTAGATGGCGATACAGGCAGCGAAAGGACCGATCGAATTGGCCACGTCGTTGGCGCCGTGGGCGAACGAGTTGAAGATTGCGGTGAGAATCTGCAGGTAGGTGAAGAGCTTCTCGGTGGAGGGATTGAACTCCTCGGCGTTCCGATGAATCTCCGCCACGGCGTCGCTGATCTGAACCTTGTCAGAAATCGACTCGACTTCTTTCTTGGCTTCGCTCTCTTTCTCTGCCTCTCCGTTTTCGTTGGATACCGGGAGCAGATTCGTTTCTATTTCAGAGTGAACGTGGAAACGGATGTAAGGGAGAAGGATCAGCTGAACCACCAGACTGCAGATGGCACCAATGCCAAGGCAGATGAGGATGAGGACCCAGAGGCTCAAGTCAAGATGAAGAGACTCGCTGGTAAAGAGAACAAGGAACACATTGAGAGCGATTGTGAATCCCACGATCGGAGAATAGGCTGCAAACGCACGATTTACCGTGTTTTTAGCACGGAGAATGAACTTGCGAATAACTAAAAAGATCGAAGTAGAGAGCAAGGCAGAAACGATCGGAGCGATGATCCAGGACAATCCTACGTTGCCAACAGCTCGCCAGTTCACTGCTTTGAATCCCTTTGACACCACGGCCATGCCGATAATTCCACCGATGCAGGAGTGGGTAGTAGACACCGGCAGACCATACAAGGTGGCCACAATCAGCCAGATGGCGACTCCTAACAAGACACACATCATACCAAACATCAAAATTTGCTAAGCGTCACACAACGCCCGAATTTCATACGGGTTCATCTTTAAAGTAGGAAGGTTCTGTGATTCCCTTCATAATTGTTGAGGCTACATTACCGCCTAATAGAAAAGCTCCAGAAAATTCCATCACAGCTGCGATCAAAATCGCTTGCTTGATTGTGAGAGCCTTAGAACCGACAGACGTTGCAAATGCATTAGCTACATCATTTGCTCCTACGGATTACCCATTGCCTCAACAAAAATACCTATTCCAAAGGCTGAAAAAAAAGCTACTACGCTGCAACAAATAGGGATCCACAGATATTCCTCCAATACTGCCATATCAGAACTACTTTAAGAGACTTTATTTTCTAATAAACAAAAATATGGTCCTAATTATTAGCTGTTAAAATCTTTGGATAACCGCGACAAAAAATAGGCATATCTGTACAGCTCTTTATTTAGCCGTATGCAGAGAAAGGATGAAGCGTGCTTCGCATATCATTTTGACTGATTGGAAATAAAAAGAGGTCAGTTTAGTCGTTATGAACAGTATTGTGGTGAATGAAATATGCGCTATGGATATTAAAAACCATGGAAAAGCAAAAGAAAACACAATTGACGTGTATGTGTTGAAACCTGTATTTTGTATAGAAGCACCGTAGAAATTAGTATTACAGATCAACTGAACGTTATCGGATATAAAGGTATTTGATGTAGTTTTGACCTGAAAAACAGATGAGTCGGAGCTAGATGTGTAAAACTCACGAATCGAATCAGCAATAGAAGTGGGTGAAGATAGCACAAGTAATTGAAGGGGAAATAGCTCAGTGACGAGTGTTGAGTGTTTGTTCAAACAATTTGGTGGAAATTGGGTGTTATAGTCTATTCTCACCCAGTGTTGGTTATTGAAACATGATCACTCATAATTTGTTTCTAGAGTTTGCTGAACTGAAATGGATGCTGAGTTGGCCGCTTTCTTAAAGGATAATCCCGACTTTGAGCTGAATGACCGTGGTCGTATTCACTGCAAGTTGACGAATCATGATATTGTTGCTGATATGTCTGAGGTACAAAAGTACATCAAAACAAAGAAGTATTTACATGCAAAGAACTGGTATTTGTGATGTTGCTTGTTTTTGTCCTAGGTATAATTATGACTATTCCAAATATGAGCCTTACATTATTCCCCATCGAAGCGATCCAAAGAAGTTATTCTGCATTGTTACCATGACTTCGTTGAACAAAGTGAGCTTTTGGGTGATTTTCGACCTAGATTCCGGAGGTCGTGGAGCGTGTGGTGAATTCTAAGAAGTTTAAGCGATTGTGCGAGGAGTACAATCAACGACAGGAAGAAAAGAAGCGCCGTGAAGCTGTATAAGATTGATTTTTATTGTTGACCACGTAGAGGAAGAAGGAGAAAATGGAAGCAAGAAAGAAGGCAATAGAGGATGGAGAAGAGGATTTGGCTATTGTATTGTTATTCTTGTTTTGGCTATTGTTTTAGGATGAAATGCTTGGAGTAAGTAGTGAAGAAGAAGAAGAAGAAGAAGAATATGAAGAGAGTGAGGATGAAGACAATGGAAGAGGATATGTGTATGTTGAAGGCGATTCTGAAGAAGAAGAAGAAGAAGAAGAAGAAGAGGAAGAGGAAGAAGAGGAAGAGGAAGAAGAGGAAGAAGAGGAAGAAGAAGAAGAAGAAGAAGAAGAAGAAGAAGAACAACAACAACAACAACAACCAAAGAAAAAGAATCCAAAAGCACCAATGAAGCAAGGAAAAGGAAACAAACCCCAGAACAGTCGCTCGAAACCTGGAAAGAGATTCCAAAAGTCTGCATCCCCTGCTGCAAAGAAGGTAGGTTTCCATCTTGACAGTGCACACATATCTGCCTTGTGAATGATTAGCCATTCTTCACAAGCTATTGTGTAGTGCCATATTGCTGATTCTTTGATACTGAAAATGGAAAAAGATCCATTTTCCCACTTTTGAATCATATACTTACGTTTTTTAGAGTCGTGTTACCAAGGCATAACATTCGATTGTTTGTTACATTCATTTTGGAATTCCATTATTTGACATGAATTTTAGCATTATTCATATTTTTGGCTATGGAAAAGTATCAAGAAGTTTCTCCCTTTTTCAAGTGAATATTAACCTTCTTTCCACCTATGTTGTAGAGTAGAAACCCAGACCTTTTCTACCAATCAAGCTACGGAAGTCATAGATGCGGGATCCATATTCCAGTTGCCAGTTGCCGTTATAAAACCTCAATCCATTATATCGTGGACTTTCACGCTTCTTGATTATGACTGCTATTTTGGGATTTCTTCGATGAGGAATCAAGAAGACGAGGAGTATCCTGTTCGCAAACAACTTATTAGCGCAAATACGGAGTGTAGTGGCTCTTACGTTGTATCGAAGCCAGGAACTTACTATTTGGTCTGGGATAATAGCTATTCTTGGTTTCGCCAACGAACACTATTCTATTCCTTCGTTGTAAAGAATCCTCCCCCTTCTGCTCAAGAACTACATAAAGGATCTGTGTAGCGTTCCTTAAAGCTCTCTACTCCCTAGAATGTTCTATAACGATATTCGTTTGACAGAAAGCCATATTGCAGACATAGAAAACGATTTAGACAGGAACGAACGAAAGAAACTAGAGTGCGTTCGTCTCTACAACGATAAATCATATGCACGCAATCTAACAATGGTTTGTTTTTGAACTTTCGCTGAGATCCAGCATGATATCGAAGTGATTGAGACGAAACTAAAGAAATGCGAGGAGAACAAGAGAGATATCGAAACGAGGATAGCCAAACTCCGCTCCTACTCGCATGGTCCTCCTTCTCTGTTCAAGTTTACTCTCAGATTCCTCGTCTCTCATCTCGATTCTCCTCGAAAGCGAACGAATTCTATCGATGCTTTCCATCCCCGACCTTCTCTCTTTGTACTTTTTCGGAGTCTTTGTGCTAGCTAGTGCTTGTGTCAACTCCCATTGCCATCGACTCATCCGCCAGGAATCTGTTTGGGAAAGTCTACTGCAGGATTTCCCTTCGGAGAGTATTGAGCAGATTAAGAATCCCTGGATCCGCCATCAATGGACTCGACTGCACTCAAACACGTCGAAAGAAACGGATCGTTCTGTTTGGAGGAGGTGGTTTAGCACACAGAGTCGTTCGCTGTCATTCGGAACAAATACGCGCCGCTTCCCCCCACTTTTGAAGAACTGTTGGAGAAAGGAAAGCAACTGAAGCTCTCCTCTTTGTATCTGTATTACCGTGTGGGGAATCATCAAGGCTGGTACTGCGACAACGACAATTTCTGTTACTATCTCTACGTTGCGAATCACGAGACAGAAGAATTCCGCGTGATTTTCGCAGGAATCAAGCTATCTCAGCTGAACTATATCGTTCGACAGGTAGAAGAAATGGGGTGTTCGAGTGAAACGTAGGCGTCTCGATTGGGTATTATGCTTCCTTTGCCCGGAACGGTGCGTGGAAAGGACGGCTATTATATCGACGGAACGCGCCGAGTGGGGAAGTGGGGCATCCAGGATGGCAAATGGACGAAGCTTCCCTTCTAGTTGAAAATCGAATCGTGTTGTTTGTTGCAATCCCAAGTTGAGAAAACAAACTCAAAAAACATCGATATCCTTTCCAACAGCGTCAGCGATGTTGCGATATCCGTCCTTCTTCAATAACTCCACCAATTCCTTCTTGATCTTCGGCACCAGTCCCATGCCGTTGTACACGAGCGAGGAATACACTTCCACCACGCTCGCTCCGGCCTTGATCTTCTCATACGCGTCCGCTCCGCTTGCGATGCCGCCAACGCCAATGATCGGGACTTGGCCCTTCGTCAATCGGTACATTTCTCGAATGGTCTCCGTGCTCTTCTCGCGCAAGGGCTCGCCGCTAAGTCCTCCTTTCTGCGTTTTGAACTCGCTCTTGAGAGAGGCGGGACGCGAAACCGTGGTGTTGCTGATCACCATACCGTCCACTTTGTACTCCAACACCAACCGCGCGATCTGCTGTGTCTGTCAAGGACCACTCGCGCTCAACTGCTTCAGATAGAAAGGATATCTCGCTCGTCCGGAAGCAGATCGGGCGACAACTTCACGAGAAGAGGAGGATGCTGCGGGTGCTTCTCCAGTTCCTCTTTGATCTAGGCTCAACTCTCCGCCGCTTCCCTACACGACCCAGCATCTCGCGGAGACGGTCCTCCTGCTGCAAGGCAGTCGTTCCTACCTGGTTTGGGCAGGAGATATTCAGAACCATGAAATCGCAGTAAGGACCGCAGTTTTGAATGCCAAGAATGTAGTCGTTCACAGGATCCGCCGTTCCCTTGTTGTCTGCAAGGTTCACGCCTATGAGTCCTCGGCGTTCACGCTGCTGCTGCATGAAAGCTTTCTGCAGACGGGGAACGATGACCTCATGTCCCTCACTGTTCAGACCGAACCGGTTAATGATCGCTCTGTCCTCCGTCAGGCGGAACATACGCGGAGACGGGTTTCCAGGTTGCGCTTTGGGAGTAATGCCCCCCACTTCCAGAAAACTCAAACCACTCTTGAAGATCTCGTTAATGGCCTCGGCTTGCTTATCGAAACCGGCAGCAAGTCCCACACAATGAGAAAAGTTCAAACCCCACAAGGAGGTTCGTAATTCGGGATAAGTCTCTCGATCAATAGGTGCTATTCTGTCAGAAACAATTATGGTTCATACCTAAATGATATTTTTCCAGCAAAACACCAGCACGATGAGCTGTTTCTGGATCTAAAAGTCTCACCATGGGCATCGCTTTGTCAGCTGCCCACCAGTACAATTTTGTGGATCGAATTGTATCCCAACTATACCACAGGGCACATCCTCCTACTCCTGCAGCAACAACGAATTTAAACTATTGCTCACCTATCGAATATGCAAAATACAAGACTAGTGGACTTCTTCGCAGAAGTGCCAGAAGAGAAGCTTCTAGTCAATCTTCTATGAATCAAGCCTGTGTGCAGTCCACAAACGGAGCAACTCTAGAAAACCGACAAAACATGATCAAAATGAAAAATTCTATGAACTGAATGGGCTGAATCCGCGACAAGCAAATACGTGCCAGATACACAAAAACTCATTCGAAACAGCAAGGATGTCCCTAAACCGATACTCTTCCGTAAATATTGTTTGTAACCCCTAATCAAACCATGTCGAGTCATTCTAAAGATTGTAAATACACTCTTGAGAAAAATGAGTTAGTGGTGGGGATGCAAACTTTCAATAATATTATGCAGGTTTATTCGATTTCCAGGGGTTCGAATTGCTTCTTCTCCAGAAAGATTGCTATTTCTAATCTGTATTTGCAAATGGTAAGTGCCACGAGCTTTGTATCAACGGGAAATGAGATTTTGTGAAAATAATCGTAATTAAGAACTAACGGTCTGTGTAGCCCAAGGAAATTAAGGACGTTCGTGAATTCATCACTGCGGCAAGAAGAAAGGATGCTTCTAGTATTAATCGTTGCTTTGGGTAATTTGTGTAGTGATCAAGATTAAGAAGAATAAATCCGGCGAGACCAAGTTCAAGGTGCGATGCAGCAAGGTATTTATTGGTTACACTCATTAATAAGTAGTACTTGTACACTCTCGTCGTTAAGGATGCGAATAAGGCTGAGAAACTGGCCAAGACTCTTCCTCCTGGTAGGTTTTTGTTTGGACTGTGTAAAACGTAGGTATTATGCTTAAGAAGATCGATAACTAATTTGGAAATGCTTGCCGCTTGGAAATACGATCTTAGAAAGTGTTGTTTGTTTGACACCAAAGAGTCGACTTTCTTGAACTCGGTCTTACTGAATAGACAGATCTTGTTCGTTCCTTTGTAAAAAATATTATTATTATGTCTTTTTTTTTATTTACAAACAGCAAATCATCCAAAATATTATTTTTCTTTTAATTATTCAAATACATAATTATATTCTTGTGATGAGGTCACAGTTATATACATCTCGCAGCGCACCGATCTTAACAAAAGGAGAGTTCGTCAAGCTTGTGAATAGGCAGAAACCTACATCTCACCTCTCCCCTCCACCTCTACTCGCAATATGGAACGTGGGGAAGTACAGCATCAGCTGCCAGGTGGTGTCCCACTCGTTCGAGTTATCCACAATCAGCAACGGTCGCTCCTTCGGAAACACCGCGTTCAAATTCGCCTGTTGCAAATGCTCCACGAGCAGCATACAGCAGATCGGATTGGGCGGCACCTCTTCGACACAGGTGCATATCTGACAGCTCTTTTGGAGGTCGGGACTGTCATTGATCACTTGCTTGACCATCTCAAACACTTCTTGCGTGGAACAGATCACCAATCCCTTCATGCTGATGCAGCTAGCGAGGTTGCTGCTCCAAGAACTGTTCCAGCCATTCAGACTTCCGAACGCGAAGATGAATCGTTGCTAGCTCTGATCGAGGTTGATCAGACTTACCGGTGTGATGCTCTGCATGCAGAGAGAGCAAGATTCCGTCACGATGTCTAGAGAATTGTTCGAAATGATCGGGAAGTGGAAAGGAAGGGGCATGACGCCCGAAGTGATGGAGGACTGGGAATTCTCAGGGTTTAAAACGCTTCGGTAGTACTGAGCCGACTCGACGGAGGAGTTCTGAGTTTGGCTCTTGTTTGAGGGAGTGTTGGTGTATGAGTTCTTCACCAGGGTGTTCCAGTCATTACCCTCTTCTTCGTGCAGTTTTCGGAGAAGAGCTAGATCCTTCTCCATGTTGGCTTTATAAATGACCTTCTCCTTGAGCAGATTGTCGATTCCGATTTCGCGCGCGATGTAACAAACAGCCTATATATATCTAACTGTGAGCGAAAATACTTGCTCAGCATCCTTTTTCCCTTTAAAAACAGGAGATATGGATATTTGACTTTCACTACCAAGAATAGTAAGAGTACATCCCCATCGCAAAATATGAGAATTGCCTGTTGACGTTCTACCTGGTTAATCCAACGAATTGCATACGTTGCAAAATCGGGATCAACATTCCTTGCTTTCAACTCATTGTACAACAGAGACTTTGATTTTGACATTTCTTTTGGAAGAGGAAGTCCTACAATCACAAACCATCGTTAAAGTCAACGGGGAGGTTCTCCATTAATGCTGTTTTCCTTCGAAAGCTGATATTCCTCAGATTGCGATTCTGTGGCCTCTTGACTGGGGATGTCACCTATTGGGGATCCAAAGTTACTCTCCGTCGCTGCAGCACTCATCAGTGAAATAGCATTTCGTAATTCTTGCATTTATGTCAAAAATAAAAGTATGTTGAATGCCAAACTCCATCTTTTTTTTAACTAAGCAGGTTTTACTTATCAGTGTAACAAGGCAAATATTGACATGACTTTCTTGCTAATTTATTTGGCAATCTGTACTGTGATTATGGCTCAGGAAGTCCCTTTCATGGGACCACGCTGGATGCTTTCCGACCCGATACTGAATCTTTATGAGAGAGATAAGCAGTGTACGTGAACGAAGAATGATCGATTGTAGATATGTTACGGCAGGGCTCTGACAAAGTGCACAAGATGCAAGTTCGTCAATTCTTTGGTGATGATGACCCTTTTAGTGAAGTGTTTCGTATCATGAATACGTAACTGATCATGGTTTGTCTTACCCTCAGGATAGCAGAGGAAAGCGAGCGTATGATTAACCAGTCTTTGTTGCGGATTAACGATCTTTCCAATTTTCAGAAACGTATGAATATGACTTGTGAACCTTCTATGGTGGAAGGGAAGTGGTACCAAATGAGGTTTGGTTGGCTACGGATTATAAAGTAGAGGAATCCGCTGTGTTAGCAATTCCGCGATTCTCTCGCCTCTACAAGAGCTGATCACTGCTGCTCCAGAAGCCGAAGTGGAATCCCTTCAAGAAACAACGCCGGGGAACACTCTTCAAGTACCCTTAACACATTCTGTTTCCGACTCCGTTCCGGAAGGTGTTTTGATGAGTGTCGGAACGAAGTCTCATTTCACGTCGATTCCGCTCGGAACTATTGTGCTTTGTGTTTTGGTGCTTTGCTTGTTTGGTGCGATTATTGTGTATGTTCTCCAAGCAGTAAAGCAGAGACGCCTGGATGGGCGTTCGATTACTTCTCATGCTGTGTCTGTTCCGAATTATGGAACAATTTGTGGTGTTTGTTATGACACAAGATTCTTTTTTGATTGGGTGAACCCAAATCGGGAAGGTTGATTGGGTGAACCCGAATTTGGGGAGCTGGTTGGGTGAACCAAATTCCTATTTTTCTGAGCAGATGACTCACCCATAATATCTTATGATGACCTCGACACACAAATTATCTCGAGCAATTGTTTATGGAATCGTAGTTGTTGCTTTATGCATGTCCTCAGGTGAGTCTTATGGTGTTTTTTTGAGTTCCATAGGCTTTTTCTTACCTGGGAAAAAGAACTCCACTGAATTAGCGGACAGCCTTCAAAATCCCTTTTTGCTATTAGAGGAGAACGACACTTGTGCCTATGAGATTATGGTGCGTTTTCCAAGATTTTTTGATTTTTAGGAGCGCTACGAGTGCGAGGAGGTTGGCTGCACCGATCAGGCCAATTATATCAATTATCTGTATGTGTTTTCTTGATCTTTGATGTGAGATATCTTCAAAACTGCAGCCCGGAAAAGGCACGCGTATGGCTTTCTATCCTCTGGGTGATTATTTTGGTGTTATTGCTATCTCTTCTGGCATCGACTGCCGATAACTACTTTTGTCTTATCATGGACTCCATTGTCGAGAAGCTGCATATTCCTCCAAGCATTGCGGGAGTGACGTTCCTCGCTTTTGGCAATGGTTCTCCTGATGTGTTTTCCTTGATTATCGCTGTGTTTTCGGGTAACACAGAGATTGGTGTGGGTGCAAATGTTGGCGCTGGTATGTTTGTCACCTCGATTGTCGCCGGTTGTGTGGCAGTCTTCTCTGACTGTGTCGTCAACCGTCGTGCATATATTCGTGATAGTTTGTTCTACTTGGTATGCATTATTTACCTCATCTGCGTCTTTTTCGACTCGAGAATCAAGCTTTGGGAAGCTTTGGGCTTCATTGTACTCTACATTGTGTATATCGTGTTTGTGTTCGTGAGTCCGAAAGCCAAGTCGCAGGCCAAGGGTGAAGAGGAAGCTGAAAAGGAAGCTGAAAAGGAAAAAAAGAATATGGATGCTTCTGTGTGTCGTTTCTGGGGACAATGAGACGTAGATGAAGCTGCTTGATGAGCCTCTTCTTGTGAAGTCGCAAGACTTGTTCTCGCCTTCTCCTTCCTACGATGGAAAGGAAGGAACGGGAATGCAGATCAGTGCGATCGTCGAGGCAAAGCGGAAGGGAGAGCCTACTGATCTGATGATTAAGGTTTTCGATGTGTTGGGTTTCTGATGAGTAGGAGCTGATCCAGAAGCAAAGTCCGCATGTGGAGCTGGAGTCGATTCTTTTGAAGGCCGAGGAAGAGATCAAGGACAACTTCAATCACAAATCGGTCAAGGAGCTGTGGGGCCATGCTTGGAAAGAGTTCTGCTCGCTGAGCGTTTTCGGAAAGATTATTTATGTTTTCGAATATCCGTTCACGATTCTGCGAGACGTCACGTGTCCCGTAGTGGACGATGACCGATGGAACAAGTACTGGATTCTGATGACTTCCTTCGGCGCTCCCTTCGCGCTCTGCTACTTCACTTCCAGTAGGCGTTTTGTGTTCGCTCGATCGCAGTGGATCTCGGCGCTCCCATCTTCGCCTCCTTCCCTCTGTGGGCATTCGTTCTGATTGTCTCCATCATTCTGCTGCTCGGCAATATCTTCTTCACGCGGTTCGAGGAGCCGCCCAAGGGCTGGTATCTCGCCATTCTGATCCTGGTGGGCTTCGTGCTGTCCGTTCTCTGGATCTCTACCATCGCCAACGAGCTGGTCAGTCTGCTCAACGCGCTGGGTCTGATGCTGAACATCTCTCCGGTGATTCTGGGTTTGACGGTGCTCGCCTGGGGCAACTCGCTCGGCGACTTGGTGGCGGACACCTCGTTGGCTCGTCAGGGATATCCGCAGATGGCGATTGGTGGCGTGTTTGCCTGTGGGTGAAGCGGAGAGTGCGTTGATGTCTAGCTCCCATGTTTAATCTGCTTGTCGGAATGGGCGTTTCGCTCACTGTTTGCTGCATCCGAACGTAGGGGTGAGGGAGAAGAAGGATGATGGGTAGGGGAACGGCGACTCTGGGTGAGGACACCGCCAACCTGAACTTGACCTTTATTTTCCTTTTACTATCGATTATTAGCTCGATCATTTTGGTGCCTTTGAATAAGTTCCGGTTCACGAAAGGACATGGATACTACTTATTCATCCTTTACACTGTCTTTTTAATTATTGAAATCTTGCTTGCTTTGAATGTTATTAGTCTTCCGTTTATTACTCCCAAGTAAGCCCGTTTGTTAATACATGCTTCTTCATTTATTTATTATGTATTTGCTGTTTGTTTCAAGCGATAATGACATTCAGCTGTGAAAGTTCGTTGAACAGACACAGTGTTTTATGGGAGAGAGAAAGAGACTGGTGCATCACATACAGTTTTCCAAAATTCAAAAATCTTGTTAACAAAGTGAGAAGCATACATGATTCGAAGGGATCCTGGATATGGATATGCTCGAATCGTTCTGGCAAATCAACTTCATGATCCATCGCTTGACAATCAACGTATCCGTATTGTTGGATCGTACTGTCGCTTTCTATTATCTCTCCTGTAGTGTTCATGACCTGAAAGGTTCAATTCTCATTTTCTCTCAAGATGAAATAGTTTACAATGTACATATTATGGGGGAATTCAATCTGGACTATTTAAACTATCATTATATTGAGGTGTTAGGTGAGCTTCATAACAAGGATGAAAATGTTCATTTTCAGGGAGTAGCACTTTTTTGTAGAATATATGGATGGATGGCTTCATCTTTCGAGGTCTTCGCAATTTCAATTTTCAGCTTTATCGTATGGCTGCTTCTAGATTGCAAAAGTTTTTAGTATCAGAGGGTAACACACAATCTACTTGAGAGCTGTTTGTTTTCCAAAAATTCGGTCGATTTGTTGTTCTTCTCTTTTCAATCAGATTCATTTCAGATGTATCTTTCCAAGTAATGAGTCTTGTAAATTGTGTGTGCGAGCAATATCTAACCATGGTATAGAACTGAGTATGATCACGGTGTAAATACCTATTCTCCTGAAGGACGTCTTTTTCAGGTGGAATATGCTATCGAATCGATTAAGGTTCTTGGTTGGTGAACGGCTGTAACCGAATAGTTAGGTTCTACAGCAATCGGCATTAATACTAAAGAAGGAATCGTTCTTGCAGTTGAAAAGAGATTGACGAGCAAGTTGATTGTGCCTTCCAGGTAAGACGTAACGCTGGGTTTGCTGTTGTAGTGTAATAAAGATCATGGAGATTGATCATCATATCGGGGCTGCCATGAGCGGTCTTGTGGCGGATGGAATCACGCTGATTGACAATGCTAGAGTAAATGCTGCTAACCACTATTTTAACTACGGTGAGCCTATAAGTGTAGTCTGTTTGTTTCTATTGTTATGCACAGACGGAGAGTATCGCCCAGTCACTTTCGGAAATCATGTTGTCGTTTGGAGAAGATGACAATACAAAGATGGTTTTCTTTCTGGACCTTGTTTACCGTAGTCACGACCATTCGGCGTAGCTCTTCTGATCGGCGGTTACACGAAGAAATACGGCTTCCAATTGTTTGCAGATATGATAGAACTCGATGGATAGATTCCTTACCGACTTATCTGGGACCTACACGGAGTACAAGGCTGTTAGTATCGGTGCGGGTTGCGAGGGTGCTACTGATATGCTAAAAGACCTGTATAAGCCTGTAGCGATGGTAACGGCACTCTTATGTAGAATCTCAGTTTGCAAGAAGGAATCAAAATCGCACTGTCCACGCTCAAACAGGTTATGAAGGATGCGATTACGAGCAATAATATCGATGTTGCGACGATCACAGAGTCAGGATACAAGCTGTACAATGACCAGGAGGTAGAGCAGTGTCTGAACTTGTTGAATTGCTGTGTTTGTTACAAACAGTGGATTGTTTGAGATGTTGGATGAGGAGAGCGGTTGTCCGTTTTCTCTCTTCGGTTTCGCGTTTCAATCGTTCTTCCCGCAGTCGTTGCATTTCCTTTTCTCTCTTGAGAGAAAGAGCATCATCTATCGATGTGATGATTGCGTTACTATTCTTTTCATGACTGTGGTTGTGGTTATGGTTATGGTTATGACTATGACGGCTATGGCTATGGCTATGGCTATGGCTGTGGCTATGACTTTGACTTTGACTTTGACTTTGACTTTGACTGTGGCTATGATGGTGATGACGATGTTCATGGCGATGACGGTGCGGTTGTGTATAGACAGAGGAAGAAATGGATGTAGTAACTGTGACTTTCGGAGCTTGAATATCGGATGGTTGTTGAAGCACTCGCGACTTGAGTACATCCCGTTCTTCTTCAGGGAGAGAAACAGAAGGCTGAGCAGATTCTTGCATTTGCTTTTGTTTTCCAGCTTGGGTCTGTATATCCTGAAGCATAAACCGCAATAAATAATCCTACTCGAAGCGGATCATACATTTCTTTGAGCTTGGCTTCATTTTCCTCCTGCTTTTTCGCCCCAACCTCATCCAGGAGCTTCCCATTTCGCGCACGCTTCAAGGACAGATCTTCAGCATACCACGGTTTCTGAGGAAGTTCAGTTGGCTTCAACTTCCAGATAGGCACTTTTAAGGCTTGAATATCTTTCAGCTTTTTCTGCAAGTCCTCGTCCTACACCTGATGTAAATTACATTTTTATACTTCATATTCCTTGTTTCCCGAAAAACTGACATCAGCTCCCGCCTGCATTATTGGGTCCCTATTACCCGCCGTAATCGGAATATCCATCGGATCTAGTATGTTAAAAGATATGCAACACGAACTATCAATAGGATGTGTTCTTTCTAGCTTTATTCCTCTTTGAGCTTTCATTTGTTGGATTCTACTTTCCATATCTGCCATCCGTTGCTGTTTTTCTTCTGCCTCCACTTTCTCCATAAAAGCGTTTTCATCACGCGTAAAGATGTCCTCGTTATCTTGGTTCCAGACATGCCATTTCTTATGACGTAAAATATGAAGTGACATTTCAGAATAAAGATTAGTTTGAAGCGGAGTTCGAATAATTCAACTAGTATTGGAAATCGATGTCATTGTTATCTGCGTATCGAGAAAACACAAAGGGGCAGTACTTTGATGTTTTACTAAGGGAAAAGATCTGATTTGTGTAGAGAAACAAACTACTCCATGCGTTTGCTTGCTCACAAATAACAAAAGCTGAGGACATTGATGAGTTGTTGTCTGGATTTACTATTCAGGCGATCTGGGTTGAAGATGTTCCGCTTCTACTACAAGGAATTTTATCTGTAATTGTATTGCTTGCTTGATAAGCAGATTATCATTTCTCCTGTTGCTACAGAGATTCAAACAAGGAAACTGTATGAACTGTTCGCAGTCAACGTCTACTTCAATGTATCTGATGAAAAAATCGCTTTTTCAGATGTTCAGCTCGAACTCTTGAAGCAAGGAGTTGGGCATTCCTGTTTTCTCCCTATATTAAGTGGATTTCTTCGCTGCTACTCTTCTTTATATTCCATTGTAATAATAGTTTCTTTTAATCTTATTGTTGTAGTGCTGCCCCTTTCTCATTGGATCAAAATGCCACGATTCTGTATTATTTGCGATTGAAGAATGCACTGATGATAAAGTCCTAATGGACGCACTTCAGGCAGCACCTGCCTCATTGGGAGAAGATCTGCTTGATGTTCTTGATTCGTTGTTTATTCTTCTGGAACGAAACCATTCGAAGTTTACCCTGTTTTCGGTCCTCTCTCTTCTTGAAACTCTTCCAGACAATACAGTATTTTCTTTTTTATCAAGCATACCTTGCGATATAAGCTCCGTCGAGTGGATTGTGCAATGTCTTCTCTCTGACAAGCGCACTTCGTCTGCATCGCTGCTATTTCGTATGGTGTTCTATTGTAAATGGGCAGATGGTCTCAAACAAATTCAGTCATTTCCTTTATTGGGAATTAATATTCTGGAGTTTGAGCAAGTCAATCGTTCTTTAGAGGAAATTCTACAGAACTTAAAGGACATAGTTGAAAGTCGAGAAATACCCTATTTGGATGCGTTTCTGGTGTATCTATTCCATGGTGATCAGTGCCCCTCTACGTGTTACCAACCATTAGTTCAACACTTATTGAGTTCTCGGAACGAACTAATCTATCGGTTTATTGAGATCCTATTAAAGGAGAGAAAACCTTGGCAATTTCAGTCGATGTGCACCTTTTTTTCAGTCGTCAATGAAATCTCGCCACATTATATGATCCCGTTAATTCAGTTGTGCCCTTGTGAAGAATATGTTGATTTGTTTCTATCTCATTGGCTGCAGCATAGTGGTCTGTCTGCAGTTACCACTTGTCTACGTGGATCTCTGTCGCAACATTTGAAAGAACGCTTGTTTGTAGTTCTGCTGAGTTGGAGTCAATCTGTTTCCGAGACATGTGCGTTATCAATCGAGGAGGAGGAACTGATAGATGCTGCACTCTGCAATCCTCCCCTTGTTTTGCAAGTATTGAGAAATACTATTCCACCCACTGGTATAAGTGATTCCCATTTTGGTCGCTTGCTACATGCCATTATCAAGAAGGTGGGATCGGATGAATCGTACATACCTCTACTGTTTTTAACAGCACATGATCCCCAATACCATTCATCGGCATTGATTGAATCTTGCCACAATTTGGTGAACAACTGTCTGAATCAACAGTTAGGAATTGAATATCGATCTCCATCCAAACGTGAAGTTTCAACTGAGACTGAAGCACCCGATGACTCGTTATTTTCTCTATTCAAGCAGGTATCCATATCAGCCGTTTTTCTATTGCTGTTGGGAGCAAAGGATGTATCTACAATTTCCACACTCTTTATAGCTATGATGATAGAAGCTGGAATAAAAGATAAAAAGTCAATCCAGGAAATCAAGAACATATTGCTGTTCCCTCCTGTTCTTTCTGATATTTTACATCATTCAAGTCATCCACTTATTCTTTTGTACTTGTTTGAATTCATTGATTCAAACAAGCTCGATCCTTCGATATGTGCTAATGCTTTATTCGATATTTTGTCGAAGCCAATGCCACCAATTCCATATAATGATCTGGTTGAACGAAATCATGATGCTCTTCAATCCATTAAGGAGTTGTACGGGTTGAGTTGGAATGTAGGGTTTTTTTTAGCCAAAAAGGAATCATTCTTTGTAGAAGCGACGATTTTCAATGCAGCATCAGATCGAAGTTTATTATTCGCTCTTTTGCCAACTTCTGGAAAAACATCCAGAAATGATTCCAGTCAAGCCGATCAATTCATTTCTGTTCCATCTCATCGAAAAGAATCCATTGGCGATGGTTCCATTTGTAAACTCTCTCGTAGCAGAACAAGACCATGAGAAAAGTATTGCAGCATGGAAAGGAAATCCGAATAAATCCGATTACTGGAAGTATTATATGCAGAATATAAATTCATCGAACGCGAGTGCGCTAACTCAGATGCTCTTGCGATGTGCTCCTTTATCGGACTGTCGAATTGTATTTGAGCAATCCCTGACTGAATCTCTTTCACCAATTCTGAACGAAGATGATTATATCGGAATTATTAATATTATTCTTCCCTTTCTGCTCTCTTTGCTGAAAAATGAGATGGATCGGAGTGTTTTTCATCAAGTAGTTGAAAGTATGGGGAAATCCCTTTCCTACTCTAATTATTCTCCAATTCTTCCATTTCTTTACTTTTGTGAATCTCTTTTTCCTTCTCACCCTGATGCATTACTCGAAGCCATTGATCTTTTGACTACGATATATCAGTATTGTGACGAGAAAACGATCCCAATAAAAGTGATGAAGAAGATTCGATCATCTCTCAAACGAATCGCAATCAAAGTAAGGGCAAATGATCATCTTTCCGCCTCTTGCGGTGCTTTTCTCGCCCTGTTTGATTGGGAATCGATTTTATCACCCAAAAAGCGGAAAGTCCAACCAAGACTTTATAATCGCAATCCTGCAATCAACGAACTCTTGAAGGAAGAAGCAGGAAGCGATAATTATGATGACCTGACAAACTTTATAGACCCAACTCCAGATATATCAATTAAGGAAGTAAGGCAACTGTTCTAAACACTTTGTTCAACAAACACGCCATTTTCTAGCAAACACAGGAATTCCTTCACGCTTCTGTCCAAAGGTTTCAGAGAACACCATCGTTTCGGGATCATAGCGCTGTGTGGGCTTCACATTCTCCTCGTCAGCATATCCGAAGGGAACAAGTCCAGCAACGAAATAACGCTTTGGACAATTGATAATATCGCGGACACGTCGGCCATCAAACCCTTCCATAATAATCGTACCCAAACCATTGGCTTGGCATGACAGAGCAAACATTTCCATAGGGAAGACCGTTTGTTTCACACTCCACTCCTTATTTGTATAGTACTCAGGAGCAAAGTCCTTCTTCGATTTCAGCTTTAATAAACATCTAGAGAACACTCCCGTAAGTCCTCCCTTTCCGGTAACTCTGGAGAATCCTGCAAGGATATGAGGTATTTTGGACTCATCAAGCCCTTGTTTCTTCCAAAGCTCCTTGAACTCATCACCCATAGCAATCGGATCTATGGAAATTATAAGGACCCATCAAACAATACTCAAATCAGAGAGGAACACAGCAACGCCCGGAGCTTGGCGAACGACCTTTCCGTTCTTCTCAGGCATAGCCTTGGCAATCTTATCCAAGTTGGATGGGTCCTTGACAATCACAATTTTGTAAGGTTGCCAATTGCGAGCAGTTGGGGCAGTCTACAAATAGATACACGGTCCAAAATCACATACCAGGGTCTGAGATAACACATGATTAAGAAGAGCATCATCCACATCTTGCTTCTTATACTTGCGACAGCTGTTTCGTGACTGAATGATATCATCAAAAGCCTTGCTGCAAGCACTCACATCCTGCACAGCAGCAAAAGATCTAACCATGCTCAACACTGGTGCCCTTTGGCAAAAAACTCGAGAAAATGACGCAAACATAAAAATAGAATAGAATAAAATAAAATAAAGTGTATTCCTAAAACAGAAGAATCCAAAAAACTGTATGATTTTTGCGGCACTTTTTTAGAATGAGACGCTTTCGATCTTCTGTATCCACAGACTTGAATGCCTACAGGACAAAGGTGTGTAGGGATATTGAGAATTTTCTGAACCTTCTCTTGATCGAAGCCTCCTACCCAACATGAACCTAAGTCACTAATTTATAAAATAAAGGTACCTAGGCCTTCTTCCTCAATAGCCAGCATGGAAAAAGTTTGGGCGATTGCTGCATCTTGAATGTTATAGAGTTTCATGGCTTTTGAGTCATAGCTCCGATTTCCACATTCCGAGCAGAACACGAAAAGAAGGGGAGACTGTATTTGAGGACAGTAAGAATAATACCTACAGTCCGAATCCAACTTTGCTGCGCGGCGTTCGTTATATCATTGATTAGATTTTTGTTCGTCACAACAAATGTATGGAATGTCTACCCATTACCAGCCAAATGAAGAAAAACATGGGGACCATAAGAATTTGGGCACAAGCCAACCTTGTCAAGAATGTTCTGAATGGTATCTTTCGGAACTGGAGTGTTGTCGAACCTAAGAATCACAAATCCAGCCCAAAATTGTACGATCTACAGCTTGACCTTGACATAATAAGGTCTGCGAAGCTGATGGACTTGGCTGCTGTACTCGTCGAAAAGGCCTACAATAATAAGAATGAGTATAAGAACGAATTCCAACTTTCACTGAGGTACGCAAAGCGTTAGAGAGCATTGTATAGAAGGATACGAAAATAAAAATAAGTGAAATAAAATGTTAGGTAGAAACAAACAATCTCAATTATTCAAATACTGCGATATATGTACATTATTATAATTTTAATTATAATTATTATGATTATTAGGCGATTAACAAAACTCCATATGCTTTCTTGAGAAAACAAACGTGCAAGTATTATCTGAACTGCATGCATAAACCTCTCCGAAGCATGAGTCAAAACGGAGAGGCTTCAAGAATGAGCACTTACTTCGTTTCATTCCCATTTTAGATAGTTCCCTCATTCTAGAGCGCGAAAGCTTGCCACATTCAGTATAGCGACGTTTCAGCTGGGAGCGATTACAGGAGTTAACACTGATGCTGTTAAAAGGAGAGGATGGACTAAAGACCACCTCAGAATTGCATCCACTGGTATCTTCGGTACTACTTTGATACGATTGAGTCACATCTGGCAACGAAGAAACAAAATCATCATTTGGAACAGTGAAATTTTCGTTATTAAAAGGTACAGCAATGGAGAAAGATGCAGATCTAGCAAGTCCATCAGAAAAAGTGAAATCCTCGTGAGACAACGAAGAATAATCGGGTAAACTATCAATAATACAAAGAATGTGAAAAGACTTTGTACTATCCATTGTATAACACGTGCCCTCCAAGGTACTGTCATGAACAGAAATAACATCTTGTGAAGTACCATCAAGGAACTCAAACTGGGGGTTATCGAGCGCAGGATCAAATTGAGTGGGAATTGCAATTCCAGGAAAATGAGGTACTGCAATAGAATTTATTTCAGATGAAAAGGTATCTCGTGGCGAGCTAATTACAGGAGTAGGTGAATATTGCATAATATGACAAAAGACGAAACTAAGCTTAAAAATGAAAATTGCCCTTTCATTTTGAAAGAAGGCGAAGCAACATGATTGAAACTAACAAAATAACTTAATAATATAAGATTATCATCATATCTCAACACTTGATAGGAGCTGTCAGCAAGAATTGCTTTATGCGTCAAATACTGGACATTGTAATTGTCATCAATTCGAGGAACATTTCTATGAGAACTCCTACCCTGATGAATCTGAGGGTAGGCAAAAGAAATATCGATTAAGATACCGTTCTTTTTACCATAGTCCAACAAAATATTATCCACTTTCTTTCTTCCAGGGACTATGGGAGGCATAAAAGAAAAGTTGAAATTCCGAGTAAAGAAGAACAAGTCCTAAGCATAAACCAATCATCAACAACAAGTCAATACGGCACTACCATAGTTGCGTAAATGACAATCAATATTCGAAGAGAATAGAGAGTTTGAGTTAATCTCTTCTTTGATTTCTTCGATAGTGCTGTAATCGCAAGCTCGTCCTCCTAGGCAGATCTATTGGTGAAGATTGCCAAGTAGCGGAGTTACAGGGTCATTTCTAAACTGAATCATCTTTCTCTGACTGATAAAGCCAAGGATTGAAAAGGTTTCCGGATGGATTAAAATATCACTGTTGATATAGCCGATGTATGATGAATTAGATAGAGACTGCGCGTCCAAAAGAAGGAACTTCAAGATTGGAAGGCCGTAATTGGTGCGGTGAGTTACATTTCGAACATAGAAACCCGGACCAATACTGCGTAATTTTACATCCTCTGAAGAAGTATAGATATAAAGATCGACGGGGTAACCCCTCGATCGAAGCTGTCTTACCCAATGGAGAGTATTCTCAAAACTCTCACTATAGGACTAGATCAATTAAAAATAATCAATTTTACATCGGATGTGATTACTAAAGAGAGAGAATCATTCGAATAGCCAACTTTAACATCACCTCTGTAATCAACAGGCTAAATCATCAAAATAGAAGAGGCATACTTGTTGTTCCACCTTTTTCATAAAATTAGAAAATGAACTAGAGAAGAGACGCCGTACTTTCGATGATGAAGGATAGTACGTGAAAATCGAAAGAGACACAACACATATCAGCGTATAGATGTAGATAAACACATTAACCAATTTCATTCGCTAGATAAAACAATAGTGAATAAACATAAAGATTTCCTTTGCTAACAAGACTAGGTCAATGGAAGTTTTATTACATAGAAATGAATGTACACTACGCGAAAGGGGCGTGGATTACCCATTTCAGCCTGGAAGCATGAGAACACAACTTGCTGTGAGCTCCCTTTCTGAAATACTGACTTTCAGATTGAATGATAAAACATAACTGCTATTCTGGAGTGTGGCGGTCTGAAAAATGCAGTCGAATTAAAGAAATGTGATATATGAGTATTGTAGTGATATTCAAAGAAAATAAGGTAATATAGGACTCTAATCTTGAACAATATGAGAAGTTGCAAGAGAATAAAAATCCTATGCATATTACCATAGAATGGCTCAGTTGACTCCTGTAAAACAATACACATATCAAAAACTATAAAAAAAAACATACCAATTCTGGGAATTAAGCACTTTCATACACCTCCAAATGAATCGAGTTATCGTGGAGAAAAGTGATAGAAAATTGAATCGAAGTACCACAATCACGGATACAATATATATATATACATATATATATATATATATATATATATAATACTTCAAGCAAGATAGCATGGTCATATTTGCCAAAACAGTACTATTCATTTTTGGATATTCCACTGTATGAAACAAGCGATTTCTCAATCGAAAAGGCTAGTATTACGAAACGATCTCTCCACATTATATCTTACCTTTTTCTATAAATTCTTGCTAAAATCGATGTTTTGCGCCTATAGGCCACAGTTGTGAAACATCATAGGCAAATAGCTTTTATTCTGCATATTCAAAGCAGAATGGTTGAATGCCAGAAAATGGTGTAAGACTTGCATAACATTGACAGCCGATCAAGAACGCAATAATATAGTAATGGATTCTTTGTCCACATATTCAGCATATGAATCGTGCCACAACTCCATCCATTTAACTTCTGGCCTTCAAAACATTCTGTATCTTCACTTTCCCGTATAACTTTCGAGACGGCAGTTTCATCTTTCTGAACCAATCAGATTGTGGAAGTTGGCGGTTTTTTATTTTGTTCCTACCACTCGTTACGACTCTAATTATTTTTGATGATTCAATTATTGATATGTACGTTCCGTCAGATACTTGACTGATATGTAGTTGCTATTCTCTCGGTTGGTTTATCCCAATGTCTGTCGAATCAAGTTTATGTTAATTTCGTGAAGACGTCCGGTTCAGATGCTCAAGATGAATCATTCCGTATTTGGGGAGACGACACGATCCTTTACACGAGTCCTCCTTTCGCCTCGAGTACTACAGTGACTCTTAACCAATGCTTACCAACTACGACCAACAATCAATACCGACTTCAGATGTTGGACTCTCAAGGAAATTCTTGGTCCTACGACTCTGTCCTCCAGATTGAGGGAGTTTATGGCAATATCGTTTTTAAGTACTATATGAGTACCAATCAGGAAGAGTACTTCCCCCTGTCCCTTTACAATCCTATTCCTACGAATGCTGAGTGGAAGTTCTCTCAGACTTTTAGCAATAATTGGAACACGTACTCTTTCGATGACTCTCAGTGGTCTTCGATTTCCATGCACGCGGAAATTCCATCTCCCAGTGCCACTCAGTACTATCGCATGTCATTCAGTGGAATTGAGGAGATGGCGGCATACGAAGTTCGTTTTAATTACCGCTATGGTATCGTGGCTTATGTGAATGGTGCCGAAATCTTCCGTGATAACATGCCTGCTGGAAGTGTGACTTCCGAGAGTGTGGCTAGCGGCTCCTACGCATCCTATGCGTTCCGAGGTATTCTTCGAAGTGCTGTGGAGATATCAACTTCAAGTGTGCTCGGTGTGGAGATTCATATGGAGTCGGGTTCGACCGAGGCTTCTCGTTTGTTTGATGCATGGCTCTCGATGTATGCTCCCATGGATAGTGGGGAATGTTTCGTTGTTCCTTATGCCGTGACGGTGAGCAGCCCTGGTTCTATCTCGGCTCCCAGCAATGCATTTGACTTTAACTTGGGATCGATCGCTAGCTCCAATGTCTTCCCCATGGTCATCGATTTCACCTACAGCGGAAGCTCTACTCCTGTTGTCAATGGCCTCCGACTGTTCACCTATTTCGCAACTAGTTCTGTTCAGTCATTTACCTTCTATGGATCGAGTGATGGAGTTTCGTACACTCCTATTGTGTCTGGAGTTGACATGTCGCTGGCTGGTCCTGCGCATGCTAGTTGGTCCTCCTACTATCAGCAGTCTCCGTATAAAATCTACAGAGGCGAGTTTTCTCGTTCCGGGGGTTCTTTCCTGAATTTGTATGAAGTCCAGCCACTGGTGTGCAATACGCAGCCCATCACGCAGATTACGTTCGCTTCTTCGAGCTATACTGCTTACGTGGATATGAGCTATATCCAAATCAGTCCTACCAACAATCAAATTCAGAACTGTACCATTTCTAGTGAACTGCCTGAAGGTCTGGAGTTCAACTCCGCTAGTTGCATTATTTCGGGTACTCCCACTAGTATATTCCCTAATACCACGATTACGATGGAATCCAGCTTGAATGGAGGAATCTCTGGCTCTTTCTCTCTTCAGGTAATTTCCTGCCCAGGAAAGATGATCGAGTTCCTTCGCACTTACAAGTCCAATGCCGTATATGAAACGTTTACTGTGTATGATGATGATACGATGGAAGTCTTGCTCAGTGTTGGAGACGACAATGCGAATCCGGACAACCAAGATGTTTATATCAGTACTTGCGTGAATTCGAATCGTATTGGAATTGAGGTGGGAAGTTCGAGTGACTGGGCACCTTCTTCGTACTTGTACGTCAAGTATTGGATGGGCACAGAATACAGAGAGATTCTGACTCGTGCTCGGCACGATAGTGGCTTGAGTTTGCCTAACTACTATGTGATCAGTCTCGAT